GTATCATCCACGGGTCTGGACCATAACATGTGATGTGGACTATCACCTGATCTCTACGCGTCGCGTCTGTGGCTGAGTGGCGTGAGATATTGGTGAAGCACGTGATCTGTGGTGTGAGAAAAGTCACGTGCGGACTTTGTGGCGAAAATCTGTGACAGACGTAGTCGCTGTACTGATGCTGCTGGAATTGATTTGCATGCAGTCCGGCAATAAGCCTGCAGTATGTTTTGATCTGATAGTGCACTATAATCAGAAATCTGAGTCAGACCTAGCCTATAAGTGACGCAACTCTAGGTGCTCCCCATCCCATAGGAGGGTCTTGCTCAGTTGGGCGTGTGCTGATATCATATGATATTCCATATGTGCCAGCTGGCTGACCTAGCAAGACTGGAAGGGTATATTGTGGTAGTGCAAACCATGCAGGTGGAGCGGCCATAATGAACTATGAATGAGTGTGTTAGCAGTGTACAGAGGCCAATGCCGAGGTGCAAAATGATGGTGGTGGGCTGACCTGTAACCTGTGGAAACAACTTATGTAATCTTGAGTTCAGATTTGATAAAGTTGCCCTCTTCAGTGATGTTGCCCTTCATCTCTCTTGCGTGACTTTCATCGCTTCCTAAGTTCAGCGGGTGCTTGCAAGGTGAGATGGAGTGGTATGAACAACCTTGAATACTACGACGGTGTGTGGGGGAGAGGGTTCAGCCAGGCAAGCACGCGGCTTTTTCTGCCATGCATGAAGGGTGCTCGGGATCTGGATCGCTGGTGTCTGGGGTCCTGGCATCAGTGGCCAGACTCCTGATTCGCTGACCGACGATCCAGGGCTTCCGAGCACATCTGGGCCGAACTCTCGAGTGTGAAGTGGCGGCGTAGCAGCCTAATGAGGAAGGCACGACTACACCACCCGACCCACAACAGTCATGCCACCTCTGCCGCCACGACTCCCCCACACTGGGTCACGTAGAGAAGGACGAGGTATGGTATATAGCGACAGAATCACTTGAACAGACATAGCGACGGTGTTCTCGCCAGCCACCAGGCGATATGCGAACTACACGGGACGCCGCACTCACGCGGTGAGAAATCCAAGGTCAACCAGGCTAAAACTGGGCATGATAACCTTGCTGGATCGACACATGCACCAATCCACCATGCACACATGCATACACACTGGCATCAAGGCTTCGGTGTTGGAATGACTAAACCTTATCACAAGGGTGCATATGCTCGAGGGTCACAAGAGGGTACGGCGGGCTAGGAGAAGTTTGCCGGGACAGCCGTGCTAGCCATTGTTACACCATTTCTAACACGTCACCACAGTGCGAAGGCACACCATTTTTGATAAGCCAGGAATGCAGACTGGCAAGCCAGTTAACCATGATAGAACGAGTAGCTCGACCATGCCAAGGAGCAACGAAGGCAGCAACGAGGGTTGTGGGTGCGAGCTTGTATGCAAACTCAGGAACGCCGAAAACAAATCACAAACTGAGCAGTTCTGAGAAGCCTAGCATCACAAATGGTAGGTCTTTCCCTTCAGTGCAGGCAGGAAGACATAGAAGAGAACACATAGGTTCCAGACGAAGGAGAAGACGAGATGCCGAATGCCACGGGAGGTTTGCCAAAGAACGAGGAATCCAGCCGCGAGGACATGGAACAACTGAGTGTAGGCTTCTCGGTCGTGCGCCATTGGGCCCGCACAAGAGTTGGTCGTGAGGTTGTGCTAACAAGAATGAAAGGTTGAAGCTCCACTTCGAGGTGGCAAGACGAGGTAGCTAGACGTCCATAACACCCTGAGAGGCCGGGGTAGCGAAATGATCTGCAGTTATAACACAGACATGGAAGGAAGGCGAGGCTGGGGCCACGGCAATAATATCGACATGACAAATAGAGTCGTTCGTGTGGCGAACGCGACCACAATTATATGCGACGGTGACGCCCATATCGTCACCCCGAATGATCAGGGAGGTATCCTGGGTGGTCTGGGCGTCCGCTGCGTGAGCAGCAAACACGAGCGTGCCATTATCACCTGACCAGGATTTGCACCCATCTCACGTTCAGCCCCCGAGACCCAGCACCAAGTTACCCGGCAGCAATAGCCCATAACAAGACAGATGCTCCGGTCAGTTGACACATCGACTAAAAGCCAAAGGTCCTTCGACGTACTCCTGGGGCATGGTGACCGTTGAAGTTCATAGCATTGCGCTGTATAACATGTCCGCGTTCTGCACCCACAAGAAGAACCCGGAGCCTGATAACATATCTAATACGCTTCACGTTCGCAAGGGAAACAGAGCATTCCTTAAGGTCCCACAAAGAACCGGAACATAGAAACAAAAATTCGAAGTTGCTGTGTAAGGCTCCGACGAACAACGCTGGCAACATCTGCCAGTAACATGATGAGAAACACTCCTATGATCCCGAAGGCATTCGCCAATGGATGGACGACGTGGAAAAAGGCTCCAGTAGACAACACTGGCAACATCGGCCAGTAATGGTTGGGGAAAAACCCTACGGACTTGGAGGCACATCCTTATGAACAGACGACATGGACAAAATGCCCCAATGAACAGTGACGGAAAAACATAAGGTCCAACGATCCAGGAGGCATGCATCTAGGAACGAACGACACGGAGAAATGCTCCGATAAACAATACTGGCTACGTCTGCCAGCAACAGGTGGAGAAATTGCTCCTACAGACCCAGAGGCACGCACATATGACCAGATGACGTGGAGAAATGCTCCGACGAACAATGGTTGGCAACGTCGGCCAGCGACGGGCAGAGACACACTCCTACGAACCCAGAGGCACATGCCTGCAGACGGATGACATGGAGAAACACTCCGACGAATAATTGTGGCAACGTCTGCCAGCGACGGGCGGAGACATGCTCCTACGAACTCAGAGGCACATGCCTGCAGACGGATGACATGGAGAAACGCTCTAACGAATAATTGTGGCAACGTCTGCCAGCGACGGGTGGAGAAACACTCCTACGATCCCGAAGGCGTGCGCCTGCGAATGGACAATGCAAAACATATGCCAAGAAGGGGAGGAGAAAGCTCCGACGATCCCAAAGGCACATGTCCATGAAGGGACGACGCAAAATGCATGCAGAAAAAGGGAGGGGAAAACGCTCCGACGATCCCAAAGGCACGCGTCTATGAATGGACGACGACGGGAGGAGAAACACTCCGAAGATCCCGAAGGTATGCACCTGTTAATGTATGATGCGGAGAGACACTCCAAAGGACAACACGGAATGGGCGTGCACTCCATGACACAAAGGGGATGGCACGCTCCCAACGAACGAGTGAGAGAAACGCTCTAACTGATGATACGAAGAGACGGCCTTCGGTGACCTAGGGTGCCGCATCTTTGCAGCATTAACGCCGTACGACGCGAACTTTGCCGGGCGGGCTAACCTTCTCAATGACGGATCAGGAAGGGAATAACGTCGCAGAACAGCTCAGAAAGCAGCTGCATGGTATGGCATCAAGATACATTCACGAACACATGCGTGCGGGATGTCCGGCGAAGGCCCGGTAGACTCGCAGAAGGAAAACAAAAAAAAAAAACGGTGAGGGTTTCCTTTGCGGCCGATGAGGCACACTGCAATGGCCGATGAGGTTCCAAAAGATGCACAAGTTGGTGGCCAGCATTAATGAGCAGGCACCCGTCGACGAGGACGCATAAGGACGGTCGGCCAGTGCGGATGACTATATGCGTGCATATATAAGGTCGGTAGTCCGTCCACGCGCATATAAGACAGGACGGCTCGGAGAGCGTAAGCCGTTTGCCGTCGCGAAACGGCGTGTGGCGTTCGACGCCGCACGAGAGCATTCGCCACCAGCGTGTGCGGTCATTGCCAGCGCGGGGGCATTCATGGAGAATCGACGTGTGCTTGACTTATCAAGTGAGTATATGCGCGCTGGCAAGCACCCTCATGACCTTCAAGAAAGCCTCTCGTGAGGATGAAAAAAACGCGTCACGAATAAATCCAGTAAGCTGTGCTGCATTAAAAAGGTTCACGGTAGGGAGTCTCAGCGGCATTCTCCAGTGACTCGGTGCGTGCCGGCGAGAAGTTCGATGCCCTCATAGATGAAGAAATACTCATCTTCTGATACGCTCTCGCAGCTAAGGGCACGCCCGTTCGCCTTGGACGCGTTGCGTGTAGTGCGCTCCTCCCCCTTTACGGGTCCAGTAGTTGCTGTCGGAGCGCAGGCCTTGAGTAGACTTCCCTCTAGCACCTTCCAGCCTTGCTCCGTGGGTCGTGTAAACTCCCAGTTGTGGTACAGGTGCAATGAAGTGAGAAATAATGAAGAACAGCGAAGAGCAGCTCGGAATAAAGAAACTACGAGACGAGCTGGTAGCGAAGGTCGTGGCGGGTGGGAAGAGACATAGCACGTACGTCAGCTGAGCGCGTCTCTTCTTCGCCCACCTGCTTAGTAAGCAAGCGTTCGGCCCAGCGCTCGTTCCTCGTGCTGGTCCTGAACTTCACTGTTCATATGTCGCCAACTACACAGACCAAAGCTGTCAAGTCAGCCTTCCATCGTGGTGCTGCAGCTGCAGCAAAGAAAAAGTTACAGGAGGAGGTTGAGCCACTTGCACAGAAGATGAGCCTCTATTGTAGGCTGCAGCAGGAGTCCAGCAATGTCCTCGCACAGGATGTCACACGGCGGGACAAGATGCTTGCAATGGTAGCACAGTCACACCACCCCAATGTCTCTCACACATTGGATCCAAATGCATTTGGCAGCGGAGAGAAAGTGGATGAATTGTTGGCCCAATATGATGCCTTTTTTGCACAGACACCGGTGACGTACGAGGAGTAAGTGCGCTGCATCTTATATTCTCATTCTCTGATAAGAGAATATGCGGAGCTAATCCATTACTGTGTCAAGTCACTTCCTTCGTTTCTCCTATGCGACTGCAGCCGCTATCATGTTCGACGAACACAAGGTGGCTCCTTTGGCAAGGAGAGGCGACAAGGAGCAATTGGTGTACATCAAGCGCATGAACGAGTTGTATGTCCTGATTTATACCCTTTCTGTCATCTGTTCACCTACACATACAGGATGGACGAGTGGCTTAAACCTATGGCAATGGCCATGCAGACACAGGCCGCGCCGGTTTCGCCGCAGAATGCCCCCAACGACCTCACCGCGATCGCTAGCTCTGGCTCTGGCGATGCAGTCACAGATGCTGAAGCGAACACTCTCCTCAACAGCCCAGGCGACCTTCTAAAGCAATGGTTCGTTCAGATCTTTAATCTGTCCGAGGATGATAAGGGTGTTTGGAAGGTCAAGTCGCTTACTATGAAAGACGACGGAAGGTTCGAGTATGAAGTTTTGCTTGCGGACTATGATGCCACGATTGTTGTCACGATGGATGAGCTACGGATGCTTATGATGGAAAGTCGACTCTCTCGAATGTAGATACAAGATATGGTAATGTGTACATGTATGTCTTGACTGGTGTCTAGCCGTGTATTATTCTTGCCGCAGACACAAACGCTCCACCACAGGCCTGCTGCTTCGACCCTGTCTCCTGATTCAAACGTGCAACTGGTCACAGAAAAGCGAATTTCCTCCTTCTAGTTCAACGGCTCAGCAAGGTCTTCAATTGATATCAATTGCTTCTTTTCGCATAGCGGAGGACATCCCAACATGCCACCGTCCACGACCGCCACTCCCGCTGGGACGTCCAGCGCAGCAGGCGGCTCAGCTGCATCACGATCGCGGCCACAGACATCTCGCAGAAGAGCACATCAGCCCGCAGACGACGCGGCATACCATGCACCGCCGTCCGCATCGAATGCTGGGACGAAGCGCGCCGCGGTCGAGCGGGCGGAGGGGGAGCCGCGCTTGAAGCGAAAGAGGGTGGACACCTCAGCGAATGCAGCAATGGCTGCTCCAACGCGCAATGGGTCTGCAGGGCCAAACTTTGGTACGGGCATGAATGGGATACGGAATATTAGGCTTGGGACAGATGGGGAGGGCAAGATATCTCTGGTGAGTGTTGCACGTCAACGTTGTGCGAAAATCTCCATGCATCCGTCCATCCTCCTCTTCTTCTTTTCTCATTGTCTGGCATGGCCAATACGAGCTAATCTGACAGTCAATTCATTCTGTTATGTACTGACACGAGCGTCCCACCACGCATGCCACACTGCCTACGAACTTTCCTGACGCACGTTCTTCCCCTCTGTGCAGGTCAATTTCACCACTCTACCACTTTCCTCTATCTATGAATACCTGATCATGAACAACCTCGTGCCGCAAATTGATCCCTCCCCGCTCACCGCATACGACCCGCCAACCCCGATATCGCTCCTCTTCCCGCCTCGCCTGCGCCACCGCTCGCATACCGCTAGCCCACCCATTACTCCCGCTAACCGGCCCCGACGGCGCCGCAGTGCGCGCCTCGTCGAAGACGAACAGAACCCGCAGCACTCGGTCGTGCCGATATTGGCTGACGTAGACGAGGTGAAGGACGTGCTTGCGACGATCGCGCAACAACACTGGCAAGAAAGTTCAGTCAAGGAAGTGGACACGCTCGCAACGTTCATGTGCGCTGTCAAGGCCAAAGGTGAGCGTTGCGGGACATGGAATACTGCGGTTCTGCATGCTTATGTGGCCTGAACAGCAAGGACAGCAGCATAATGAAGATACGAGAATTCCTCGGGTCATGGATGTGACGGCGGGACGCTTCGAGTGCGACACATGTACATGTTCAGCTGTACGTTGATTGACAAGATTAACCGTCAACTGAGCGCCACTCGCCATCAAGCTCACAAGCCGTTCTGCCCGACGGCATGTTCTCCTCGGAAAATTTACCTTTCTTGCTTACTTGTGGCCGTCGTGCGTTCACCCTTCTGTACATGCCCCGTAATTCGATCGACAGTCAAAGTGCACTTCAGATAGGTATACTGTAATACGTAGTCAGGGTCTCTGTACGAACAGTCCATAACGACTGTGCGCACCATGTAATATACTGGATTCATACAACTCCGGGTAACCAAGAGAATGAAGTGTTTGCCTTGATGGCAGCGAGAGAGGGAAATAGGATTCTACAAACTTCGCCCGTGCTATGCGCCCTCATTACCTACACGCTCAACATGAGTAAATCGCCCCCAAAAGCGGTGACCACAACTCACCAGATTCTAGCGTCCATTGATCGTGCCTGCGAATGTCTTCAGCCGTCACCGTCGGCCGGACATTGTCTAGGGATTTCAGGAAGTCCGCCAGTTTCAGAGGTGGCTCGAGCAGTTCGTTGCTCTCTATATCTGACCAGGACTTCTCCACGGCCTCAGGGTCGCCCGGAGAGCACGGTGTCCACATCAACACGTCGGGGTCGTTCGGCGAGGGGACACGTTTGAAGTGCGTCGCGGAAAGGACCTTGCGAACGGGCTGCATGAGCGCATCGCGGACGACGACGGAGATATCTGATCCGGAGTAGCTGTGAGAGGTTGCATGAGTCTCAATGTCGCACGGAACCTGAAAGACAACAAACCCCTCTGTTTTCTCTCCCAGCAGTCGGTAGTCCTTGGCGGTGAGCTGGCATGGGGTATCGCCAACGTGCAGCTGGAACATCTGCCTACGGGCCTCGGTGCCTGGCAAGGGTATATATATGCGCTTCTCAAATCTGCCATGGCATGAACACGACTGCGATCAGCGTGTATGAGGCGAAAGACTGACCTCCGTTTGATAGCGTTGTCTAGTTGCCAAGGAATGTTCGTCGCACCGAGGACCAAGACGCCGGTATCATCATGGCCTACACCATTCATCTGCACTAGAAACTCTGTCTTGATCCGCCGCGACCCCTCGGACTCCTGCTCGTTTCGCGAACCGGCGAGCGAGTCGACTTCGTCGATAAAGATGATCGCAGGCTTGTTTTCTCGTGCCATTTCAAAAAGCTGCCTCACCAATCTGTACAGAGTCGATGGCCATGAGCAGGAAGACACCACACGGGAACTGACTGACCGTTCGGAATCACCCTGCCACTTACTGACAAGGTCACTGGAGCTGACGCTAAAGAACGTGCCTTTCGCCTCCGTCGCGACCGCCTTCGCCAGGTACGACTTTCCCGTCCCCGGGGGACCGTACAGTAGGATCCCTCTCCACGGTGTGCGTTTCCCCGTAAAAAGATGTGGAAACTTGATGGGCAGGATCACCGCTTCCTTGAGCGACTCCTTCGCCGCCTCCAGCCCCGCGACATCGTCCCATCTCACGTTTGGCTTCTCTGAGATGATGGCGCCCGCAAGGCCCGCACGCAGCTTCTTCACCTCGGGGTCCACATCGTCGTCCTCGCCGTCCTTCCTGCAGGGGCGCGTTGCATGGTTGAGGCCTCATTCTGCAGAAGACTGAAAGCATAACGCGACCACTCACTTCTTTCCCCCTGCACCCGTACCGCCACTCATGCCATTGACACCTATTGCCTTCTTCGCCCGCTTCTCCTGCGCCTGCGACAAGTGGTCCTTCAGTGTCTCCGCGCGCGCGAGGTATTCCTGAACTTTTGCTCGGATGAGCTGCTTGGACTTCTCGTTCTTTTCCCCTAATGATACGTAAATCACTCTGCCGAGTCGTTAAAAGGAATCGCGTACACTTCAACGCGAGCATAAAGTAGTCCAATGCATTCTGGTACTGCTTGTATGCTTCGGCATAGTTCTGCTTGGTATCTTCCTCGATCGCCCGCTGCACAATCTCAATCGCGCGCTGTACGAGACGCATGAGAACCCTTCATTCTGCAGGGAGGCCGCGACTTACATCTAGGTTGGTGCTCATGATCAACCAGCGGCGGCCACTGTCGGATTGCAGGTTGATGGAACAAGTCCATTGTTATGGCTTGTTAGCATCGCAGGCTGCAGCATAACAGAAACAAACAACGTGTATTGTGGAACATCAACTGATAAGGGCTAGATTACAGTAGTACATGGACGATAAATTAACGACGATGCTAGCGGCTACAACCCCTCGTCGAGGGGCAGCAAAAACCCTGGTATGTAATCGCCATCACATTGCTGGAACAGACACAAGCACACCCATCGAACTCCTCCGTTGTGGCCAGAGGATCCGCTACTAAGGGAATAGTACATCTACACTGGAAGACGTCGTAAACAGAAGGCGCGGCGAGGAAATTAGAGCGACGCCAGTCATAGAGTCAACAACAGCAGCAGCGCGCGCGAACGTCCCGGACATATGAGTACGAAAACGGAGAACCAAATGCATGGCCCCTCAAGAGACTATCCATGGCGCGCGATCACGAAAGAAATTGGATCTGCGCCTGCGCCATCGCGGTTGCATTGACATGCACATGCGTTGGCTTCGCCATGAGATAACAGACCTCAATGCTCTGCACCCACGAGTGGTTGATAATCTCGTCGATGAGAGCGCGTTGCTTCGGATTTGGTTCAAGCATTTTCCGAATGAGGGGCCGGCATGCACGTGGCGAGAGGTTGTTGATCGTCGGTGGACACGACGATTGCGTCTGGCATGCGGAGACATACGCCGCGAACAGGTGATCAGTCGGCTGCGCGACGGTCCACGGGAGTTCTTGGAAGTGCAGGCAGTAATACACGATACCGCAGGCCCATATGTCGACAAGACGAGCGTCATATGCTGCTCCATCACAATTAGGAGCATTGGGCGGAGAAGTCAACTCCATATGCTTACGTTTGCCCAAAAACTGCTCTGGAGCGATATACGGCTCGCTCCCGCATAACCCTGTCGACATGTGTACTGTGGTCTCCCAAGGCAGACGATAGACTGTCGATGCGCCATAGTCGCCGATCTGCATGGCGCATATATGATGAGCGGACTGTCCGTCAACAACTCACAAGCAGCGACGTACCTTCAAGTGACCCTTCGTGTCAAAGAACAAGTTCTCCGGCTTGATATCGCGATGAGCGACACCTTGACTGTGGAGATAGTGCACACCGGTCAACATCTGCTTGAAAGAGCACTCGACTTCGGCCGGTGACATTCCACCTCTCTTGATGGCGGCGTACAAGTCTCCACCGGGACAGAACTCCATGACCTCGCACCAGTGCTGGTTCTCGTCCTGCACGAGGTCAACAGTCTCGACGATGTTGACGTGGTGCAACGTCGACGATATGCAAAACTCGGCAGTGAGCTTCTTGACATACTCTTTCTCTGTCTCGTTCTTTCTCCGCTTGCGGAACTCCTGTGCATGGTTAACATGATCAACGACGTCTGATTAATGCAAAGAAGGTAACATACCTTAACGGCGTATAGCTTCTCCTCGCTGCGGTCCCACTTGTGTGCGAGACGGACAACAGATGTGGCACCCTTGCCGATGGCTATCTTCTGGCAGACACCGTATTTCTTGAGTAAGCTCACGGTGCTCTCTCCAGTCGATGACTTCCCTCCACGATCTGAATCGGATTTTCTGCTGCTGCCGGTCGAGCGGGCAGAGGATTTGCGGGCGAGCTTTGGGCCGCTGTTCAAGAGGTCCTTGAGCGAGAACTTCTGCCCCCCTGTATCCGATTCGGATTGCTGAGAGTGACGAGAGCTGACGGACGATGCCTTGAGTGATGGTGCTTTGGTGGAGGAAGCCTTTGCGGGACGAGCGGTGCCAGTTGAGCTAGGCTCACTAACGCCATTCGACTTGGACGGAGTGGAAGATATCCGCAACGCAGTCGAATCGGGAGGCTGCTCTTTCGGCGGAGGCAACTCCTTCTTGGACGATGTCTTGGGCAGCGAGGGCGTCTGCGTCAGAGGCTGTAGCGCGGCACTCAACTTGCCACCGGAAACACCGGAAGACATGCTGGGCGCTCTGCTCGGCGGCTGCGTGGAAGGAAGACTCCAGCCATCACTTTCCGAAGCCGACAGAGAACTGCTGCTGGACGGCGTGATTGAGCCTGTCGTGGATGACGAGTCGCGTTGGATGACAGGCGACTCGTATGGGTAGCGATCGGATCTGTGCATGTCTTCAAGCTCCTTCCTTGTGTGGCCCGGTGCCTTCTGATAGAACTTGGTGTCTGGCGGGGGCAGTGGGACGTGAACACCATTCGTAGCGGTAGGCATGCCACTTGTCGTCACTGGCGCAGCGTGCTGCTTAGCAGGGGATTGATGGGATTTGGAGCCGTTCACTCGCGATTTTGCCGCAGTGGCGGTAGAAGTAGACTGCGAGGAGGATGACAAAGAAGAGTGTAAACCACCTTGCGGCGGTTTATCTGAGCTGTCGGCGCCCTCGCTTTCGGCTTGGGTAGTCTCTGCAGCTTCAACCATAGCCATTGATGGATGCGACGATTGTGACGTGGTCGTGAAGGGGTAAGACGGCGAGTGAAAACGAGGATTAAGTGCCGGTAGGGGTGTGATGAGCGTCGAAAGGGTCGAGAGGTCGTGTACGATAAATCCGTTTATTGGGATATCATGACGGCAAACACGTTGAAAAGGCACTGTCAGGGGGGACAAGAGACGAACAGAAGAAGAAGGTAGGGGGTAGCGAGAGGGCAAGAGGGCGAGAGTGGGACGAACCCCCTCGCTTGTGCCGGGAGAAACGGCTGGAAGAAAGAGGAGAAGATGCTGAAAGCGGACGGAGCAGCGACGAGATTTGAACCGGAGCAGCCTGGCGCACGCCACTGCCTTTTGTGGGTTACGTAAGCAGTGGGCTCGGAAAAGTGCGGGCCACTGGGGACGCAAGCGTTCGCGAGGCGCCTGCCTAGTTCACTTTCCCTCCGTCGCACACACGTTCATCTCATCAGCCGTGGCGTCTCCTGCGAACAAATAGACTCATCTTTAAAGTATTTCGGGTCATCGAATTTTTACGGACACCACCACGAGGTGATGAGCGTGATGGCGACGCAGCCAGGCCAAGTGCCAGCAGCGAATCCCGTTCTGATAGAAGCACTCCCATGAACGCGGTCGCAGGCTGCACATTCCCGAGAGATAAGAGCGCGGTTTTTGCTATGGGCACGCCAGACGCAGGTACCCTCCTTTGCACTTGAAAGCACCTGCCATTTGACGTTCTATCACCGACGCTCGCCGATACATGTTGATGTCATCTCCCGCAGTACATCCGGAGTGCAACTGAATCCCGATATCACGAATACGATAACTACACTACTTATTTTGCTGACAATTCATGCCTCCCCGATGAGAGGCATCGACAGGCCGAGTGCGAGACGGCGGGCCGCTGATGCCGCATCAAATGGATCAATTTGCTTCCGTGGAGCCGAGACACTGGCTCACATCGGAGGAGGGCAATCCTGACAAACAATGCAGTGGGTCCGCTTAGATTAATGTCTCGCTTGTAAAACAAAAATGTGATGGCCGCAACGTCCTTCGTCAAGAGAGGACGAAGATCAGATTGCAGGCAAGCGGACATGCATGGTCGAACCAGGAACAGCTATCACGCCGTGCACCCGGCGAGTGGCACATGTGAACCGAATACAACCCGTATGGTAAAGCATCCCGCCCATTTCATTTGCCTTTGTTTGTCTCCTTTCCACTTGCCTTTTCTGGTGCGTCTCCGCCTCCTCTCTCGCTATTGTCCTTCCTTCCCTTTCTGCTCTTGTCGCGCGCGTCTTGGTCTCTGCCAACAAGTGACCTCTACCGGTCGATATACACTCATCTAACTTAACTGTATGCTTTGGCCTCTGCTTCATGCTCCCTTTCCTTTAAGATCAAACTCGATCTATTTATAGCATCTTCTCCTGCCGGGGTGAAGTGATGGCATCCCTTGTAAATATATTGTTTATTATGTGAATCCTTTACAACATGAAGTCTATATGCAATGACAAGTAAAATAACATCTCTCGCCTCCTGTTTCACGCTCCAACATCGACGGAGTCGGTCATCAAACGCAACAGTGCGTGACTCAGGACGTCGGTTGACCCTCCGTCATATGCCAATACACCCAGATCATCCAGATCTCGATCAAGTTTGTCAATATAGGCTCCTGCACCTGAGAGATGGGCAACCTTGGCACAAGCCGCATGCAGGGCTAGAAGTTCCGGAGAAGGGAGGGGAAGGATATTAGGGTTGGGCGATGTCAACGTTATCGTCGCGGGCACGCGGCGGATCCGGTTGATATTCTGGACACGATAGCAATCCTTGACTGTCTAGGAGTCAAAGCGGCCAATTAGAGCAGACAGGCATAAGTCGTATACGTGTAATGCTCACTGTCTCCTCAAAACAGATCTCCAGACGATCAAACCAGTCACGCACATTGTGCTCCAGCGTCATGACGTTGTAAAGTGAGTGCACCTTGGCACCATTCAGGTTTCTGACGTCACAGCCAAAACACTTCAACACCGCCAACACTGAGGCGGAATAATCCTTCTACTCAAGCATAAGCCCGGCAACAGCAGCAGCAGAAAAAATATAAGGATGTACCTTCTCGGGCGAGCTCGGGCGTGATACATCGAAAAAAGTGGACTCCGGTACAATGTGGGCGCATTCTGTGTTAACCGTAGTTACTCGGAGTATGTCTTCTTGATCGATACCTCGAATTCCCACTGCTTCTGTATCGTATATTCCAGTCACCACACACTTAAAACCATCTCTAATAAGGGCCTAGATGAATGCTCATGAAAGCACGTGAATTTACGGCCATTTAGGACGATCGCTCACTTGAATCTTCGCTTCCTTGTGGTCCTTCGGTGCCTCTTGAATTGCGGTCAGGAGATTCATCTTGTCTTTAATGAGCGAACGATGACTGGAATGATCCGAATAGTCTGGCGTGCGCCCTTTGTATTTCTTGACTGGATATGCAGTTTAGCTCGTTCCGATACATAATGCTGGTAGACAACTTACACGGGCGGATGAAGTAATTGACAAAGGATTCTCCAAGGTCGGAGAAGGTATTATAGTTGTCACTGCACGAGTGGATTACTTTGACGACTTCACAGAGCGCGTCGAGAGAAGGAGCGTGGAGGATTAAGTAGCCGAGGAGTCTTGCACACATGACATCTTTCTCCGTTTTGGCGTCGTGTTCAAATGCAAGGCAAACATTATAGGCGCTAATGACATCGGGCTTCGAACTGCTGGTTTGCGTAGCTTTGGCGGGAGGGAGGGCAGTCATGATGGTGTAGTCTCAAGTTGGAGACCCTGTCGCGAGTAATTCCCAGCCAAGAAAACTAAGCTTGCCTCCTCAATTGTGGGGATTACAATAAGCAAAATATTCTTCAGACATTAGCGGCAGAGTGGCTTATAATTATGGGCGCAGTGGGAGTCGAGCGGTGCGGGGCAGACACTATTACGGATTGAGCTCCCGGCAGGCCGAAGCTGCCCAGTTGTATCGATAACGTTTCGGCATCTGCCGGGAGGCTGAGATAACGTAAGCGCGCCTTTGAGACGCTGCTGAGCAGGTCGTCGTTCCCATCGCCTTCCTCAAGACCAAGGTCAGTGCTACTGCCGCTGTTTTCGACAGCTTTGTGAATTATGGCAACCAATACTGACTTCCATGGCTGCCGCAGCCAACACCATGGTAAACCTCCGTTCTCAAAAGCGCCTCGCCGCATCTGTCGCGGGCTGCGGCAAGCGCAAAATCTGGCTCGACCCCGCCGATCAGGCTGAGATTGGGAACGCCAACTCCCGCGCCCACGTAAAGAAGCTCATTAAAGACGGTGTCATCATAGTCAAGCCCACCACTGTCCACTCGCGCGCACGCACTCGTGATCTCCTCGCGGCGAAGCGCAAGGGCCGTCACACCGGCCCCGGTAAAAGGAAGGGTACGGCTGAGGCGCGTATGCCTAGCAAGGTTCTCTGGATGCGGAGACAGCGGGTGTTGCGTCGGTTGCTGAGAAAGTACAGGGAAGCGGGAAAGATCGACAAGCATCTGTGAGTATTGACGCGCGCTTATTTCGGGGACCCCGTATTCTGAATTGCTTGAAGGTACCATTCGCTCTACCAGAAGTCGAAGGGTAACGTTTTCAAGAACAAGCGTGTGCTCATGGAGTACATTCACAAGGCGAAGGCGGAGAAGACCCGCACAAAGGTCCTCTCGGACCAGATGGAAGCTCGCCGTGTCAAGAACAAGGTGCGCGATTCGTCGGATCTCTACTTGATCTATGCATTGACGGCCATGTTAAGGCGGCTCGCGAGCGCCGCGCACAGCGAGTGCACGAGAAGAGGCAAGCGATCCTTGCTGTGGAGCACGAGGCGCCTGTCCAGGAGTAAACTTGATCGCTTTTCACACCATTTGCACCCTTACGTCCCTTCACACCATCTGTATCCTACGCTATGCACGCTGTCTCTCAGTACGCCATGCCCATGTTCGCATGTTATATTGCAGCTCATGATCCGACCTATTGGGTACCTGCATTATGTGAGGCGTCACGAAGTGGGCAGGAAGTGCGAAGCTCCGATTGTAGTGGCATGCATACCGGATTTCGTCGCCGTCTTGTGGGCTGTCTTTGTGAATATCTGTGTGATGCTAGTTCAGTTGGGTAAATTTAGTACGGAACACGGCTGCGAACGTTATCGGTCCGTTGCCTTTGCCGCTTAACTACCAGAGTCAATCAGTCGGATGGTCCACGGACCTTGTCTATATTGTTCCTAGCCTCGACATGACCGGTCATGCGATCATCAAAGCGGAACATAAGAACGGGGGACAGTACGCACAAGTTGCAAATAGAACAATAGACTAGCGAATACATTTTGGCGGCCCTAGAGCAGTACATGGGCAAGGCTCATGCACATCTTCTTTACGCCTCGTTCTTTTGCCACTGTCTCGACCATCTCTCTCGACATTACCACGATGTCCTCTGTATCGCCGGCATCCTCGCCCTTCCTTCGTTTAAGAAGCAAGCCACATTCATTCAGAGCAAAAGCCACATCTTCCACACGCAGATTAGTGGCGCGGGCGATGTCAGCCAAGGTGCAATGAAGCATGACATGAGCAGTCGCACTCCCATCGGCATTCGGAGTAGTCTCCACAGTGCGGAGGGTCGTGAACATGGGATCTGTGTGATGTGCGCCAACGTCAACAGCTGTTCGCGCCACACTTATGCAAGGATGCATACCAGTCCCATCATACGGCTCTGCAGGCCGGTGGGCCGTTCCGGGTAGTTCCTCTCCGTCCCACCCTTTCGTGCTCTTCCGTCGCTTCAACTTCGATGTCGCCCAGTCCTCGGGCTCCGCAGATGGTGACATCATGTACGCCTCCGCAAGATCCGGCATGCCGCCGATTGTGATCATCTTCGACGCGTCTGGCGGCAGTACAGCTAGCAGCCGCCTGCGCATCCACATCACGCTTTGGTCAGCTGCAAACGCATCCCAAGCAGTGCGAGAGCCTACATACCGGAAGAACCTGATTAGGGTCGATACCCAGTATGTGAGGTAGCTCCGGAGCCCGAGATCAGATAAAGGGCGTTCGGGCGTGCCGATTCGTCCTGCACGACGGGAGAGCTCATAACCTGCAGATGCAAGTGAGAACATGAAGAGTGAGATCCTGCCTGCCACTGCACTTACTGAATTCAATCATGAGCATACCATAACCCTTCTTCTGATAAGGAGGGAGAACCACGATGCAGGCTAGGTTGTAATCATCGTAGGAAACCTTCTCCTGGATCGGCAATCAGCTGGGTTCCGTCCAGACCGAGCTGATGGATGTACCTTTGAGAAGAATCCAAGGACATGATCACGCTGAGAGTCGGCATCGGTGAGGATGTAGAACATGACTGACGGAAATTAAGCATCAGAAGGGCTTGTGCTATGATCCTATTGCTTACAATTGTCGCAATCGAAGAAGAGTGTCTTGATATCGATGAACAGTTTTCCGAATAGTGAGAGGTTTTGGCAGTACAACTAAGGTACCCCAAGTTCAGCTGGCCGTACCATCAAAGCACCCACAGACGCATACCTTTTCTTTAGCACCGTCGACTTCCCATATGATGTGAGCGCCACGCTGGTACACCTTTCGCCCGGGCGGATGTTTCCGCGTACACTTTTTCTAGATGATCTGACCTGATTGAGCATGCCGAGTGGAGGTAGACGCGACCTGAGACGCACGACGTGAGACTCCCAAGAGAGGCCTTCTGCCATATACTTGAAGCACTTGTCGCATACCCACAGCATCGCCTTCTCGCCTGTGGTGGTGTTCCGACCCAGACCGCCTGCGAACAAATCCGAAGTGCGTCCATGGGAGCGAATAGAGGAACGGCCGACTCCCGGAATTCGAATGCTCGAAGACGGACCATGGTGGGTAGGCACCGCAACTTGGTCCTCCGCCTCTGCTTCGGTCAGGGGGTACGGAGAGAAGTACCTTCGTCTGGGCTCAGCGCGACCGCCGCTGAGCTTGAGAGAGCGAGAAAGAACGCCACTCACCAGGTCTTGATCTCCCATCGCCCAAATATGACCTTGTCGAAGTTCCTCTTTGCAGTGATCTGCTTGTGGTGCTCAATATCGTACTCTTCTTCTGTAATGGGCGGATCCTCGACCGTGTCAGTGCCTGCCAACCCCGCTGCAAGGACATCTGACTGAGCTGGCGATCGCGACAGCCTTGTGCTCGCAGAGGTCTCCTCATCGACGGATCCCCTCTTCCTCTTGCGATACGTGGCACTACCAGCCATGTTTGCCTCGTGGGATCCTGCAGGTCGCACGGCCGCTTGCGGAAGCCATTCATCAAGCCTCTTGTCGGAATTTACATAATGCACGTAGACCTCGTCTCCCCGGCGCTCGAGGACGTAGGCATGTTCTGTTCTTGCGTCAGTTTCCATCGGCTATCAGGCCAAGCAACAGCATGGACTTACGGTCGACCCCGTTTTTGCTCACGATGTAGAGTTCCAAATCAGTTTTTCGTTTCTCCATTGGACGAGCGGTATCTCAATAGTACAAATTCCCGCGTAGAAGTGATGCAGGAGTAGCATGCGCTACTCACTGCTCCCGACGATGCAGAGGCCAATAGGGCACCAATGAGGGATGAAACGGGGACTGAATGTGCGCGAGATGTACAACTCGGGATGTGCGCAATGCAACACGTCCAACAAAGTTTGTCAGACAGATTGATGTCGTCAGCTCTGATGGTTAGAGACAAGGAACGGGTCCCAGGAATGAATGAGAGAAGCCCGCGAAAGCGAACGCCGTTCAAGCTCTGACCTGCATCAGTGGTAATTTCTCATCCGCTGGAACACGGCGATGATAAAAATGAACCAGTTATCTTTATGTATTAGAATCACACTGTACAACATGCGTCGCGGGAAACCGCTCATACAAAGCTACACGATACCGAAACAAGATCATGACGACATGGCAAAGACAGTGCGAAAATACGCAACTAGACGCGGAGGGGGGGGGGAGCGCATGGGAGAACATCATGCGAGATAGAATACCCAATTCATTGTTGCCCGATTTATAGAAGAGAACGAGGAATAGAAACGTCGCATGCGCGGATGACAGTCCGGTGCTGCATCCGGGGCCGCGTAACGTTGCTCGACGAGACAGGAAAACCAGCGAGAAAATGAGAGAAGCCAGCGCTTAGCAATACACGAGATGAAGGGTTGATGGAGAGACCAGTCGCAGCGTGCTGTCAGGGCTAAGCGTCGAGAGTTCCGCAGGAGCTGTCGGCAGTCGTGTTCGAGTAAGATCTAGTGCAGTTGCGCCCAAGCCCAGGCCCACGGCCGTCCTTGTCAGGGTCGCATACACTCTTGGATCCGCTCCTCCCGCAAGAGAGAGTTCGCTCGCCGAAGTGCCCAGATTCCACCTGCTCCCGTACATCTCCCTCATGACGGCGTCCATCTGGTCTTCGCTATCGCGTGTTCCGCCCATAACTGAGACACCACTTCCGGCATGTTCAAAGTAGTCTCCATTTCCGTTCTTCTTGCGCTCATGTCGGGGCGCTAGCCTGGGGAAGCGCGTACCGGAGAACATACCATGGCACGACCTCGGCGTCAGCGTGGCGAAAGACAGACGTGCATGTATGGGCTTTGACCGCCGCACGTAACCAATCCCATTCCCAATTTGTTCGATTCCAGGAGGAAGGTCGAGCATGGCGTGCTGCACGTACGCAGGAATCGTAGCGCTTTCCGGGCGTGTCTTCTTGCGTAGTTTGTTCCGCACGCCCGCAGTGCTTTGGCTTTGCATGAATGAAGACATATAGCTTGACCGAGACTTGCGAAGTTGATGAGAGACAGGCGGATTTGTCGCCAAGGAATCCATCTGCCTGGACGAAGGTGCAGATTCCAGCGTATCCGTGTCGAAATCGAGACTGGAAAACTTGCGAAGGGTGCCAAATCTTTTCGGACCCTCTTCACCATATTGATATCCACAGAATTCCGCCGGGATCACAAACTCGTCCTCATGATCGTCGTCATCCGGAGAAGGAGCGTCTTGCGTCAGAATAGACCGTCTAGTCAAACCAAGAGATACACGGTTTCCCACGGACTCTTCATTGACTACATGAGCACCAGAGACAGTCTGCGCAACGTTGCTAGTGTATTGCCCTTCCCAGGTGAATGAGAACCCGTCGATTACGCTGCAGCCCTTGGAAGAACCAGAGAGAGCGGCCGGCGACAGCACTTGAGTGATACCTGGTGGACGTAAATCGGAAAAGAGTGATTGATTGGGTTTCATATGTTCCCCGATAACTTCGCATTGGGAATCTGTAACGACATTAGCACCTAGACTAGGCGGAGAGCTCAATTGTTATGACCTGACGTTTCATCGGATTGAGCAGCATTCCACTGCCTATGGTAGGCGTTAGGTAATGATCTGTTCAAGGACATATGACGTACACGGTAGCGAAGAAGGAATGCTGCTTGACAGCTTCATCAGACAGGCGCAACGCCGGGTTACGTTCGAGACACTATTAAAGCATGCATGCCCTTAGCACGTTCAATTAACGCCGGCTCATCAACCATACCTGAGTGATCAAATCCAAAGCTTCGGAACTGACCATCTCCGGCAGACAAGGCATGAGCTTTCCATGTAGGACCTTGCTTTCGGAGATTGTCTCATGTAGAGACGCTGAATCGTCTACTGCGAGAAAGGGATGCTGAAATACTGTAAGCTTTGAGCATGACACGAGGCACGAGATACTCACACTTCCCGTCAACATGAAACACAAGATAAGCCCAAACCCCCACCAGTCGACCGCAGCATCGTGCGCCCATCCCATTATGACCTCTGGCGCTCGATATATCCCTTTGGTAGGTGCAGCGGATGGGGCGTCTTTATCAACTGCTACATCCTGTTTTCCAATCGGGTTTATCTGAGCATAGCCGAAGTCGGTTAGGGCGATGTGGCCATCGGGCTGGATCAAGACACTCTCTGGCTTTAGATCACGATGAACGATGCCTATAGCATGCAGCGCCGTCAAGGCATACACCTTTGCACAGTATTCCCTAAGCAAATTCTTTCATCTAGGTCATCTGTGGAACATACCATTTCTGCTGCACACATCTTCGCATTTCCCGGATGAAGAACGCCGCTACGCTCCAAGCGCATGCGCAGGTTCTCTTCGCAACGATCAATCTGTAGATATTAAATTGCTTCACGAAGACTACATGTATCGGTAGCATTGTCTTACCAGCACAATGTAGAGTGCCTTCTCATCTTGGAAACTCCAGCGAAGCTTGACCACAAAGGGTACTTGATGCTCCATGGCATATCGCAATGCAGCTTGTTCCGTCTGTGCATATGTCAAGACATGTCTACTGCTATCTGGATTCGTCCTTCTGAAGACTTTGATAGCGTATAGCGTGGACGTGTCCTTCTTTCTTCCGAGAACAAGTTCACCAAGTCCACGACTTCCAGTTCTCTGCAGTGGGCAGATGACCTCGAAATCCGACGGTCTGATCGGCTGTCAAACAGCGCTGAGTAATGACACATTCTAACGATACGTGTACAAACAGACCTTAGGACCCTTCGGACTTTCAACGATGGTGCTTAGGACACGGGGTTTTCGCCTCGGCGCCAGTAATATGAGCTCCTGTAATACATCAGATATGGCTGCAGCGTGCGGGCGGAGGTGGATACATACATCCACGTCATCGTCATCCCATTCAGGAATTGCTTCCTTGATGTCATCAAATTGCTGCAGGGGATTCATTTTATCTATAATATAATGCAAATCTATACATAGAAAACTCACTCGGACTTCGAAGCTCACGCTTTGTTCGGTCGCTTCTTGACCGGCCGCGTCCCATGCTCGGCCGGCTTGAATCGGCGTACAAATTATATATGACCTCTCGGGTGACCGTTCCTATGAAGGTTTTGAGAGAAGTGAGTACGGCGTATAGCAACTCATGCGCATGTCTCACCTCTATCGGTGGCGTCTCCCAGAAAGCTGACGTGCTGCCGCTGGGGGTGTCATGGCAGACCGACGGCGTTCCAGGAAACTATGTGGAACAAATCACAGTCAGTAGGTCTCTCACATCTACTCGGCATATGAACCTTACCTCATTGGCATTGCTTCGCTCACCCGACAAGCGCAGATAGTGAGAATCGCGAGCGATGGCTCTGGTCACAACCATCTTGAAGCGTGCAGTTGCTCGATGACACGACGATCAAGCTCACGGCTGGCAGCTGGATTGCTCAGTGAAGCTCGACCTGTAACGGCTTTCGTGAAAAAGGTCAGAAACAACATGTCGCAGTTGAACTTGGTGTCCAACAACGGCACGAGCGATGTGAAGAGATGTGATCGATATTCGCGGAGCTGAACAGTTTGAACATAAGCGCTCATGCCATTCGCTCCAGCGCTCAATATTCTTTGCTGTGGCGAGGATTCGCACTCTTCCAAGTCCTGCCACATACAAGAACTTATTGGCATTCCGCAGCAGCAGCTCTGTTATTTCTTCATCAGTCAGAAGGATAGTAGGCAGATCTAATGGTAATTGTCGGCGTGCTGTCGTTCTTTCGCCTTCATCACTCACATGACGCGCATATGAAGTAATCATACTCGCTGAGCCCAAAATGTGGATGCGGATGTTCACGAGAAGTAGCCTAAAACGTTATTATTCGGCCCAATACAGCTGGGAAGACAGCAGAAGCTATTCGGTGCTCTTGAATAAAGTCATAAAAGCGGCATAAAACCCACAGGACGTTCGAGATAATATCGCCGATGCGAAGTGAGAGTCAAGAGGATTTTGAGTGAAGACGGTGATTATGGGGACATGGGGTGTCACGATGACCATAGATGACGGCGTAACTGTGATTGCGTACGAAATAGTAGAACGCGGGTACGCCCTACGCCGTTTGAATGACGATGGAAACAATGTGCCATATCTAGGATCACGGCGATGGCGTGACGAAAGCGAACGAGGAGATTGGGGTGAGAGTACGATTCTCGGGCTTAGGTCTGGATGATTCGTACATGGGACGGAAATTGGCCGGGCAGGGGGAGGCGCCGTAGGAGCTGCACGTCCAGGATGATTTGGAGAGGAGACTGAAGGCGAGATGGCATGACTTTGGAGGCGGTGCTTGTCTATGTGGCGGCTTGTTGAGTTGGACGAGGCTGCTGACTGGCCAGTTGTTTGCTCCTCAATTCCCTCTCAGCGTCACTCGCAATCGGTGTCCGTTATAACGAATACTATATCCATGTGAGTTCAGTCATGTATCCAAGAAGCGGGGATGACGCACATCAACATGTTCTTGTCTTTCAGTTTAGGAAAACGGGCACAGATCTCCCTGTGCAAGTTAACGTGCTGCGAGTCATCCGATATAGCACCGCGTGAATGCAAGTCTATGAACACGTCTCGCAGCTTGGCGGAATGTCCCTCAGCCAAAAGCTCATCAATCTGAATGCAGATCTTCGGATCAAATGCTTTGAGCAAGGCATCTGTTTCCCATTTGGAAACACTTCATACCAGGAAACGAGCATCTTTGAGACCTTTCGATGATATCGTCTTGAGCAGAGGTAGCAGCACACTCCCGACAAATAGTGCAACATCATTCATTTCGAATCAAGGATGCCCAATTCCAAATGTTGCAGATTGACAATTTGTTTCAAAGCTGATAGGGTGCACTTGAAAAGTATGAGTCACGCTGTGCATGGAACATTATTCAGTTGCAGACTCACAGAGTAAGGGCTGGATGTTGCTACTGTCATCTTCCTCTGGTGCCCGGAAAGTGATTATTGCCTGCTCCAGTCTCGTGCCGGCTACGCTCAGCATGCCTTGAATAAAAGCGAGAGCCGACCGCAGAGATTGTAGGTCGTAGGGTGAGCTCTTCGAGGATAGCTTGATCTAGCAGACTGAGAAGAATATGCCCAATGTCTTCGAAGCACGACAAGTCATAATAAAGAGCAGTCACTATCATGAAAGGCACGCGATGGTGTTCAGGCGGTGCCAGAGCCACGGACCTTGATTTGCTCCAGTGAAGATGGTGGCAAAAAAGCTCTTGCAGATGACGAAATGAACATATGAGCTGAAAGAAGATGCTTGCCGATGGCAACGTCACATTCAGTAGCCCCAACGATGTGATATGACTGAATTCGTGCAAAATCCAAAATGCTAAATTGTGCGAAGGGCAGTGCTCGAAGCTGAGGGAATAGAAGTTGAATGAGGCCAGCTTTGGAAGTTTCCCAGCCAGCATCACGAGAATCGATGCCAACTCCGGACCTGTCATAATGGTCATCGAGTCTGAATAATGTCCGATCTGTAACTGTCGCACACGGGCAGCGAGGAGAGGCATCTGCTTCAGCGATATCACACAGACGACTGCCCCTTTCCGACTGCGGAGCCCAGGTTCCTCGAAAAGGATCGCGCGGCTCTCGACGTACCACCCTCGGCAAACGAGGGCGCAGTCCAACAGAGTCGGTCTTTCGTCTCCGTGCCAACGCGGATCGAGATGGTCGATGATGCGTTCGCAGGTCTCAGGCGGAAGGCGAGGGGAGGGTCATTGACGGACGGGGCAGCATTGGCGTCTACTGGAGCAGCCATGGCAGGATCGGACGGCTTGTGTTGTTATGTATATGAGCAGATGTCCGAGAACATGGCTACGTAGCTACTCACGATGGGTTCCGATGTGTGCGAGATGCGGCCTATTGAAATGGTCAAAGGATGCAGAGGATGTCGACGAGAGCGAACAAGAATGGGACGGACGGCCCTGCGGTGACTTGAGGGGTGTGGAACATCTTATACGCGGTTGCAAGAACACACGAACTACGTATCTTGAAAACATGGGCCTATAAAGCGAGCCGGAAACATCTGTGTATAGTCTTGTAACGGATGCAAGGATGAAAGATCTGCCTTTCGCAAAGTTGAGAAAAGAGAGCGATAAGCTGGCGATCAGGCTGCTATTAGCTGCGCCACAGCCAGCCACAGACGCGTAGCTGACGCGACGGGCGCCAACGACTGCCACGAAACTTATACTAGGCGCTGCTCAGCGTTCCAACGTTCATCATTTCAACTTCGTCAACGTTCAGGCCTCTGCTCTCTGCATCCTCGCTGCTCCCGTCGCTCATCTCGCGATGACGCGAAGAGCAAACTACTGGTTGACTGCTTTATTTCACTTACTTGCTTTCTCTTTGCTCAAGCACCTGCTCGCGCCATCATGGGCGCTCCACGCCTCCGAGGCCGGCGTGGTCGACTGGCATAAGCCTCTCATCGGAATTCCACTCACAAGCGCACCTTCAGCAGCACCGAGCTTCTTTAGATTGGAAAAGTCGGACAGAACCACCCATAGCCTGATTATCACAGCAACCGCAAGCAATGTTCTTGCTGCGCTCGATCCGTTGGATGGCAGCATTGGTACGTTGAATAATTGCGCACTTAGGTTGCAGCATTTGAATTAGGCAAAGTGTAGCATGGAGATACAAGTTTGATGAAGATGAAGATGTTCTTGCATATCGTGGAGAAAACGACGGTATGCTTAGTGTGTAAATATGCACGCCGGCGATACTGAATTATGTCCAGTCGTTGCTGCGGTCTCCGGCTCCGGTGGTGCAATGTTGCGCCTGTTCAATGCCTCTAACGGACATCTGCTCCTTGAAAAACGTCTGCACAAGCCTGAGGCAGGTCGTTTATTTGAGCCGGAAACGCTTGCAACCGCCATTGCCTTCGACGTGAACGACGTATTTGTTCTCTCGAACGCATATATCTTGCGACGTATTGACGGAAAGACTGGAGATGTCGTATGGAGTTGGATGTCGCCAGATCAATCGTCAGTCCAGCTCGCATATAGTGACCGGATGACCAGGCTCACCCTTCTTTCAGTTCACTTGTTGCCTACTCGAGGATCGTTGCGACGCCTTCAATTATTTATATTATCGGCCTCGCCAAATCCTTCGCGTCGTATACGATCCATGTGACGGCTCTGTCCTCGAGCACGGGCGAAGTCATTGCATCTGTGCCTATTCCTTCGAGTGTTCACAATGGCTTGACCGACTTCTTCGCCATCAGCAGTGGGACAGAGTCCCGTGTCATATGGCTCGAAGCAGGGGTGATTAAATCACTGTCATTCATGCCAGAATTGAAAGAGAAGCCGAGAGACATGTCTCGCACTCTGTACAAAAGCATCAAAGAGATTGCGCTATCCGCACATGGTTTGTTTATCGCCATCAAGGAGACCGAGAGCGCTTCCATCATCAGACTTGACAAAAAGGGTCTACAGGAGATCTGGGAGTTCACGGATTCTGTAAGCGTTGACACCGAGCTTCGTTCATAACGTTCCATTTTCCAATTTGAAGTCCACACAGTCACCCTCGAAAGAGTATACCGATTCTCAGTACACCGGTGGACTTGATAAGAATGGCCGTCCATACGTGGCTCGTGTGTACTGGTCACATACATTGAAGGTAATCACTGGGGGCCGTCGTGAGCGTTTCCAATCGATGACAATCCATTCTCGTCGCAGGTGGCTTCTGCACATGTCTACGCTCCACATCTTGCAGAAGGCAAGGGACTTGTCTCAGGCTACACGTTCCCCTTTGAAACTGACCAACACGGTGTCATCACACATGTACGAGGATCTGCCCAGTGTTGACGATCTCGCTGACTCTGGCGCAGGTTGCCGTCGATCTAGCCAATCCAGAGGAGTTTAAAGTGATCGCGCGTCTAGCCGTGACGACAAGTACGGGCGCCGTGCAGCTGTGGCATCACGATCAGCTCCAGTGGATCCGTGAGGAAGGTTTAGCGGATATCAAGGTGGCGGAATTGGTTGAGCTGCCCGAACGCAAGGCAATCGCTGCACACATCCGGGAGGAAAACGAGACTTTTGTTGATCGTTTGATAAGGCAGCTATCGGAAGCTCAGGTCAGTAATCTGTTGCAGTGTTCTCTTTAGTGTCGTCTAGCTAAGGGCTTAACAGGATTTTCCTGAGTACGCCGTGAACTTCGCACGACGGTTCGTCACAGGCTCGTACGCTTCTGTGTCGTCCTCTGTTGCTCCTCTCGCGAATGCGTCCGAACCGCTCTCGCGCGACACATTCGGTTTCCGGAAGGTCATAATTGCGGCGACTCCGTATGGAAAACTATATGGCATAGACTCTGCTAACGGAGAGATACTATGGAGCCGCATATTTGGCCTCGGTTGGGCGACCCAAATTGGTGGACAGATCATACCCGTCAAGATGTTCACGACTCGCACTGTGAATGATGGCGATACCCCGCAAGTTGTGCTTATAACTCAGAGAAAAGCTAGCAATGTGAGGAAACATTCTTAGATGCCACGAGTGATAGAGCTAATGCATTGCACGAACCCAGAGCCTTGTAGACACTGTCCTCTTCCATGTTGACGCGCTGACGGGCGAAGACATCAGAGGGCTCTCGCCAGCTCCAGGGGTACTTCAAGGTTTCGATGCGATCGCTGGCCCGCTAGTTGAAGCGTTCATGCTCCGTGCGGGTTCGAAGAGGATTATCGCTCTGCTTGACGAATTTGTCCAGGTAAGCCTCGTGTTTTCATTTGACTCCGCCTGAGTACATTGTTGATATGTGAACTGTGGCAGGTTCGCCTCTACCCTTCTACTGAAGAAAGTGCCGAGGCTCTCAAGGAGATGCTGCCACATCTTCACATCCCGCTTCGAACCGGAACTCCTGGACAGCGGATCATCACAGGTCACCAACTTTCGCCGGAGCCCGAATTCACCGGTTTCCACATCGCATATCCCACGTGGACGTTGATGCTTCCTAACAACGAAGAGATCCTCTCCATCATCCCTCGCACCCCTGACACAGTAGCATCGCTTGGGAAAGTGTTGGGCAACCGCACGACATTGTACAAGTACCTCAATCCGAACATGATGACTGTCGCGACCCGCTCGACCGACCGCCAAGAACGTAGGTGTTCGATTTACGTGGTAGATGGTGCGAAGGGGACCGTCCTGTATCATGTCGTCATTCCAGCGACGGACGATGTGAAGGTAGCGTTTGCCGAAAACTGGCTTGTATATGAGTACTACGATGGCGATATCGCGGGTGTCGATGCTGCGAAGAGCTATCATCTGGTCTCTGTGGAGCTGTACGAGGGCCATGGAGCGGATGACAAGCGGAGGAGGTACGTTCACAAACATGAATTGGTCCATTAGCGATTGTCTGATTCGCTCCAGTTCCGACCTATCCTCACTTTCAGCAGATACGATAGCAATCACCGCATTTGAACAGGCATATGTACTGCCTCATGGGATTAGGACGATCTCGACAACGTCCACAACATATGGCATTACCATGAAGGACATTATCGGTAAGTTGGGGAGCGCCTCCGCGCTTCCTGTGGCAGAATCCCACTGATCGTGCCCTTAGTTGCCAATGAGAACAATCAGATTCAGTCGTTCCCTCGGAGAGCACTTGATCCTCGTAGGCCAAAACACAAGCCTACGAATCAAGAACTGGAGGAGATGCTTGTGCAATACGACGCTCTCCTTCCGGACGATCCTAAGCATGTGCTCTCACACAACTATGAGGTAAGATCTGCACATGATATATCGCTCTTCTCGCCTGACAATGCTATACATCTAGGTTATGGGTACAAAACGCATCATAACATCGCCTGCATTGCTCGAGTCGACCTCTCTCGTGTTCACCTATGGACAGGACCTCTTTTTCACGCGAGTCGCACCATCCAACACGTTCGATGTCCTCAGTGAGAACTTCAACAAGGCACAATTGGTGCTCACGGTTGCAGGACTGGCGTTTGCGATCGCAGTGGCGAAGCCTATGGTGAGGAGGAAACGGCTACGCGAGAAGTGGTACGACCAGTAATGGCGGATTTTTCAAAAACAAAAATGCCTGAAAGCTATTTTGTACCTGTTGTGCTCATAATATTTCAAAGAATGACCGGAGTCCTGGCTACTACCCTCATCACTCGTGCTTTGCAAGAAAACTTGGATCTGTTTAATTGCTACATTCAATCGCAGTGGTTGCATTTCAGAACGCGCCAGGAGGCGGACTATCAGAGGTAGGGCCCCGCTTGGGGTCCCTTAATAGAGCTTATTGCAGCATCTATAGACGGATTTGTGAGGCTATTTACACTAGAAAGGTACCTTGCAGAACGCTCTCTGAATGAATACTTTCATGCAGTCATCGACCCATTTCTTCGCGGATGCGACACCCTTCGCCTTCCAGGATATCTAGCATCGCGTCGGCAGGTTCACCTGGATAGCTGTTGCGGAGGATATGCCGAATGGTAGGCAATCATCAATATGAAAGGATCCGCTGTGCTGCACAACGATCAAACATTTGTGCGGTAGCCAAACGGGTAAAGCTCGAAAAGCCGCCTCGATATCGAGTGTCGCTGCCTGCGCACCATCACGCGCAGTGTTAATCTGAACAATAATCGACGGAACAATGAGCCACATGGTTTGGGAAGATGAATATAAGAGGGCACCGATATAAACGAAATAACGCGGCATTAAGAAAACGCTCATGGCACGTCCACAAAGACGAAAAGCCACATAAAGGAGCAGGGTCAAACCTAGGGACAATCCCAATAATGCTCGAGACCCGCCCTTACTCGGGCGAGCCCCATGGGGCCAGCAGAGATGAAACTGTGAGAAGTGGAGATAAAATTCTAAAAGCATGAATGGGGGTTGAAACGCTAGAAGCGGATGCATGCACAGGTTGTGCAGCAGCGCGGAAGGAAGGAAAGTACCTAGAAAGAAACGCAACTTGGTAGCGAGTGCGGAATGTGACTCACGATTCCAGCGATCATCGCGGCAGTACCCCAGAGGGTCTGGAAATCGTCGGGATCGATTTGGTCGTTCACAGAGATACCGGCATCATCCTTGAAGGAGTAGTTCCGAACGACTCGGAACTTGCCCGGCGAACCTGCCTTCTCCACTACAGCTAACGGAGATGAGCGAAAATTGGACCGGAGGATTTGTTCGACAGTTGACTTCGAGAAAGGGCCAGAGAAACGTCCGGCATCGAGTTCTTCCTGTATGAATGCGTCGATAACGTCGGGGTGCGATAAAGCAGAGCTGTGATTCTCAGGTGTGAAAGTACGTGTAAGCGGGGCGAAGTCGCCGAGAGGGAAGCCGTTGCGAATCTTACATGACAATTGTGAGTAACGATCCAAGAGGCCACGGTGACGCAAAGGTCGTTCGAAGGCGTCAGCGTTGCACGGGGTAACGATGCGATCACGCACGCATGTATTTTGTGGATCCAGCATGGTGGTCTCGGGATCCGCAGAGTGAGCAAGAATGGCGCACTCCTTTGGGACAACGCCTCGCGGTACAGCTCCCGGAGAGGTTCCAGAGGACGCACGGCTCCTGGAAACGTCGTTCTGCGTATATGGAGATTGTTGGGCGGCCATCTCCGATGGATGTACGCGCGCAATTGGCTGCGTAATGCCCTGTCCTCACGCATACGAGGCAGGTCGGCTGTGAGGACGTGAGCCGCCTGCCCTCATGGCTCGGTTGTCGCATCGTCCTCCTTGTGGATACGGCGAGAAGCGGAGAGAAAAGTCACTTTGGGACTGTCGTCCTGCTTTGATCTCCTCGGATAAGACACGTGACTTGATTGCGTTTAGACGATTTTGGTACGACGAGTCTGCGGGAGAGAACCGTGCGGGGTTATTCATGTACCTGCGGCGTACCTCACAGTCGAAGCGCAGGATAGCCTTGTAATCCTCAGCGAAGTCCGGCAGCGCCAGGATATAGCCGAAGTGAGTCTGGAAACGGTTCGTCACCGTGTCATCGCCAATCCTCGCATATATCTTCAGCATGTTCTGCCAAGCCTCGAAGAACCTCTCTGGCGGGAGAGAAGATTCGTCCGGCCACGCGCTGAGATCCAGTAAGTCCAGCTTTTGACCGGCATAAGTAAGGACCTTCTTCGTTTTGACGGAAGTCGGGTATTGGTGAATTTTCCGTATAGCACTGGGTGTCAATAGAGTAAGAGGGATGTGCACACGAGCTAGACCCAATTTGACGATGGCAGGTGGAATCTCTAGACTCTGGTATTGGAATTGGTCTGAAGAGCGTTCGAATGCAGCGGACAACGATCTTTCCCCAGTCGCATTTGTTTCTGTGGACGTCCCACCGATTGTGTGAGTGGTTGTATGCGCCTTTCCAGCGAGCGACTCGAACACCTTGAGGATGATGCTTTGACGAGACGGAGACAAACCTTGCAGGGCGCCAGCAAATTGGTCCTTGTCGGCCAGACTAGGAGGAGAAGGCGGGGGAAGTGTCGTACCATCACTAGTAGCACCAGGCCTCTCGGATCCGTCCTCATCTAGCAGAAGTTCGTCCTCGCCGCCCGCGCGACGGCGTGCTCTGTCAGCATTGCGTGCCGTACGCCATTCATTCTCAGTCGCGATCATGTCCGCTGGGGCTCCGAGCCAAGGTGTAAAAATGCGTTCGGCATCGCGTTCGTTTCCATATCTTCCTTGGGTACCCGATTGACCTGTTGTGCCCAAAAGCGCCGTAAATTTGCCTCCGGCATCAGGGGGACGGTGTCCTTCAGCCACACTAATATAAAGCTATAAAAACAACTGCAACAAAGGCTATGGACGGGAAGCGATGAAAAACTGGAAGCGAGCGCGTAGCGAGGCGGTGGCGAGGAGAAGAGGCGCGATACCGTATGTCAGGTGAGCGCGTCTCTTTCTCGTCCACCTGCTTAGTAAGCAAGCGTTCGGTGTAGCGCTCGTTTCACGCGCCGGTGCCGAAGTTCACTCGAGGTACGGGATGTTTGTCGACCCTCGCACTCAGTCTCGATTTGGCGGGCACCTCTCATGTTGGGCTGCCCATGGCGCGACAGGTTGAACACTGTCAATAATCCGTTTTTTACGCACCCCAGTTGGACACATTTCATGGTCAGCGCACGTGATCGAGCGCGTCCTGCACGCGTCGCGCGGGGCCACTGCCTCCTGAGTCCTCTCGCCACAGCCTCATCGATACACGAGCTTGATATCTCTACCCATCTTGAACGACGACCCGAGTCTCAACACGGTGCCGATGTACCCTTCCGAAGACGAAGATGTTGCAAGGTGCGTTGAATTCTCTTCGCCCCGTCGTAGGCAGACGTCGCGACTCGGTAAGCTGATTCGCGCAGAGCCATCGCGCTCAGTCTGCAGGAATCCTCACTTCCGACGCGGGGCTCATCACCCAACACATACGATTCGAAAAGTCGCGATAATTCAGTCGAGGACGAGGAAGCTAGATTCCAAGCAGAGCTACAGCGCGCGATAGAAGCTTCAAAGCGGGACGCCACAAGCTCTGTGTCGTCCGGTTTCGCCACTCCAGCTGACAATGCTCCCAGCAGAGCATCCACGAACAGCTCTTTCATATCCGAACGCGCGCAACTGGAGCGGGAGAGACTTGCGCGGCAGAAACGGCTCCGTCCGAACCTCGACACAGACGCGAGAGAGAGCATAAGCGAGGACGAAAGTGATGACGATGAGCACAGGAACAAGAGGCAACATATCTTCTCTTCATCGTCTTCCAGACATAGTAGGACCAACACACGTGCTTCTTCTAGTGGTGCTTCTACGTCCGGCGGTTCCATAGCGCAGGCTGCAACAGCCAGTACACGCACATCTTTCAGCAGCGCGTCGGGAGAGCAGCTATTCTGGGATGGCGAGCTGCGGCAGACGGCGAATATGCTCGTCGATCCGGAGAAGGATGCCCGACCGACGTTTCGCCTTAGCGAGATTCTCGCACCGGTGAGCATTGCATGCCCCTGTTGGCTGTCTCCTCATCTCGTTTGTGTAGAGGGATGATATCGCATTCGCGATTGTCTCGTCTTTCGTGTTCAGCTTTTCATGGCTTTACTCCCTGTTTAACCCAAACACGCCTGTAATCGCAGTTGCACAAGATCCCGAAGGTAAGCGATAGAACAGCTATACCTCTCGTGATCTAATTGGTGTTTTCCAGGCCAAAAAACAATCAAGACAATCTTGCCCAACTGGGTGAAAACAACGCCGTTCCTCCGAAATGGCTGGGGATGTATGCATATGAAGGTTAGCTTATCATAGGATATTCTTCTCAGATGCTAAGGTGCATCCGCCATCAGTTCATGTTGGTAGGTCTCGAGGGTGGCGAGATGCCAGATAGACGTTTCACACTCACTTCGCAGTTGTTCTACAAATCTGGACGCCTACGCGTGGTCGTTTCAACCGCGAACATGGTTGAATACGACTGGCGCGACATAGAGAATGTACGTGCGCTCCGATCAGTTCTGAGATAGCGTATCCCGGTTTGTCACTCACAATCCCTCTGCAGTCCGTCTGGCTGCAAGACTTTCCTCCAAGACCGAGTCCTATCTCGCGCGACTCGGAGGCAGAAGACTTCCCGACTGCTTTGACACGCGTGTTGCACGCTGTGAACGTTGCGCCTGCGTTGAATTCTCACTTGCAGAACGAAGTAGGCCCACGTCGGTTTATCCGAGGCTCTATACTAATGTTTTCTTTGTGGTACAGCATCCCGATCTTCCGCTGCAGCGCCTCGAAAATCTCCGTACACGCTGGGACTTCTCCAAGGCCAAAGTGCAGCTTGTTCCGTCTATCGCAGGGAAGCATGAAGGATGGCCGAAGGTGGGGTCGTACGAGATATGTAATGGCGATGATGGAACTAATGGGAGACAAGGTTGTCCTGGCCGGCCACACAGCGTTGATGAAAGCCGTACGGGATGCTGGTATGACTGCGGATAAGAACACGGAGGTTGTTCTTGAGTGCCAGGTAGCCTTCTTTCGGGATTATTGGCGGTGTCGCTGTATCATTGACTCTTCTGTGCATTGAGGGCTCGTCAATCGGCACATACAGCACGCAGTGGATGAACGAGTTTTATTGTTCAGCACGAGGTGAATCCCCACAGTCATGGCTAGACACGTCCAAGACGCAGAGAGCCAAGCTCCCATACCCACCTGTCAAAATCCTCTTCCCCACATTACAATACGTGCGTGAGAGTAAGCTGGGTGAGAGGGTAAGTATACTTTCGAACCTGCTCATAGCTGCTATTGAATCATTGCTGATCTCCCATCTCTCAGGGAGGAGGGACGATGTTTTGTCGACAGAATCAATGGGAAGGAGCTAAGTTTCCGCGGGAGTTGTTCCACCAGTCGAGGAGCAAACGCGGAAGGGTGCTCATGCATTCGAAGGTAAGCAAACATCCCTCTTTCAGACACGTATGTTCACCTCGCCTAGATGATCATTGCCACCTATCATGAGCACCCCAATGCGCGCCAGAAGCAAGCCGCGCGATCGGATGTTGACACCGATGACGAGGATGCAAATGAACGAAGATCGAACAAGTTTATCGGCTGGGCATATGTCGGCTCGCACAACTTCACTGCATCTGCATGGGGGACGCTCTCCGGTTCGGCCTTCAGTCCTACGCTGAATGTGGGTGGTTTCACGGATAGTGCTGTCGACAGGTTAGATGACCTTATCTGTAGATCACTAACTATGAGCTTGGTATACTTCTGCCCATCCGGAAGGAGGAGGAGATAGATCGGATCGCATGCTGGGAACGTCCGCCGAAGAAATACGTTCTCGGTAAAGATGAGCCTTGGGTGAGTTCCGGGATGTTCTTCCCGCTGTCTGAATTTACTGACTGGTGTTTCGCGTACAGATGCAAGCCGAATCTTCCGTGTATGCGGCAATGGGTTAGACATGTTCGGCCTTGCCGCCTGTGTCGCCACCGCAGCAAAGATTGTGTAACTAAATTGATGACGAGCGCAGTCTGAAGCGAGTCGCACCCGATTGTAGCTACTATCCGGAACCTTGTTCGATGTATCATCACGATGAAAGACGTAGAACATGGTAGATTGCGATTGCTGCTTAAATCTGCCGTAGCTAAAGGGTATGGAGTTAACGCGCGGCCGATAGCCAAAGACTGGCAGGCACCGCGTTGGGCGTCGGTGTCGCCAAGCTATGCTGTTCAAACTGTACTTTTATTCTTAACGCGTATTTTTCTTAACGCGCGTAGGTTTTAACGCGCTTGGACATTTATCGGTAAATTCCGTCGACAGTGCCACGCCTCCGGGCCACACCCCTGGACCCGCCCCGTGCTCGCTGTGCGCAGCGACGAGCTGGAGGGTCTGTTGATCTTCCTAGGACCTGACCGGCTTTGGCTGATGCCGTCAACAAAGGCATCTTCGTAAGTGTCTGTCTTTGCTGTCATACTGGTGAGTGCGTCGACTACTCATTTGTCCGTGCCACACCCATCGCTCATGTGCTCTTTGATCAGCTATGCTCTCCATCGCACCCACCTCCATGTGTCCATTGAGCGCGCTTTTTGTCGCGCGCTATCTTATGCAATGCCAAAGAGCCCGGTTCCTCACTGCCTGCAGGTGCTCTGGCCACTGACCGACCGGCGACCTCGCCATCGTGAGTGCGTCTCAAGTTCATCTGCGACACGTACTTCACAAGATCGTCATTCGTTGCCATACAGAACGTGTACTCGAGGCCGGCATATTCGATGCTTGAGCCATGTCTTACTCCGAGTCATGTAGAATATCCGTCAGGACTTAGGATGAAACAATATAATTGGTGGTTCCTGCACTACAAGCTGAACTTGTATGTGAAGTTCGTGCTATCCCATGGATCGGCAAAGTGAGCATAGGCATCAAACGGACTGGGTGGTGCCGGCGCCTTCGCCTTCAGCGTGGGAGGTGTCAACGGCACGGGCACAACCTTATCGCTGGCGTCGTCCTGCTCTTCATCGCTGTCGGTTACCAGGATGACTTCTATGGCATCGGCATTCTGCTTTGCACTCGAAGTCGCAGTCTCGCTGTCATGGACTGCACTGATGCTAGCCTCGGAAAGGTGCGCCAGGGTGTTATCTGATGTCAGACGTACGAATTAATCAGCACAGCAGACTAGCAGGCACTGCAACGTACCGTTAGCCTCCCATCCAGCGGCAGGTGGACTCAGCAAACACAGACCACGCTCAATGAGCTCATCATCTGTGTCGTCAAATCCTTCTTTGATAAATGCCTGGTGCGCATCATGGCCATCACTGTCACCGTGCACCGAACGCTTATCATCCTCTGGGATTGAGCCATTGATACACGACGAGAAGGTACGTTTTGACTCATTTATGTTGTATATAATGATTGGACGCACCTTCTTTTGCCACCGCTTTCTTTTTTCCTTTTTTGTCAGCAGACGGAGCGTCTTTGGGCATCTCGGCAGCGTCTCCAACTGCCCACGTTTTGTAGATGTTCTCATCTATCGCTTGACGAGGTGCTGTCCATTGCGATTTTGGTGAGTTTTCCGTATGGCTCTCTACCCTTACTGAGGCTCACCTATGAAGATCTGTGATTCCTTCCAACCGGCACCACTTCGGCTCTTCATCATCACATAGAGAGGGCCATCCGGATGTTCAGCCTTGACGGCCTGGAACTTGCTCTTGCCGCTTCGAGATAGCAACACATACAGTAACTCATGCATCCTAATCTCCTCGTCATCTTCCTCTTTAATTGACATCACCCAGGGGTCACTCTCCGCAAAGTGGGAGAACAGCTTAGGAAGCAACCCACGCAGGAAGACATGCATGGATGCGGGGCCCCATATTTTGCCGAAGATGAACCCACTGACCAAATCGATGACGCCCAGGCCGTGATCCTGCAGCCGCAGAAGTTCGTGCTGATCAGGTGCGACATTTCCTTTTGCTTCGAGTATCTACTGATTCATCAGACAGTTTACCTAGTATAGCATCGCCCCACCACGTACCACAGACAGCCCGATCGGCAGAGCTGCCACACTGTAGATTCGTGCCATGCCATCGGCAACCCGCCTTGTTTCCGCACATACCCTGCCATTGAGCTAGCAGTCCATGAGGTCAGATCGCATGAGAATCAAGCGCACAGTGAACGATACCTTTGCAGCAGTACCACGCCGACCTTCAGCGATGCTGCTGCGACCACTGTGAAACGTCTGGCAGACTTCTGCACGAGCGTCTGCTTGCGAGACTTTGGGTACGAAGCTCTCCTTGAGGTCTTTTAGAATTCTATTGATGTGCTGATTATCGTGGCGAGATGGTTTCGGCTTCTACATTGCATGATTGTGAGCCACCTGCTCATGCAGTGGATCCGCCGCATAATTCGGGCTACACATACTTTGGAAGGCAAGTGTTCATCGTCACTTTCATCTTCGATGCGTCGACGAGAGCTGCTAGGTCGCACCATTGTTGGTGTCAGGACGGAGGTCAAGATGAAATTCAAGTTGCTGCGAGGCAAACTTTTCTTCGCTTATGCAATCCCGAGTCCCGACAGGCCATCATCGATCACAAAGTGCGGTCTCATTCACCGTGCGATGGTAAAAACATTTTATACAAGAATTGGAATGCTCTGCAACTAATCTACGCATTGTCGTACAATAGATAGGTTATGAGATGGAGCCCTTGTGCCCACAATTCCGCTCGTGGCTGCCATATATATTTTGGCAGTGTTATGATGAGCTCCTTAGTGCCACGACAACCCAAACGGATTGCCTCTTCATTCTCGTAAGCATCAACATCCTCTCCGACACGTACTCCATACCCTGCAGGCAGGAGACCATCCTCACGAACAGCAGCCAGAGCATTGAAGAACAGGGTCTCTGTGGCCTCGTCTGCAAAAGGACTGGCATGCGTCGGTACAGCGACAGGATCATGACGAACGTTATCTTGCTGAGCTGCTGTGATCTCCTCTGATATATTAGGAACAGAGCCGTTGACCACGGCATCATCTTCATCATCCAACTCCTCTTCCGGAGGATGCCCAGCACCTGTCTGTCCTCGTCGTCGATGTCTTGGTGTGCCGGTCGTCCCATAAAATTCGTGCAGTACATCGTTATGAATGTTGGTGCCGTCATCAGTATAGATGCCATTTGCGGTCTGACCGAGAAAGCGCAAATCCTGGGAAACATATCAGCCGGAATCATATATCGCGCATCAATTGTCAAGACTGACATTAGGGCTCTGATCATGAGTGTCTGGGCCAGAGATTGGGTGAGCATTCCACTCTTCTTGGAATGCCCTACAGTCAGCATTGATAGTGTTGATGAATAGGGTGTGTAGCAGCCAAAGGTGATGGTGATTGTATCGATCAAGCATGTGTAGACGTTCGAGGCGAACAAAGAACGCACGCCATTCACGGCAGAACTGACGCCCTACTTCAACCCACAGTTGCTCAATTCGGGTGTTGTGAGTTGAGCTACTCCATCATCAGTGACATTTCTGATATGATCATAGTGTACATACCTTCCCCACATGAAAGACGCACGATTTGGCCCACGGTGCATCACCATCCACACAGCCACCTCCATGTTCTCACCACCCCGATCTCCACGTACCCGAGACGGAGTCTCATACTCTTGCACTGCTGTCAGAAAAAGGTCGAGTACTGTGGTTGCAAGACTGTTCGTGCTAGCTCGCAAACCTGTGATCTGGATAGCCTTCAGAACACTGAGTGATGAAATACTGACAGCATCACGCACCGTGCGACAATACCCATCTATGAAGCCATGAATCACTATGCCCCAGTGAATGAGTTTGTGGTGGCCATCGCAATGCCATAGCGCATTTGGTCGAGATGACTTGTATCTGCGATGTCGGATTGTACGCTGCTGTCTTAAGGCATGACCAAGTCCATCGATGCGGCGTAAGGATTGATATAACCGATTCTTCTGAATGCGGAGTTGATGTCGCTGCAAGAACCCTCGAAGATACCGGATACCGGAGTCAGGCTTGCTGTGCTTGTAAGCCTTGACAACCGAGTCCAAGTCGTGATTTGTAAGTGCAGAAAACGCTCGGCGCAGTCCATACGTCTTGAGATTTTTGTGGATTGTGTGTCTGTGAACACCGAGTGTGCGGGCAAGCTGTGAAATCGATATATTTCGCCTCTCGGACATCGCTTCTTCTAGGAACGTCTTATCTATGATTGTGTGAGGTCTTCCAGGCCGTCCACTGGGATGTGAGATGATTGGATTGACTCGTGCAACATGGGAAGTATCCCTGTGGACCATTAACGTTGCTATACAACCCAAACTCAGCGTACTGACACACCTTCCACTAGTATTCTCCATTGTGGCCCAAAGCCCAGCTATCACTTGAGCTAGCGCATGAACAGCCTCTTCAAACCATTCTTGTGGGATCATACCGCCTTCATCATCCTCTGGGTGTTCTGCAAGGAGTTCCAGGATAGGAACCATTTCAAGAGTCAGCTTCTCAAAATGATATCGAAGGTGTAAGGGGTCTGCATCATCGAGGTGAAGAAGTCGGCTCGCATGCTTGTATGCCTTGTTCAGCTGCCTGAATGCATTGCATACATTCGCGGACCATGTGGTCAGGGCTCTAGGATTGGGGAGAGGTGGTAGTTCGGCTGGGGGAAGGCTGGCCATGTGTGCAATGGGCAAAGGTGGCAGGTAGCACAATGCGCAAGAACTCAAACCGATGATCGAGGACCACTTGCCTTCTACAGTTGCCGCGATTGACGCTTGTCCTCTTCGCTCAGAACCTGCTACATATGCAAAATGGTGTCGGGAGTACAGCTTAAGTGCGACGACTTCAAGGCAAGCACTCTAGTCCAGTCAAGGCACTACTATAGTGAGCCTGAAGGAACATACGTTTTTTGAGTAAGACAAATTTGGCTCTGAATAGACACTCAACTTACAATCTATCCAGGTCGAAGACACGATCTTCAAGCTTCATGCCGCAGTTCTCAAGAGTGCAAGCACAGTCTTTTCAGACATGTTCGCACTCCCCGCATCTGTTGAGAACATGGAATGCTCAGTAGATGGCCTGAACGAGGACAAACCTATAATACTATGCCAGGTTGCGGCACAGGATTTCAGCTATCTATGCGACTTCCTTTATCTTCACAAAACGTGAGTCACATTGTTCAAGCGGGCATTGATAAACGAGTACAGAATCAATTTAGATGGATATCCCCACCATACGACGTGCGGTTTCTCATTGCCGTCCTCGAACTATCACAGAAGTGGGAGATCACCAGCGGCGAGCAATGGGCAACACATTTTATCAAAACAATCGCTGATACGATCAAGCCAGCCCTACGGCTTCGATTGGCATGCGTGTACAACTTCCCAGAGTGGGTCCGGCCGGCTTTCATGTTATTGATGTTCAGGTCCTTGTGGGACTTGAAAAGGTGTGATCGTGAATGGTTAGGCTACGAGGCCTATACAATCATCGCACAGACTCAAGAGGAAGCACGTACCATCCGCCTCAAGCTCGCTTTTATCCCACCCGATATCAGCCAAGTCCGTGGCAATGACTGTTCCGAGAGCAAGCATCATCAATGTGTGGTGGCGTGGAAGGATGCATGGATTGTGCACATGGGAAGGCAGCTGTGTCACCCATCACATATCTTCGCACTCAAGATGCACGAGGCAGAGGAGGAGATAAGGAAGCTACAGGTCAAAGATATGAATAGAAGCTGCCGTGATGTCGCGGTGGCAATGGCAGCTGAGACGACGGGCTTCAGCGTGGAGGAGAAATTGATGAATGCAGCTGTGGCTGCACTGTCGGAAGTGCACTTTGATAGGCATGAGGCGATATCATTGGAGAATGGCCAGAGGTAGATATATTCATCATGATCGCAAACTCTACATACAATGCTTCATCATATCGCATTGTGACCGCGATGCCGGACTGTCTCACATCCATGCCAGCAAACCAGCGATATGGGAAAGAATCAATCCATATCCACCAAACACCTGAACCATCACAGCGACATGAGCTGAACATACCTCCCGACTAACAGATCGTTTGGCGGCGTGTTCGAGTTATGCTCCATGCGCGTTAAGTCCCAAAACGCGCGCGTTAGGTTCAAAACGAGTTAGGATTACGCGTTAAGAATAAATATACAGTTTGAACAGCATACCAAGCAGGGCCACACACGGCTGAGAATAGCGCTGCGGCTGCGATGCCCGGTGCTAACGGGCTACTAAGTGCCATCTAGTCGCTGGTGCTCGTGTCCCCCCTCTCGCCGCACGGCTTGCTCGCCATCGTCGTTCGCTTTCATAACGCTCGTTCCCCTGTCCTCTCAGCCCGCGCGCACGATACCCACTGAGCACCACCATGCCCCTCCGTCTGCGATCCTCAATGGCATCTAGTCTGTTCGCGATTTTCCTGGCGTGCTGTCTAGCACCCCTCGTCCAGGCAGAAATGATGTGTTAGTTGAGGCATTGGTAAGTTGGAAGCGTAGCCGCTGACGGGTGAATGCGCAGGGTGGAACTTTACCTCGCCTACCGCAGGGACAAAGTGGGCGAACGGCAAGACGAATCTGCTCTCGTGGCAGTCAGGCCTCCTAGAGGACCTGGACGAGTTCGACATCGAGATGCAGCGCTTTAGCGTCGCAGGGCTATCATACGTCGCACACAACGGTACGTAGCCGTCCACTCCTCATCCACCGTCACTTACCACACGATCCTCACCTGCCGCCGGGCACTCTCTCAGTCCCCGCGACGATGAACAGCCTGAACATATACCTCGACAACGTCCCAACGGGCGACGACTACTACGTCATGTTCCTCAACTGGACCGGCGGCACGCTCTACGCCACCTCGGACGCGTTCACCGTCGCGAGCACCGGCACCGCCACGAGCGACCCGAGTGCGCCCACCATCTCTCTCACCCACAAGCCGAACACCGTCGAGCAGTTCGCGGCGACGTTTTCCTCGTCTGGCTTGCGCGGATGGACGATGCCGCAGGGGTCGTCGTTTCAGCTTCTCGTTGCGCTGTGTGCGGTCGCCATTGGTATACTGGGCGGTGCGCTGACGCTGCTGTAATGTGCTTGACGGACAGTAGGAGTCGTGCGTCGACTCTGTGACTGGGAATAGGGTGTGTTGTTCCTAATATATACCGCAACGACTGTTTGCTAGTAGACATGCTTACTCATTGTTTCTCTAACGGACTGCTATCGACGGACACTCGACGCTGTACTTACGTTGGATCTCACATGCTGGTTGATAGTGCTTACTTCTCATTATAGACGCGGTTTTGGATACATACAATATCATAGTCAGTCGGTACCTCTACAGCATTCGCGTTCGAGAAACACGGACCTCAGGCTTGCACAGCCAAGACATGTAGCAGGGGGTGTAATTACTACCGTGCGTAATCACAACTCTGTCCGGTGACAAGCAGCACAGGAATGGGCCAGTACAATATAGATTATGATAGTATGACAGAATCTCGGTGTGCAATGATAACGATAATCCAAACCTGGGCGGGCTTCAAATCTATCAAACGCCCCTCTCATATTCACCTCGGTAGCTTAATAGTACTCTTCTTCACCTCCCTCCATCCACCCTCCACGATCTCTGATTTCGCCTGAAGCACCGAGCTTGGCTTTGCTGCGGGGCTTTCGCCCGTGCAGTTCCTTGTACATCTCGCGCATCTCATTTTTTGACGGGCGCACTTCGCCCTCTGCCTCCTGTCGCCACTTCTCCTCGCGTGCCTCGCGGGGAGTCTGGTTGCCCGAGCCAGGCGTAGAGCGGCCTGAATAGGAGTGATAGACGGGTCCGATATCTTGCGGCCGTGACGCAAGGGATTGCAGGTAGAGGATGCGCTATCGGAAGGGTTGCGACGGAAAGAGGTAACGAGAGAGTCACAATTAACAAACGGTCGTCAATTAGACAGGTGATGTACTGACCCAATTCTGCTTGGACTCGCGCTTCGTCCATTTGCCAGGAGGCAAGCTATCGTCATGAAAGTTCTCTTTCCGGTAGTGCTGGAACCAGACTACACACCAGCATGAGTCAGCACCGAGTATTGCGGATCAAACTTCTGTGCACTCACCATAATTTATCGTCTGGCTCCTGTTCCACTTCTTCGACACCCGGGAGCACTTCGCGAGCTGCGCGATCGTCAGGAGGGAGAAAATTCTCTGCGACAGGTCAGTCGGAAATGCCCTCAGAGGGTCAGGCGAGGTGCCCTGCGATGTCGATGAAGTGTGGTACGCCCGGCGGGGTAGCCGTGAAGCACCCCCAGGACCTGGGGATGCCGGGCGCGACGATGGCCTTGATTGCGATGCGGGCGTGCCAGGGGCTGACACCTGCATTCCGGAATGAGATGGGAAAGCTAGAGCAGCAACATGGTCACGTACAACGCCCACGAGCTCGTCGTCGCTGTCCCGGTCATTCTGCGGGGTGCTCCGTTCCCCTTGAAGCTGCTTATCGAGCGAATCTAGCGTTTGCGTGCGGAGCACGCCTTGCAGGAGACTCATGGTTGTTGTCTAGGGTTTGTGTGAAAATGTGGGAGATGGTGGTGGTTGCGAGGAGAGTCGTGCAGAGCGAGAGAGCACGGTGGCTGGATTACATAGGAATCGGAATAGCTGTGGCTTGGGATTGGTCCTGCATGACGTCAGCTAGCCCGGAATGGAAGGTCTCCTTGTTCCGCTGCCCTCTTCCGAGTCTTTCCTGTGCGTGCTGGTGCGTTCTGGAGCATTGCGGAGTGTGCACGTCCGTGCCACTAATTGAAGATCAAACTTACCTCATTGCCTAGGGGAGATGTTGACAAAGTAAGTACAGTTGTCTATTCTTTTAATAAATTAGCTGTGAAAGTACATGCAAGTGTATCAGTACGCCGAAATTTTTTTCAACATGTCATCAATGAGCAGGTCGTTTCAAAGTTTCAATAGTGAGCGCTGAATGAAACAAGGGGAATGACCAAGGCCACCAGGCGGGCAAGCAGGGAACCAGTTCGAAATGACCGAGAATGTCATGCGCTATAGATTGATGTCTCGAATTCTCAGCATCGCGAATAGATCTCGACCCCTGCTTCCTCAAACAATTGTCGGAATTCCAGTGTATCCGGTTTCAGACAGCCGTCAAGTGGCGTTGCTACGGCTCTCAGCCTGTTCCACTCATCACGGAAGAAGACGTCGTATGATGGAACCTGTTGCATCGGAGAAGGCCATCAGCCATCTGCATTACAAAACACAGATACACCCATACTCGCCTGTGGTCTCTGTGAATCTCTGTATGGCTTGAGGATCTGTCCGTGATACCATCTTCCGAAGCATTTTACCAAGGCGGTTTCCCCGCGCTAAAAGTCAGGAATCAACATTAACGAACAGATAGAAAAAAAATGAGAGTTTTCACCTTGAACTTGTAGTCCATCGCAAAATCCAAGTCGTACGCTTTGATATCACGACGATGAGCTGTGGCGTCGTGCGATATCACCTTCAAGCTCCTCTTATCGGCATCGATTGCTGATTCACCGCTCTCAGACATCTCATAATCGGCATCAGAGTCCTCCATAGATGCGTCTGATTCATCGTCGTCAGAATACGACTGCTGCTGCCGTTGTATAGGTGCATTTTGTGTGGGTCTCTTTGGCGAGTTCATCATGGAAGGTCTTGGCTGCAGCCGTCCACGCCACCGCGGGACGTCGGAATCTTCATCGTACTCTATGCTCGGCGCAATGGCCAGTTTGTGATCGAGCTCAGGGGAGAGCGGTGGCAGATCAAACGATGAGCCACTGGAAGACGACGAAGGGGATCGGCAGAGACGACGACGGCCGTGACTCGACGGCGCACCACGGCGGCGAGCTGTGTAGTTTGTCATCGTATCTGTGATTGAAGGGCGAGTGAGCGACAATGATTGGAATAGGCTAGAGGAAGGCGGGCGGCACGCTAAAGTAATATGGGGGAGGGAAGATAGGGTGGTTGGACCCACTCCTTTATACTCTTACGTGGCCACAAAGGATGGTGCTGCGCTAAGCGCGGTGTTATTTGTTTTCCACGCCTCGCACGCCGCTCGCGGAGAACAAGAAGAACTTCTTTTGTGATCTCTCGATATGGAATGTGGTCTCTGCCCTAGCGACGTAAAAAAAACGTGGCGCCAGCAGCAGCTGTGACTCGCCGGACCGCTGCCACGTCCAATGAAGAATGAAAGAATGCACGCAAGGTCGCTCACCTGATATTGTTATGCTGGAAGGGAGAAAGGAGGTAGTAGTTTTAGAAGCGATGGGCGGATCTTAGTGCGCTGTTACTGGCTCAGCTGGCGTCCAGGGCACTGGTTCTTAAGTGGCGAGGAGAGAGCTGCTCAGGATCATATATAGGGCGATGCCACAGCCTCATGATGATGGGTGGCGACTCGGAGTGGCATGTTATGATCGATTATCACTCTCGCCTTCATGCAACCACAAGCGAGCACATCGCGAGTAGGGCATGTCCCGGCGCAAAAAAAGTATGAATCATCTATTATGTAGTATGAATCGCGCGTGCTCTTGAGAGGGTCATTGTTCAAAATCATAAGACAAAAGGCGTGGACGGAGCGCGCGCGCGCCACACGGCCATGGCGGTGGCACGGGAGATTATCACCCATTTGCGGTGGCATACCTGTCCCTCATCGGGCGTCTACAAAGTTCCTCACACAGCTCCCTGCGCGAAACCCAGCCATACCTAAGATGAGTGGAGATCGCATATTATGTACGTAGACGTCTAAAAACTGTGTTCGGTCGGTTGGCGCTGGGATTGGGAACTGTTGTCCGATATTCGTGTTCCTCGGACATCGTCGAACTTGAACCTTGTTATCCAGCTCTCAAGCAAGCTCTACGACAATGGACAACATAAATGACGGTAGCCAGCCCTCGGGCCAAGTTAATTGATTATCTGTGGAGCATGTAAGGCAACAGGATCATGCTGCGGACTACAATGATTGATGTTGTAACCAAGCAGTGGCCGAACAAGTGTGAGTGTCCGAATAATATAATCTTGATCATGCGTCACCTCATGCCAGACAAGGCGATTTTAGCCTCATTGGACGAACCCGAAGGTCAAATGCAGCAAATAAACTGCTGCTCATAATAGCCGCCTTATTAAGATGTCTGCTTATATCGTAGTGTCTTGCCGATGTGTACTAATGGTGGAAGTCGAAAGACGGATATTGAGGATGAAACATCAAGGAGCACATGCTATCCGTGTCCAAGAGAATGCTACATCCTGTATACGCGATTTGACGATCCGTTACTAACGGAACAATAATCCTGATCGTAGTACAGTTGATCAAAGCAACAGCAATGGTCAATACAGAGATAAAACAAGAGATAGATAGTCATATATTTCGGGGACTACTTTTCAATCAGATGGTCATGTTCAAAGCGGTTCGTCGCCTGACGAGAGTAACCGACGGACAAGCGGAGTGTCCGGTACAGTTTTTCCGTCCTCCAGCGCGAAGGCCGACTTCAGGTTCGCTCGCCTCCTTAGTCCGAACTGGACAGTGTACATTTGCACCTATGTGACGAGCAACGAGAGCTCACATCAGCAGCCGCTAAATTGAGCGCGTGGCCACTTACTCCAGGCCTGCTTTTGCTTTCTGACACTTTGAGGACCTTTCCTTTGACCCATCGGTCGGTTGGCTTCACCCAGACTACGTCGCCTTTCTGTCAATGGGGTATCGTGGTAAGTATTCGTCCGAAACACAGAGAAAGGTCGTTGGTGCGAACCTCGATAGTACATTTGGTTGGTTCGACTGGTGCAGAATGGCCACTCTCGCCACTGTCGGCACCACCATCGGCGAACTCCTCGTGTCCCGATGGCCCAGGCTCATCGACCTCCATCTCAGAGCACTCATCCGCCCCGTCGTAGCCCTCCTCCTCACAATCCGAATCGTCGTCAGAAGAAACCTCCGGCTCCGGACTCTTCCTAAGGACGCCCATGATGGACCAAACATTCCTCCGTGGCGCGTAGTCTTCATAGCCATATTCATCAACGTACGGCGAGCAGTTGAAAGACATCTTCAAGTGAAAAGGCAATTTGTTGGAAGCACTATTATTGAGAAACGAGTGGGACGAAGTACGAGGCTAAGACATGGGCCTTTTATACCTAGGATGATGTGGCTCGAACACGAGGCCAATTCCTGATTGGTCACCGTGATGAGTGGCCAGTGGACTTTGTGGGGATTGAATTACCCACGATCCGAACGTGTGGCAGCAACCTCCGCTTGAGCCGTTTGGCCACTCGATGTGGCACCGGAGGCATTTTGCCTGCACCGAGTGGGCGCATCGAGGCCCTAGCTGGATTCTCTCGCATATCTTCTCGAGCCCAAGTCATCTTCACATCCTTTTCTCGCGCTGCCTATTGGTACGTGTCAGACAGTCCTGGAGTAGTCGAAACAGATGTTCAGATGTTGGCTACACGAGCGGGGGGTCACCACATCGTGCGCACCTGCAGTTATCCGGCAATATCCTCAACTCCACGATTTCTTAACGTGTTTTAACTGCCTTGATGAGCAAGGGCCAGCTATCCTTCGAGCAGTAAGCGATATAATCGATATTCCTCCTGTGACGTATACAAAGTATCAGAGCATCCCGCCCAATTGAACGCATGCGTTCCTACATACTAATTATCCATATATTCCGAGTTGCAAGTCCAAAGTATTAAGGGCGGTAACGGACAAAAAGGCTATCCGCGAAGTGCTTGCATTGAGCATCGGGCATGGACACTCCAACGCCTATTTGAAAGGATCCCCGAGAAACTCTCGTAGAAGGAAGTTCCTACGTTCGCACGCCTCGCTAGGATATTGGCCTTATGATAGGAGAGCTTTCCAATGAGGCTGCGCGACTGCGGATCACACCGTCTATATCGCAATCCAGTGCAAGATATCTGTATGTTCCGCAGGCGTTGATCCGTTCTTGTTTCTCAAGGACGTTGTTAGCCGAGAGGCCGGAAAACAGAGCATGGCACGGCTTACATTACGCTCAATGGTACAATGAAACTGGATAGCCAGAGTCACCGCATGCAATTCTTGACGGGATTGCGAGCAGTGCACAGATAAATATGCAGCCGTGTGCATGATTAACACAGCACGCAAGACTAGCAAGACTAGCAATAGAGATGATGCTCCCGCAGAGAGATGGTTGCAGGATTATCTGCAATCCGAGGCTGTTCTGTTATCATCCCAGCTTCCTTTTTTTAAAAGAAAAACTCACAACCAGCAAATCAATTGACGTCACGTAGTATTTGAGAGCATTTCTATCGGTGCGTCCGTGTTAATTAGCAAGTTGGCCCTCAAGCCTCGGCGAGGAGATGACATCAGCAATAAAGCAGTCTCAGTTGAGCGTAACGCTGGCGGTAAGGCGCTCAACAAAGTCTCGTTCAGGATTGTTCATCTTTGCCGTTATGATTGTCCTGCACAGCTCCGTACGATGCGAACAGCGATGTCGATTGTAAGGGGGAGCCGCTTCTCCTTCGTGGACGAATCCATGCCGCGGTTCCTCGGCGAAAACTACGCCGTAGCTATGTCGGCTGGTTGCAGCTGACTTTCATCATCGGAACGTACCCCTCCCTCTTCTTTCAAGATCGCAGCCCTCTCCTTCACTAGTGCATTTCCCATCGTCCCTCCTGGGTCGGACACTTTGTGCGCTGGTTGCTTCCACACTATCACCCGTCGCAGCGATGCAGGAAGCGTCTGCGCGTACACTCAGTCAGTCTTCTCCTCTCGATTCCTTCGTACGCCGGACGTCTCGCAAGGCACATCTCACACCTCTATTGACGCCCTCGAGAGCGGCTGCGCAAGCCGCGCCTCAGCCAGTGGAGCATTCTCCCATCCTTCACACGAACTTCCGCACATCCTCGACGACGTTCGACTCGTATTCGCAACATGATCGCAGCGGCAGCGATGCCCAATCCAGCTACTCATGGGCCAAACACGACTCGATGACCCACGACCCACGCGTGAGTGGCCAGGGGCTGCTGTCGGCGAGCTTCGCGGGGACCCGTGCAGGGCCAAGTAGAGGCGAGTCGATGATCGACTCCGTATACTCCGAGTCTACCTATGACATCGACGAAATCACTGCGCAATATCGCGACTCTCAGTACCGTGACTCCTGGCGTTCAGAGGGTAGCGCCAGGCCGGGCCAGTCATCGCAACAGTCTGCGGCCGCGTCGATTCCCACAGTGGTTGTTTCTACAGATCCAGGACCGCACGATGCGGGAGGTGAGCTCCCGTCGCAAGTGCAGGGCACCGGACAGGTCAACTTCTCGCGGCCGGCACCTCCTGCCGTGGACAGATCGGACGAACGCAAACTGGAGGTGCTGAGGAGGAACCAGCAACGGTCGTCGAGGTCGTCTTCGGCCGCTTCCCGACAGTCCCCGCGTTCGCCCCTCGGGCAACATGAGGTGCAAGTGAATGCCAGTCGATCCGATTCTAGTATGGGTGCGAATTCTCCGCGATCACCTTCAGTAGGAGCTGCGAGCCCACAGGTGTCGCGCGTCTCTCCAAACCTCTCACCATCTGCGCCTCCATCAACTGTCGGTTCTCCGCAAGGATCACCTCGGCCGACAACTCCTCTTAGCCTCTACTCAAACTACTCCTACTATAACCTCGAGAACCTTGTGCCAACTCCCACCACGCCCGGTCATCCACCAACGTCACCGTCACCGTCGCCGTCACCATCGTTGTCCCCACGACCAACAACCGCCTCTCCGGCGCCTAAAGAATCTAAGACTCCGGAAGAATTCTTGCAGCTTGGTATCGCTCATCATGAGGCAAACCGGTTGACAGATTCTGCGGCATGCTTCCAGAAGAGCGCAACGTTGAATGGCGGGTGCGGAGTGGGAATGCTCATGTGGGGCCTCACGCAGCGGCATGGATGGGGCTGCACGCAGAACGAGCAGGCGGGCTTTAGGTGGCTCAGGCGTGCGGCGGAGGTCGCAGTGGAAGACTTGGAGCATGCGAGGAGAGGTGTGAACACAGGTGCGGTGAAGGTGAGCGGAGTTTAAGCTCAGATTGTGGAGGATTTCAAGCTGACATAGAAGCGGTGTTAGAAAGAGCTTGTGCTAGCTATCTACGAGGTAGGGCAGAGCTTCTTTCAGGGATGGGGTGTGGAGAAGGACAAGGAGATGGCAGTGGTATGTTTGTGATCGCGCCTTTTCATGAAGCAACGATGCCCGTTGATCATCCCGCTATTATCCAGAGCTACTTCCGCATGGCAGCACGGCTTGGGGACCCGGATGCTCAACAAGATCTTGCATTCTGTCTGGCAAACGGCAAGGGCTGCAAGAAGGACAAGAAAGAGGCGGCCAAGTGGTACCGCGCTGCGGTAAGATCGACCCGCGTTGCCATTTTTAGGCTGTTATACTCAGTGTGCGGACTTCAGGTTGCTCAGGGTGTGAGCGATGTGGGACTTGCCTGGATATACAAAGAAAAATACCAGTAGCAGTGGTTCCGGGGTACTCCAAGACTTATTGGTCTAGATGAGTTGACAGACATTGTGCAGTGAGACTTTGGCTTTTCGACCTTCTTTCTTTTGCCCTTTTTTCGTTTGCTTGATATCCTGCTCGCGGATCGTTACTCAATTCACTACGGTGCTATGCTGTATCGGTATGCGTCGCCAGCAGGTTTGGTGTTCTATCAGCTTCTCACTTGCCATGGCTCATGGACCTTCTCCCCCGGTGATCGTTGATCATACTTTGCTTGTTTGTTGTCGATACCTATTCCAGAACAGTTTGACATGGGCATAAAAAGGTACCGAGGCTATGCCTATTCCATGCAGGCCTTGCATATGTTACATTTCGAGCAGACTGTGCGCACTGGGTAGACTTCATTACGGGCTTAGTCTTGAAGGCGCTCCTAACCTTCTGCGCCACCATTGCGAAGTGGTCGCTTTTGATATAGTTGAATATAAATAATACGGTCTCGAGAGAAGACATGGCCGGCTAGCTCAGTTGGTTAGAGCGTGGTGCTAATAACGCCAAGGTCGTCGGTTCGATCCCGGCGTTGGCCAGAATTTTTGTCGGTGTCGCTGGGCACCATTCTGCGTTCCCTGTGCACCGTTCTGCATTCATGACTGAGTCCAGTGCAGGAACAGAGCAAACAAACACAAGGCACATTGTTGACGCAGAGCCAACACGATGAGGGATACAGAGCGAACACGATGAGGGATACGGAGCAGTAACATACTGTTTGCATTATTGGTGAGTTACAACCCCAGAAGGTTGACAGGCGAGCAACAGCCCAACGTGCTATAAGTACCTATTATAATGCATATTATGCTGGCTTAGAGTGTCGTGTTTCAACCAAATAGTCGCGCCCATATCTCCGCGCCAGCTCTCTTGCGTTCCTCAGCAGCGCCGCCATTGCCAAGCACTGTTTTGTTTTCAATCGCACGGCGGCTGAGATAGGGCATGACCTAGAACACTCCATTTAGTAGGACAATCAAGGAAGATGGTTTATAAATCGGACCTCAGCCAAAGCGCCATAAGGGAGGTATTTCAGGACGAAGGGCGAGTCGCAGCGCGTCCGTTCGACGAGCGAGTTCGACAATGCATCACACATTCCTGGTCGACCTCGACTCAGCAGGACCCCAAGAAACAGGAAGATCCTCTTCTACGCACCATACAACTGTCCGATCGCAACTCTCTCGGTCGTTTCCACAGGCATGGCCACCGTGCCAGTCTCATCTTTCCTCGCAATCCCGAGTTTGAGCAGCTGATCGAGGATCAAATCACAGCTCCCCCAATTGTGCGTCCCGAAGAACACGCCGATCCGCGGTGCCTCGCCGTCGATGTCCTTTCTGACCTGCTGCAGAAGCATGACCACGCTTTCGTTGTAGCATGCGTCCGTCTCGGGCTTGGTGGACCATACCGGTGGTTGCGGGTCGGGCGAGATAGAGAGCGAGTGACTAGAGGACGGGTCAGAGGCATTGCGGGCAGCTTCGTGCGACACTATTTCCTGTGAATGATACGCGCCGCGGACGAGCTTCACGCCAAGTGCGTAGCCTCCGGTGCGAGCGGCCGCTATGCTCTGTCTCAAATATCCGGGTGTTCTGGAGTGTTCACGATGAGCCGCGTAGATACCTCTACTATGTCACAACCAGAAACTGACCGACGGAGGTATGCCTGATATGTCTGGTAAATCAACGGCTGCACGTTGGCTGGCTCGGACGGCGCAGATGAACGAAAGAATGACGACGGTTTAGCCGGCAGCTTGTTGAACTCGCGTTGCAGGGCAAGCGTGAACGCGTCGATCGCTGGCTGGTACCAACTAAGACCACAGCGAGCAGACGTCAGACAGGCTCTCAAATGAACTCTTACAGATGCACAGACCTGTGCTCCGCATCGACAGTTATTCGTACGTTTCGCGCCTTGGCTCGTGCACCGATCAAACGGAGGTCCTCAAGCAGTTCCTGCAAGTCCGCTGTATCTGCGCTCGAGAGAGGGCTATCCGGTGGCAAATTGGAAGAGAGGATATTGAAGTCCGTGGGGAGCGGCCGGCCAGGGAATGGGATCGGTGGCGAGGCTGCAGGGCGGCTGGCCACCAGGTGTTTCGAGAAATTGTACAGAGTCTCTGGACGAGGTAGCATAGCGCTCTGTGCAACGAAACATGAAGAATGCGCTCAACGTGGCAGGACTTGAGAGAGAGTTACCAGCTTGATCGCAACCCAAGTCTTCCGTCCAGTCACGCTTGTTCCATTGTTGCCCGAGTGCTTGTCTTCGAAATCCGCCGCGACGTCAATGCAGTGAAGAGTCTCCGCAACGATGTGCTTGTGCATAGTCTGTTCCGTCTCCCTGTCGTGTTTCGCTTGACCCGTTGCCTGGGCCTCGTCGACCTCGACGCTATACACGAATAGGCTACCAATGTTGTCCGACCGGAGTTTCTCAATCACCGGGACCGCATCTTCTGCTGTGTCTCCACCGACGAACTAAATGCACATGAGCTGTAGCTATATGCGCATAGATGGTGAAGCAGACCTGGTTAAAGAACGTCGCCCGGACGAATGCCTCCGTAAATTGCTTCAGTCCTGGTACCGAGGACAGCGCAGAAAGGATGGCCGGCGAATAGTCCACGAGAGGCGGTATCGAACACATAGTATACACCGCATAAGTTCTGATTAAAGCAGACAAAGGCGTCTTGTGTCGTTCGGAATCCGTCTTGCCCTCAGAATGGGCAGCATCAGCATGAATGGTACCAACAGCATTCCCGAGCAACACGGAGGCAGTCAGGACACCTCCACTTGCCAAACCAATTCGAAAGAGTCGAGAAGTACGGAAAGCAGAGCGAGAGGAGGTCGACAGAGTCCGAGCAGGAGGAAGAGCGTGCGCCCTGGCATTGACAAGCCTTCTGCAGGCTTGTCTGAACCACATCCTGGATGAAGACGGGTCCACGCCGCCCACCAAAATAGACGCTATTATACGCGTCGCTTATCACTATCACTAGCACTATCCGCACTCTGAGGAGTCATCGCAGCCAGGGGGTGATCTACGAGGGTAAAAAGTGAGTCGAACACGCTCTCGAGCCCCAGCCGGCCTGTGTGCAGTACCGGCGCTCCGAGCTCAGAATCAGCAGTTGCTTCTTCTCCACGAACCTCGACCGCGGACATGGCCAAACGAAAGCAGCAGCACCCAGACGATGTCGACTCGGACGGCGACAACGCCAGCGAACGTGTATGTCTCTTTCCGATGAGTTCTGTGTATGCATATCCGCCTCATCCGGCACGACCAGTAGAGCCTCGTGAATGTCGATTTTGACTTTTTTGACCCCAATCCGGAGATCGACTATCTCGCCCTCAAACGGCTGGCTGCGCAGCTTTTCCAAGCAGATTCGGAGCAGCTGCATCTCAATGACCTTGCAGACCTAATCCTATCGCAGCCGCTGGTCGGCACTACCGTAAAATGTGATGGGCGGGAGAGTGACCCATATGCATTCCTTACCGTGCTGAACATGCACGTCCACCAGGTCAGCTCGTACATCCTTTTTCTCACTTTGTGGAGCGCTCAACATGTGCAATAAGTGCAGAATCGTCCTTCGATCAAAGCTCTGCTGGAATACACTTCTGCAAAGTCGTCATCGGATGCCGCTTTCCACACCACCCTGCAAAATCTGCTAGGGCCCTCGGGCCTGACATCACAGAACCACGTCGGGTACATCTTCTCAGAGCGGTTGATCAACATGCCCGCGCAAGTCATGCCACACATGTATCGCATGCTGGCCGATGAAATTCAGTGGGCTGTCGACGATGTCAGCCGTTCGACCTTTACTCGATCTGTCCGCGTGCTGATGCATCCCACAGAACGAGCTGTACAATTTCTCTCACTTCCTCATTATTTCGCGGACATACCGCCTGTCCCCGGAAGAGGAGGCAGAACTACAAGACAACGTACCACGGTCAAAGCGCCATAAGCAGAACGCCGCCACGAACTCTCAAGCTTCGTCTGGAGGCATAAATGCATTCCACCCCGAAGATGAATACATTCAAAAGGCATGCCAAACGCACGATCTTTTCCGCGCCGTACTGATCGGTGTCCTGCAGATCGCTTTGCATTCTTTGGACTACAAGTTCACGCATTCGCAGCCACGAGAACAGGGTGCTTTTGGGTTAGACCAAGGAGGGCGAATGATGCTTGTGCCAGCAGCTCGCTTGCGTGAACTTGTGACAGTACTCACTGGAGCATATCCTCCACCGTCCTGACGAATGCTTGCCACTTTGGCTGTCATATAGATTGTTGAATCTTGGATGCATGTTAGACCGATGCTGCGTCTGCTCTGAAAGCCGTCACTCGTTAAGACTTATCAGGCACGGTCATGTGACCGCGATAACCTAGTCGCGTCTTGAAGCGACGCGTTGTTGCCTGAGATGTCTTTAATAGCTTATCCAACGACTGCTTGTGATAACCTACACTGATGCGTATTGACATTTGCACTTTAGATTAGACTCACGCGAGGGCGCATCCTAACCGACGTCCGACTCATCCGAGATCGCCCCGAGGGACTGGCCACGGGGCAGATAGCGATAAGTGCTACAAGGGATCTCTTTCCCCGTCGCTTCCGGCGGGCGCCATACGTTCCCTCCCATCATCCATGATGTGGCTGAGACTGACCTGCAGGCGGCTCATCAGCGCCAGGACACACGCTTTCAGCTCTGGTCGGTCTCTGTCGACGTCGTCTCGTCCCATAAAGCCTGCTTCCCGACTATCTCAGATTGGATTGGCAACTGGAGGTATCCTCACTGCATCTTTGCTGCTCGAAAATGCCGTCGATACTATCCATGCCGATGCCGCTCATCCTGATGGCAAGGCGCAGTCCGAAAGGCCACCTACCCCTCTGTCTGCTCTGATCAGAGCATACATCGTGTATTCAATGTGCTCGATTCCACCACTCATCGATTACGCGCCTAGCATCCTCTCTATTCTTTCTTCTGTACCAGGATTGAAGCAGATAACGGAGGCGATCGTCCGGGTGACCTTCTTCGATCAGGTTCGTCTCGCTCCTTACACACGCGCTATGATGGCTCATTTAAGTTAGTTCGTGGGCGGTGACACGGCGGAGGACGCTCTTCCATTGCTGGAGGAACTTCGCGCAGAGAACAAAGGCTGTCTATTCGCGTACAGTGTCGAAGTCGACGAGGCCGAGGCAGCTGGTACATCGAGGGAAGAAAGGCAAGCAGAGCAGTCCGTACATAAGCGGATTGTTGCCGAGACACTACACTGCATCGACGTCGCGGCCGACTTTGAGGACGAGCATTCACGCAATGGTAAACCTGATGTGCAAGGACGCAAAACTTGGGTCGCGATCAAGCTGGTGAGGCTCTTTGTGTGACTGTCCGTTGTTACATCGTTCATGTCTTTCCATGTAGACCGCAATGTTGCCACGCGCGGAGACTCTTTACAACTTCTCGAGACATCTGGTAGCCAGTCGACCTGCGGCATCGCCACCTATTCCATTCCCTGGCCGACCACTCCCCACGGACTTCGATGTACTCTTGTCTACTTCACCGGCTGATGGCCCTCTAACGAGTGATGACATTTCGGATTTGCGAGAATTGTTTGAGGACCTCCGTTCAATTGGTAGGCGGGCTGAGGAACGGAACGTGCGAATTATCGTCGATGCCGAGCACAGGTTTGGGTATCTCTCGAGTGCATTTCATCATATGTCTAACGCTCCACTTGTTGCATCCTCAGTTGGTATCAAGTACGTCCATCGTGCTGTATGACAGCCTTATCGATTGACCTTGTGATCAGCCGGCCATAGATGCCTTCGCACTTTCCCTGCAACGCGAGTTCAACAAACTTCCGGATAGGCCACGGTCCTTCTTCCGTTCATCACCGCCGGTCGAGCCAGCCGGCGCGCAGCCGCTGATCTACCAGAGCTACCAGGCGTACCTTCATCGGCGAGTTACCAAGCTTGTTTTGCGCATACTTGCATGCACTTATCACACACCTTAGCACACCAGAATATTTGAAGCAGAGCATCGAGGCTGCCCGCGCGGGAGGCTACGCACTCGGCGTGAAGCTCGTCCGCGGCGCGTATCATCCACAGGAGCTGGCCTCATACGCCGCTGCCCACAGCGCCTCCTCCGCCTCCGCCTCCCATGGCAGCTCACACTCCGTCTCACCTGACCCAATGCCGCCAGTGCGCCTCACGAAGCCGGACACGGACGACTGCTACAACGAGTGTGCGGCGATGCTGCTCCAGCAGGTGCGGAAAGACATCGACGACGAGGCACCGAGGATCGGGGTTCTGTTTGGGACGCACAACTGGAGGAGCTGTGATCTGATCTTGAACGAGCTGCTCAAACTCGCGATTGCGAGGAAGGACGAGACTGGCGCTGTGACCATGCCTGTGGAGACAACCGAGAGGGTTACGATTGGGCAGTTGTATGGTGCGCGTTCATGGGAATCCGCTCGTTTCTAGGCACCCTTACCTTTGTGCAACGTAGGCATGTGTGACGATCTGACAAACTCGCTCGTCGACCGGACGCGTTCCGACTCGCCCTTTGTGATCAAGTACATTCCTTACGGTGCATTGTCCGAGGTACGCTTTGACCCTCGTTCTCTCTTGGTTTTCCTGCTTATCGCAACTCCTTAGGTCATGCCCTATCTGAGCCGTCGCGCGATAGAGAACAAGTCGGTGCTCGGGAATGGCAGTGCAGCTGAAGAGCGTAAGAGAGCTAGCGCGGAGATCTGGGCACGACTGTTCGGCTGAGGCAGTGATGTGTATTCTGCACTTGATCACATCTAGTACCGATCGCGGATTCCCTTCACTGTGTGGATTCTCGACGTGTACTAACTGAGATAGACTGGCAATGCCTGTGCTTTTAGATGTGTCATTTCTTACCGTTTCCTTCATCGTGTGGACAATCGATGGGTACTAACTGAGCTAGACTGGCAATGTCTATGCTTTTATATGTGTCATTTTATAAAATACGAACAGTTGACAAATTTCATAGCAGAATAGTAGACGAACTGTTTCTCCAATTCCTCACCTCATCGCAGATAGAAATACAAAAACGCTTACTGTTGGTGAACAACTCGATTGCTCGCTAGTTCCGCGGACGGACCCACAAGCCACCCTTGATGAACACTGTGAACGCAGTGCTCGGCCAGCACTTCTCCACACTCTGACGCCCCTTGCCGTGCTTCCACTCCGGAGGCGGAAGCGATCCTTTGGGGAAGGCGTCCAGCGCAAGGTCGAAGCTCGAGAATCGTTGCAGCAGGCGCACTAGAAGGAAGGACGCTTCGCTCAACGCAAACTCCTGTCCAGGACACTGTTCGTAGGAGTGATCAGTGAAACGTCAAAATTAGTCACTGTGGTGGCGCACGTTTCTGGGCCCGGAGAGGAAGGGGATGAATATCCATGGTCGTTCACGATAATTTGCCGTCCGATTCGGATCGAGCCAACGGTCGGGATCGAATGCATCGGCGTCTGCTCCCCAGAGGTCTCGTCGGCGCTGCAAGGGGAGCAGCAGCCAGCTGAAGCGGGCCCTGTTGGGGAAGAACAAGGGAGGCTGTCCCTCGGGCATGGGTAGAAGCACGTCTTTCACAGCATTGCGGATACCGAGCGGTGCAGGCGGAAACAAGCGGAGCGTCTCGTTAAGAACAGCGGTCACTGAATTCACCGGGAACGTCAAATCAAAAGAAGCAGAATGCGCAGGAGCAGACATTGCGCACTATATGTCATCTTGCGGAAAGTTTGGTGTGTGGGAGAGCTGTCCCGACCACAAACCTCCAACACTTCAGTTCGCAGTCGCCTCATGACTTCAGGATGCATGGCAAGCAAATACATGGTGAGCGACAACAAAGATGCCGTCTGACAGGTCCTCTGCTGTGAGGGTGCCAGGATAATAAAGCGGATGACGACCTACAGTGTCTCGAGACGCCATGAGGACATTGATTAGACCATGACGCACGGTCTCTTCGTCTGTTGAAAAATTAAAATATGATTAACAGAAGCTTCATCCTCATGTTAAGCACTTGCCATCAGTGTCCTCTACCAGACTATCCAACAAGGTCCTCTCCTCTTTCTTCAGCTGCACTCCGCGTTGCTTGGCTTGCGCCTTCCCTTGTAGCGCCTTCTCAACAGTTGGTTTTACCCAGCTAGTAATGACCTTGACGTGAGGCGTTGTTCGGTCTCCAAACAGCTCATATAATGGGAAGAAAGCTCCGAGCCTCCATCGCATTGCAATTGCAACTTGAACTTCCTCAAACGCATGCAGAAAGGTACCGTACTGGTCATCGGTAGCAGAAATCTTGCTGCCGTGGTGAGCAGGGAACGGTACTGGGCGTGACGCATCAAGCGAATTCGGACAAGAGCCGAGCAGGAATTCGAATGCTGCGTCTAGGGTGAACCGACCAAATAGATCTTGAATGTCAATGGGTCGACCTGAATCTGCAACCTCCGACAGAATGGCGAGCACTTTATCCGCATACTTTGCGAAAATCTCGAAGTCCGAGATGCGTTCTTTGCTCAGGAATGGCCGAAGCAAGGTGCGTTCCTTGGCAGCAGGTCGTGAATATCACCAGAAGACGCGCGATGATAGATCAAAGGAGGTACCTTTTTCCACGCATTTCCGTCACTGAGAAAGCAGCATGAGTTGCGATTGCGGACGATCCATGATCATACTCACAGGGCAAAAATCCCTCGTCCCAAAAATGTTCCGCTTCAAGATCGAGAGAATACAGATCAGTAAAGGAGGAAGGGTGGACGAGGAAAGGATTGTAAAGCGCACGTTTTTTCTGCCGCCTCGAATCCCCTCTCGAACATGTCAAAGTTTGTTAAATGCACTGCGTGCAAATGCAACTCATCCCGAGATATTATCTGGAAGTGTGTCATGTGAATGTCATTATTCAAATCAATAGTCGAATACAGGATAGCCGTACAATATCTTTCCAAAGTATACGGATATTTAGAGTGTTGCACCGTGTTCATCTAGCACATCTGTCATGGCCTGCATAACGTAGCCGTGACGCAGTTCACTAGGGAAACGGAGCATGATGTCGATATTCCCTGGCCGTTTCCCTTTCGCCCGCGGTATAGGTGTGGCACCCAGTTGTCTCGCTCGCCAGTCGTTCCTCCAAATGTGCAGTTGAGAGACTAGAGGTATCCAGAGGAGAGGAGAGGATGCATATACGATGATAGCTACGGCGTCGAAGGCAGGACGGCGCAAGATGGATGTGAGAAGAACATAGGCGAGGAAAACCGGTGGAGATAGTGTTTCAACTGCACTCAAAATAAAATTAGTGCGGTAGTAGCCAGGCCCCAGACTCAAAGATCCCATTATGATGTTTTCTCAAGAGGCTGCGACTAAGGATTCGTAGGCAGCTCTGAAATGAACAGATTTCTTGACGCCTGCAGTCGTCACCCTAAGTTCAGGTGTAACATGAAGCTTCGTGCTGGATGGCCGTCCTGCTTCTGATTGTTTCATCATCCCCGGCAAGTTCTCAACCCTTCTTCTGGGTCGCCCAATTCGTGCGCGCTACAGCTGATAAGACCCTTGATACGTGATGCATCATGCTTGATGAACGTTGCGAAACGAACATCCATTTTGATGCAATCTTGTCTAACCCGGGATTTGGATGCCGGAGAGCCCAGTGGGATGCATATTAGCGGATGATGAAAAACTGAATGAACGTGCTCAATGCTCACAGCATGTGGATTGAACGCATGCACGCAACGCGAGAGCGCAGCGAGTTCAATGCATCAAAGGAGCTGATACTACGCTGAGTTTTGCTGAGTTTGCGGTGGAACTGGCACAACTTTGTTAGGTCGTGTCAGTGGGGCTACCGTCCGTTCTGTTTGAAAATGATGCACCGAGCTTACTAGATGGCCGACGGCGAGCGAGACATCTGCCTGCTGAGTGTGAAAAGTTCAACCTGAACATGCCTATCACTAGAGTCGCGATAATTATATACGTTCAGAATGTGTGTTCCCCTCCGCCAGAATATTTTAAATGGCAGTTGATATCACGGCTTCGATCACATGCTAATAAAATGCTGTACCGGAGAGTATGCCACGAAGCCTTGGCACCGGCTGGTGTGACATGAATTCAGGTCGCTAAGCACTGATGACTCGGAGAGGACAGAAAGGCAAAAAATGGCACCGTCTGAGAAAATGTGCTATACCGCTACATGGCCGCAGAGCTCCTAGCATCCCCGGCACCAATGTATAGCTTTAACAGTGTAGGGCATGATTCGAGTACAAACCGAAGTCCGGATGAGTGGGGATGAGTATCATTTGATGAAACCAGATGAAACATTAGGATGCTGCAGACTAGTAGTCCGCAATTAATGGCCCGGGCGAAAGAATAATTATCGTGGAATGTGTTTACCGGCAATCGCCGTCTGAAATGTCTCACGCTATCTCAGCCACCAAGTCGTTCGAGCTGCGTGAGCACCAACTACAATATTGGCTAACATCACGACATGCTGGGCTTATGACAACGTTGAGACTGGGGCATGCAGAGTACACAAAACGCTCTATCTATGATAGTGGAGACGCGATGACGGTAAAACTTACACGCGCAATTACCACTTCTCGCGCCAAATACTACGCTGGGTTAGATCAGAAAACACGCGGATTCCGTCAGACAGACATGATACAGTTTGGCTCGGAGATGAGGTGAAGTTCCTTACCGAATTTGTTTTTCCTTGCGGCTAAGCACGAGGTCCAACCAACTGCACGCGTTCCAACCAACTGCGAGAGCCATGAGTGGATATACGTATTCGCTGATTCCAGCCGTATGTCTCACAGGAATATTTGAACTCAGATATCACAGCCACCTGGTGTGGTGCGGTAAAAGAGAATGGGATATTCACAGTGGCTACAAAACTCATTTTCTTCTGACCTGCATGCTAGCAGGATGTCTTCCCTGAGCAAACACACCATTATACTTCCTTACACCACTGCTACCCCCGCGGGGCTGAAGCTGGTCGGGAACCGTTACGTTCCTGCGATATCCGCCAGAGATGGTCTCACTTTGCTCTTCACTCACTGCACCGGAGCGCGTACGTGATGCCCGCTATTTGTCTAAGTGTGCTGGTTTCATGCGTTCGCTGACCAGACAAGGAACTATGGGAGCCTGTCATCGAGCATCTGTTCAAATCAAGCGACATAGCCTCAGTGATTCGGGAGGCGTGGTCAGTTGACTGGCAGAGTCACGGAGAGGCTGCTGTTTTTAATGAACAAGCTACTGAAGTCGGGCCTCTGTGAGACTGCCCAATAGCCCCACATTACATGGGCTGATTAAAGCACAGCCGTCACCGAGTACGGTACCGGCCTGCGAGCCTTGCTAGCTTCGGAGCACCTTCAGGGCCACCAAGTCATCGGCATAGGACACTCGGCGGGGGCCACTGCCATGTGAACTTCGTACCATTATATATTTCGCATCATAGGCTGATCAGTGTGCTACAGATTGTTGTCCACTCTAGGTGTTTCCGTTGAGAAGATAGCATACAAATCTATAACTCTCGTTGAGCCGGCTTTGTCTACGCGGGCCGAATACGAGCAGTACCGCGAAGGGCGCGTTGCCTCTCTTGATGCTACGCAGAAGGCCATCGACTCGAGACGCGACATATGGCAAGACCGCAACGAAGCTATACAGCATTTCAAGAAGCGCATTCCCTATAAGAATTGGGATCCGAGAATCCTATCGCTCTTTGCGGTAAGCAGCCTTATGGCTAAAATCTCGTGTGTTTTCATTCAATCTCCGATAACAATTTGGTCTGAGAGATATGGTCGACGAGAATGAAGGCCGCATCATCGGCAAAGTCACACTGAAGTGCACCAAGATACAGGAGAAGAAGAGTTTCGAAGACAATGAACCTCACTTCACAGCCGTAAACAGGCTAAGCACACTCGATGCATCATTTCCTGTTCATTGCATTTTTGGTGAAAGAACCGATATAGTGTACGTGCAAACGTCGACATTAGCGTTGCAATGACTGACTGCAGAGGATAGCCCGAGGCATGCTCATGACTCAATTCTGGAGGTGCGCAAGATGGCGTCGATCCAATTCGTCAAACGTGCAGGCCATTTCGTGTGTCTTACTGTCGATTCATAATCCCGACGCGCATACCACTGATATTCATTATATAGGTACTACAAGATAACCCAGATGGGTCGCTGTATGTATAGCACAGGCCCCACGCGTGACAACACCGTCTTCTGCGAAACTGTGATCATCGTTCGATGTTCACCCCATCTCTGTTCCTCGTCCATATACTCAGCGTTTTGCATTGTGTACCTATAAGCTGCTTCACTGGCAGCGTCGCCGTGCGTTGCGTTTGCAGTTTAATGCGAGCCAGTCCATTTCGGAGCGTATTGCACCAATGATTTTTATGAAGTTATTATCATGAGTCACTTCTAAGTCGCCCATCTAGCACCAATATTGCTGGCGTAAAACATCTGCAAATAAGGGCGCTACGCGAGTTCTATCAAAACATGCAAGGAGGCTTCCGACGCTTGCTGCCATTCTCGTATTGTGTATCATGTAAACGATATCCGAAGCCTGCGGAAGCTGAAAAAATTGCCTCGATCGTCTGTCCACGAGGCGACTAGTATCGCGAAACTCGAATGACGTTTGGAACGCAAGGCAGCGATTAACTTTCATCATCATGCAGTGTGCCATCTGTCGCATGTTCCTTTGATATGAAACACTCGTGGCGATCGGGCGCACTAGACTGGACATCAGGGGAGTTCTGCTATATAGTACGTAACATTATTTCGCAACCCTAGTCTCTGAGATAGTTTGATTTTGGATACTTCGTTCTCCCAAAGGGCTCACTTTCGAAAAATGAAATTTGCATCCTGGGAAATCATAAGTGGGCTGACAGCGTTGTTCATTTGATACAACCGTTCTGCGACGATACAGAACATCCACCCGATAAACATCACATCATTGTGCGGTTGGGCAAGTTTGGAGTATCCGACTTTGAAGCTAGACTTCGGGGTCAGAAAGGTTAGTCAAACCGCCTGTGTGAACAATTTGTTGATATCGGAGGTATCCAACCCGCGATAGTATATGGTCGGATCCTTACCAACCGGAATCCTGCAGTAGCGCTCAATCATACGCCTTGAGACCGGCGGCATCTGCACCAGCGGAAGTACTTGGCCAAATCTTCCAGTGAATCCAACACGAGTCCGTTGATAATCGCCGCACAAATCGAATGTTCGCAACTGATTATGTCCCGTGCAGTATCAGATATAGGTAAGCAGAAAAAACTCGTATGCATCTTGATTATGATGCACGTCGGGCTTCGCGGTAGGAAGCCGTGATGAATATAATTGCGTCTCCATCAACTAATTGCGGCTGCGAATATCAGAAACCCTTCCAATTACACGACAGTTCTGGAGCCGCGTCATCTGCGGTAGCCGCATAAAGTCCATAAGCTGCTAAGGCCATCTACTCAGTGTGCTTTCGTCTCACCATAGTCTTCATCCCTTGGACTTGTTACTTACGAGTCTCTCGCTGACGGTGGCAGATGCAAGATGGATCAGTCTCTAGCGTCTGAAGTCAAGCCGACTCTTGGAGCCATTCTCATCTCTCTAGTGTTTAGTGCTATGTGAGCCGATACGCTACTAGCTCTTAAAATCGATGTCTGAAATAATCGTTCAGCTTCTTTGGTGTCACTCTCCTCCAAATGTACCAGTACTACGACCGTTATTGGAGCGATAAATTGTGGTTGAAGACATTTGTGAGTCACTAACAATACGTCGTGTACCGCAACCTGACGAATGAAGTGTCAGGTCGCCGTTATCGGGTAAGTACATGCTCGGTTAGCAAACAATCCGGAAGTATATTTCAAGCCAATCTACAATCAGAATCTTGGATACTTTACAGCTTATGACTGTTGTACACTCAAACTGGTGGTATTTGGTTGAACATTACGCCGATGCCTCAGCACTGTCCATAGTTCCGTGGTACGTACAAGTTCCTCGTTTCTATTGATCGAATTCAAGTCTTTGATGGCCCTCTCACTTCAGGAGCCTTGCGGTAGGTAATATGCAATTTATGTCATTACAGCGGCTCACAATCCGATTAGACTGAGGTCGCCATTACCGTGAGTGGCATGTCGGTTGCAGCCTCTATAATGAGAAATCTCGTCATGCAGTGCATCTACAGGTCTCGATTGGACTGTTTGTTCAGTGGTGAGTGTAACAGTTCTCAAAATAATATTTCGCCACTCTAATTCTGTGTTTCCAGCTTCTTTGCATCGCGTGTCTATCGATGTAAGATTTACACCCCTGCTTTCATGGCCATCGTGCAACTTATCGCCTCGTTCAGTAAGCCGGAATTGGGCTGTTACCGTTCCGGTGGTATGCTTCGCGAATGCTTTCGTGAATGATGCGCGGCTGATGTGTCACTTCGAAAGGTCCTTTTGACAGTCACTCAATTCAGTGAGTTACCTCCGCATTGTCTCCCTGTAATAAAAGCTTACGATGCCTAACATCCGTGAGTATTAGGGATTTGTGAGTCTCCAAACAGACCATGACTGTTGACTGGCAGACATTGATTGGCTGCGCGTGATTCACAGACTACGTTGTAACAGGGTAAATACCTTTACTGACTTATCTTGTGCTTGAACTCATCAATTTCTCGTGTAATTCCTAGCCAAAAAACTAAGCTTGCCTCCACAATTGCGGGCATAACAGTAAGCACAACGCTCTCCAGATATATGTGGCAGAGTGGCTTATTGTTATGCGCACAGTGGGCGTCGACCGCTTCTCTGGCATGCAGCATAGCCGCAGATACTTTGATAACGACATCATTATGCTTTTATCTCCAGCGAAGCCGCTCGGGACTTCGAAGGTGAGTTTTAACATTCGGCCTCCTATTTCGCTCACTCACATTCCGAGGGCGATTGGTTCAGAACCGACAAGCTAATCGACATTCTCATAGTATATACTGTCAACACGGGCTTGATCACAACGTAGGGCTTGACGTCCGTAACCAAGACCTTCTGCTAATATCATGCTGGCTACAGCGTACTGGCTCTCTGCACAATCATCCTAGTCAGTATATGGCAACTTAGATATCCTGAACATTCGCTGAAATTAACCTATCCCACAGTCGGAAGTATTGGCCAATACCTACTGGGACTGCATAACATACTTCATGATTAGTAAATGTGAGGTATCCACCGTCTCATGCTGTCATCAGAAGCTGCTGATTTCCGCACTCTATAAAAGCCTATGTTAATTCAACATTAGCTACGTACGCTATCCTGATGTTCTCTATATGTGATCTTTCAATTTTTGCCGTTTACAGGCTCAATGCGAGAGACAAACTCCGTGTCGCGGTTCTTGATACCCCTACCATCCGTCTTATTCCGCTCCGGCCACTTGAGCATGCACGATCTATGAGTGACAAGGAGGTGAACATACTTTTTAGAAATGCAGTGTGTTGCGCTTGACAAAGACGGCTTCTTTATAGTACGTTGCGCAATCTCACGCCGAGATTCAATTCATTCCAAATACGCCTATCATCAAGAGCAACTTCACGGAGGTGTTGTCTCTCTCCCTTTGTCATGGCTATCACGATTTTGACTGGCTGTTTCAGGGCTTTTCCGTGTAGGTGACGAGCATAGTAATGTCTTGGTGTTGCATTATTTTCAGCCTGCTCTGTTGGCCTCGTGATGATTTCATGTACCTGCGTTCCCGGATGATCTACCGCAGTATGTTATGCAATAAGCGAGATCGGACAATATATATCGAGCATGCATGTACTCGCTCAGAAAGAAAACACCATTTTGCACTCGATGAAAGGCATCAGAAAAGCTCTGGAAAGTGTAGCGCTCTGTTACGTTGTTGCGATTGAAGACACGAAAGTTCAGCCTGTTCCAACCTTCCACGGCATGGGAAGCAAGACGTTTCTGCCTTCAGAAATAAGTGCAACTTTCTGTATTATCTATACAGCCTATAGTTTATATTTCATGGGTGCATGTAAGATGAGCAAAACGGTAGCATTCTTCACCTGCAGAATTGTGGACATGTCGACACGTTGCTCTGACCCAGGAAACACGCCAATTACAGTTGCATGAACCCTAGCGAACTTTTGAATATTTCAACATGTGTGAAGACTCAAGACAATTGGGGAATGACAACAGTAACAACCACCTTGAAGGCTCCTGCATGGGCTCATGAATCAGCCTTCGTACAGGCAGACAGTCGTTCCATATAGGCGATAAAAGTGTAATTGCACTACGTTCATATTAATGTTACAATTGCATGCTCACGGTTTCTGCGCGGGCGGAGTCCGCAGTCATATCCGCGATCGTATAGAAGCGCTCATGCCATTGTTCTGCGAGACGGAGCATTTTAATGCCTGGCATCCACTGCGGCAACAAGCTTACTACGAGAATAAGAACTCACAATGGATACTACCGCCAATCAATAGGGCGACTCACGAAGAGGCAGGCGATCCTGGATGCTGTAACATTCACCAATGACGTCTGAAGCAAACTGCACAGTTGCTTCGCCGGGCTTAGTTCATCGTCATCATCACGCTTGACGATGTGGCCAAAAGGCCTAAGGAGAAATATATCCAATGAGCTGTTTCCGATGAGTGAAAAGTCCAAAAATTACAAGAGGGGCGGTCGTCGATTTGGCGCTTAACTGTCTTGGGCGTTCGAGTGTCTGCGTATGGTTCTCTCGAATGTGTAGTGTTCCAAAGCTGTCGGACTCGGACCTTGTCTGAACAGCTTCTGAATATTCGCAAAGCGAGGCCCTCGGTCCATGAATGGAAGAAAGGCAGTCAAATCTGTGCTGTCAGCGAGAAGATGTGTCAGATCATGAATATAATGCTACCGAGTGTCTTCATTCTTACAGTTCGGCCATCCTACGCCGAGGTTTGTATGCATACTTGTTGGACCGCGTCTTGAGCAGAGCGTAAGCGGTCTCGAAAGAATTCACTATGACCACATCATGCCGAGTGCACGGACGCTGGACACGCCTCCTGAAGACCTTTCTCGAAGGGAACGGTAGCAGGTTGGTTATTATAATGCTCACCGTACGTCTTTGAAAATTTGCTTAAAAAACTCCCATGGGCTGACTTTGGGTTATCTTGCCGTGGCCCATGAAGCGCAAGAAAAATCTGCCTCTGGGACTTGGAGGAAGACGTGGATGTCTGGCATGGTAGGCGCGGAAAGCTGCATACGTAATGAGAAGAAACATTGCTAACGTAAACGACGGTTGCAAGTTCATCTTGAGCAGATTTGTGTGACGCACTGGGCATGTGAAACAGGGGGAAGGGGTTCTTGTACAGATGCGCCCGCGGAGTGAAATATCAGACAACCGAGAGGACTATAATGAATGGTCAACAAGGCGGCCATCTGAGCAGAACATCAGTTTGGCTTCCATGAATGCAAAGTTCACGGTAAAAACAATCACCAATGCGAAGATGAAACATGCGGACCTTCAGCTCCATGATGATCAAATCCGGTGAATGATGCAGAAACAGCCCCTTAATATCATGAGATGTTGATTGTGAAGAGACGCCCGCTAGACTATGTCCCCACCCGCGTGGCAACATCCATCCCACCTGTCAATGAGAACTTCCGCTACCTCGAACTTCCTCGGGTTTTGGCAGATGGTTTGGGTCGTTGGCTGAGCGGATCGTGAGTGTTTCCTAAGCTTTGATGGCATAGTATGAATATCATTCTCAGATCAAAGCTTAAAGCTTTCCTCTCGACATGGACATATCATGAAGGATGTACGCAATGCTCAACGCTACGCCATCAGGATTCTCCTGTAATACCTGGTTTAGACAGTAAAGAGTCAATGTCAATGAGCATATTGGTATGGCGTATATCACAACGCACAAAATGCCCTGCGCATTCGACAAACTGTACCGAGGCCATTTTGCGCAGCTGCAGCATAGATTCATTCGTATGCCAAGGACTGTCATGATCAATCGTTCAGAATACGCAGTGACTAATGATACAAGCGGTCGGATACTCACATAAGATCGCTTCGTTCGCCGAAGATGCAATGCACTTGGATGGACTGGTTGAGAGTTTGAAGTCTCTCCGCTGCGGCGAAGTGAGGCTCGGTGTCGTCGTCGTAGCCCTTCTTTTCCTGTAGCTTGGTGCACTTGAGTGCCACTCGAGCTACAATCTCACCGTTCTCTCTGGCGACGACATCTCTCAGACCATGTCGCTGCGCCACGTGTCAGCCTACTCCAGCACCAGAGTACGCCAGTCAGAGCTTACCATGAAGAGTTGCAAAATTCGTGGATCCCACGTCCTGAATGGGAGGCGTTTCTTGAAGTGCTGCAGCGCTTCAGTGCGGTCACGCCACATGTCACGTCTTTCGTCGACCGCTTTGAACACAGCAGCGAGGGTGGCAGTGCGCCCCTCGCGATGCTGCTCGAACTCTTCCCGGGTAGTTATGGCAGGCTCGGTAAGGACGATGCCTCGGTAGGGTGACTTGTCCTGAGGAAAGGCCAACGTAGAGAGCAGGCTGGACACAAAACATCAGACCGAGTATAGACTACAAGGTAACTCATAAACTAACATAGCGGTGGCACCAGCAGAGTGGCCGATTCCCAAAATACTGTGGCCTTGCAAGTGATGAGACGATAGTAAAGCGACTACACCGTTCGCATATTCCAATGCAGCTGCATGAAAATGAGAGACGGACATTTCCGGTAGCACAAAGTGTACTGACAGACGCCTCTCGACTTCAGCAGATGCTCGTTAACGACAGCGGCGTCGCCATGGCTCTGCCAGTCAATCGACCATGCCTCCCGAATGAGCGGAGCGGTGTCTTTATTCTTGAAAAGCTGTGCAATAACGGGCTCCCAGAGTTCCTTATCTACTCGTATGATGTAAATCCTGGAGATAGGCTTAGCAATGCGGTACACGTACGAGCTCCAATGCAATGGGTGAACAACAAAGTCATCCCAGCAGCTGCTGGTACAGGAGATGCATATCTATTCGCGACCAGCTTAAGTCCAGGCCATGCAGCGCTTGGATAGGACAGGATTTCAGTGGTGGTGGTGGTGCTGGTGAAGAAAGACATCGCGTTATTCGCAGGAGATGGAAAGGGGTGCCTGACGACAGCTTTTATAGACAGTTGGATATGAATTAGTCTTGCCATGATGCGCCGATCAGCAGCGACTGCTGTTGCAGATCAAACCGCGGCTAACGCAGTTAAAAGACTGCATTTCTTCATCCGCTTCGGACGTCGCGAGGGATGTGTCATGTAGCCTAGATTACAGAGATGAAACGCAAGGAGTTGATGAGCGCGAACTGTTGCATTCGCTGGAGGAGGAAGCGCTGACTGTGGATGTAGTAGTACATGGTGGCCACGTGCCCTAGCCAAAGGAGATAACTCCATGTGCGCATCGCCGACGACACTGCCAATGTGTATTCCGAATTGTTCTCGCTAATATTTGCGTCGTAGATGCCGCACCGTAGTCTATGACCAGCATTTTCCATCGACCGTCACAGGCGGTAATATTTCCGAGAGCTCTGAAGGTGCCACTGGGTGGTCAGTGTCTCTCTCTTTATATAGTTGTCTCGGTTCACATGCTGACCTTTTCAATTTATCTCCTTGCGGTTTTGACCTGCGCAGGGTCTTCACACTGATGAAACAAGGCGTTTCCCGACTGTTCCGTCTGGTCTTTCGTGGGTACGAGCGTGTGCAGAACAAAGGCTCCACCGCTCGAGACCATCTTGCCAATGAGCGCACCTACCTCGCCTGGACGCGGACCTCTCTTGGCCTCATCGCACTAGGCATTGGCGTGGAACGTTTCGAAAGGCTCCGCGCTGATATGCAGACGCAACTAGCGCCTGTCTCCCCGGAAGCCCAGACTGCACAGGAGCAGTTAGTCAAGCATGGACGACAGCTCGCAGGGACGCTCGTCGGCACAGGCGTGCTGACCATGGTTATGGGCACGTGGAGGTACTACATGACTTTGCATGATTTGCAGCATGGCATGTTCCGCCCTAACGTACAAGCAGTGGCTCTTGTCGCACTCGGTTGTGCGTGTGTCACAGCGGCTGTGGTCAGAAGTGAGTCAAGAGGCGAAAAGGTCGGAGATGCTGTGACTTGCTCAACTTTGCACTGCTGACCTCTGGTAAATTGAACAGTCAAACGCCGGGTCATAGCCACATCGAAGGCAATTTTTCATTGTCATACGGCGGTATATCGCTCGGGCAAGGACGCTCAATTGTATGTGCTGTTGCGCTACTCTCCAGATCATTCATTGCTCAGTAAATGGCAACCAGGTTTCTATCAGATGCATCTCGACATTTGTGCCTCTCTCTAGAATGCAAAGCGTGATTTTATATGGTTTGGTGTTATGTGGTACCGATTCACTCGGCCTCAGCCACTCTACGGCATTCAGCGCAGGTAAGATCCGACATTGGTCCAATCTAATGATCCTATCGATGCATATTCTGCGCTGTAACCTGAAAGCACTGCCCGCAGTCGTCACGCATGGCATTATGCTGATAAGTGAGCGTGGTTAAATTCTATGACTTTATCGATCGCTAACGGTTAGAGTGGAGGTGTCGCGTATGAGATCGACTCCGGAATGTCATGGGATGACGATCATGAAATGCAGGCCCCCCCTTACAAGTTGATATGCCTGCTTGCCCATAAAGCATTGGTGATGCATTTGGCTGCTGACTTGCTCGTCGGCGGTCGCAATTGCTCGCATCCAGTCGTTCATCGACGAGGAAAGTCGTGAGCAGCGATGCAGCATTAGCGACTTCGGGCCGAACGCTGCTCTCCAGCCCCACTCCGTAATGATCATTATGTTTTATGTTGTTTTCAGTCCGCGTAGCTCGGAACGTCTTGCCATGCAAGTTGCCAACGCCGGTCACCTTCCTACTACAAGAACTCTCAACCCGATGCTTGGTTCGCTGGCGGAGGTGGCCCGCCACAGTTCCCAGGTTATGTCATTGCTCATCCGGTTATTCGCTAAGCACTTGTGTCAGTGTCCATGTCAACGAAGGATGATCGATGATGCTCAGGTTCGGGCCAACGCAGTCGCTATCAAGGCGCGCCCGTCTTGGACACCTTCTACACTAATCCTCTAAGCACGAGGCTTCCCCTTGCAATCTTATCCTAGATTTCTTTTTGTTTGCTTTCTAGAAGTGTTGTCGATGTGGCGAGGGCGTGGTAAGTGCTCTGAGCCCATGTCGTCTCCTGGTCATCGACGTAGAACTCACAAACAAGAATTTGAATGGTCATCCAGTGGCCGTGCATTCCATGTGAGTAATCGGATCATAGCAGCCTGCCATCGGACGTCGTGTCAGGCATCCCCGAAATGTTTTCAGATGCTCCATGACATAGCACCAGGAGTGTCTCGCAGCATAAGGCTTCGGTTGAAAGCGGTACAGCGCAAAGAGTCATAAGTACGCCGCTCTTGGCGTTACGTACAACCAAATTTCCAGTTTTTCCCTCTCTGCCCGGTTCAACTCTCAAAATGGTCCATCTCCACATCATGCAGGGAGAGTGCATCGCCCTCTTCATCCAGAGTGTCATCTATGGCATCGACACGGCGGTGTTCACTATGTGTGTTCGCATAATGATGCAAAAACTCCGCTATCCTCGCGCTCCTATCAGAAGGCTCTTCCTGCTGATCGCTATAATCCTATTTGTACTCGCAACTGTTGATGTCATGTTCAGTCTCTGTTTCGTCGCAATAACGGATACCTCCGCTCTTCCGGCTTGCCCCGAAGTGTGCGATCACAGCGGATACTTGGCTGGCTCTACATTCTCAGGGTGAGGAGACCTTGAATTCTGCAGAGATCATTGCTCATCATCGTACAGCATTGTTCGAGATTCCTCACAGCTATGATATCCGATGGCGTTCTGGTATGACAATGTTCTCCAGATTTCTCGTCCTATCTTCATTTCTTCCTGCCTTCATGGTAGATATACCGCTGTTGGATCGTCTACGATCGTGCATGGACTGTTATAACAGTAGCTGCTGCTCTGTGGTTCGCTAAAGTCCCCTGTGTCGTCCTCAGCATCGTTTATATGTCCTCGACCAAGGACATTGGTGAAGTGACTTCTTTGAATGCGCTACGCGCCTGGCCCTTCCTCCAGGGATCATTACTGTGTACGCTCGGCGTCACAGTGATAAGTATGGGTTGGTGAATCAAAAACGTTCGCACGATAGAGGGGCATTGATGCATCATCTATCTATCGCAGGTCTCGTCTTGTACAGGATCTGTAGCGTCACAAGAGAAACATCTCGTTCACTTACTATGGATGCGATCGCCAGTGGTCGGACGGATCTGATGAGAGTCAAGCGGCTCATCCTCGAATCCGCACTCGTATACACTGTTATTGTGATTCCGACAGTCGTGACTCTGTTCGCAAGGAGCGCCGCTTATTACAGTTTTGCCAGCGTGGTGAGCCTTGCATATACGTGGTGCGACGTCGTTCTGATTCGCGTCTACTTGCACCATAGTTCCCCGAAGCGACGGGCTTATCCTTCTATCTTGTCCCAGTAAGAACCGGCAAAAGATCCGCTACAGAGCCTCCTGCAGAATTGACAAACAATTCACGTACGGCCCCTCTCCCGACGCGGGATTTTATGACATTGCACAGGGAGCCGAGTCTGGAGTTCAACGATGAGGGTTCGGGTCAAGCTGGAGCAGGTGTGTGACCCTAGCGAGCTATGACGCCGGATTCCAATGTGATGCACGCAGCAGAGGGTGGAGGATGGAAGAAACGTTGTGGCGCCTGGATTACTGACTGGACGTTCATGTCCGTTTCCAGGCGAACGTTTTTTTTTTCGACGACATGAGATGTTACTAAAAGCACGGCATATAGTGTGTAATAGAAGTGGAATGGGTTGCAAGAGGCCTTGTCGCATCTTGCACGACGCACTTCACAGAACGTGGTGAATTCTATAAGAAGTGAAAAATCAAATGATGTTCCCAAAGTGTAGTCAGTCCTGCAATTTGGTACTCAAGGTGCTCATCCGCGGAGGCCACAATCATTCGTCACGTCACGATTGAATCGCAGGACCATGTTCGACAGAGGAATCGTCTGTTCAATTTCCTGATGAAGCCAACGCCCCGAGTCAACCGCAGAGACGCAAAACGCTATATAAAAAAATCATGGTGTTGGCTAGGTGGCGGCATCGTGAATGAACGAAGCAAAGAGCCGAGGATAACAGAGCCCGTGAGGGCATCGTTCATAGTCTTCTGCGATTTGCATCATGTATTCCGCGTGCTCTCCGCGTCCAAGAGTACCAGAGGATCGATTGTAAAGCCAAGAACCAGAAGGCTAATCGTGACAATCTTGATTCAAGTCGCTCAGGAATCCAGGCTTGAAGACATGGGTGGTTGATGTGACCGAGTTAATCCACAGCGATTCGGAGAGATCTGCAATTGCCGCGAGCAGATGCAGCCTCTTTGCTTTCAGCTTGCGTAGAAAGAGGTTAAATAGAGAAACTTTGCCGATCTACGATGGTTGTGAACTGGCTTCGAGTGTTCACGCGTTCACGTTCAACGTTGTCGGAGAGCAGAGAGCAGGATGCCAAATTGAGGCAACGCATGCGGGAAGGTGATAGCCGCGCTGCGCTAAGTTCGTGACCTAACCCTCCTTCACAGTTCTCCGTATCATTGCGGCAGGTATTGCTGTGCGAGTTTTCCTCCTTCTATTATCGACCAGCGCGCGGGAGACTGCACCATGTCAACGACACCTACTGCTCCAGGTATGGTGGTTGAGGAGGGCAAGCTGCTAAGCGAGGCACTTAGCACTGTCAAGATCCAGACTCAACAGATGAAGAGACATCTGGTGAGTGCGTGCCGGCCCACGCTCTTCTCTTCTGCCTTGGATCCGACTATGGAGGTTGTCTTATCCAAGTTCTGGGTTATAGGAACAGGACCAACTCATGGACGCGCTCAAGAGTGCGAGTCTGATGCTAGCCGAGCTGCGCACATCCTCTCTCTCGCCAAAGCAGTACTATGAGCTATGTAAGCCTCTCTGCAAGTTATTCCACATAAACGGCATACTTATTCTACCTCATGTCATGAAGACATGGCTGTATTCGATGCTCTTCGTCACTTATCCAACTATCTCTACGATGCTCATACCCAAGGCAGACATCATCTAGCCGACCTCTACGAACTCGTGCAATACGCCGGAAATATTGTGCCTCGCCTCTATCTCATGATCACCGTCGGCTCAGTCTACATGTCCATTCCTGACGCGCCCGTAAAGGAGATTATGAAGGACATGATGGAGATGTCGCGCGGAGTTCTGCATCCTATCAGAGGGCTATTCCTGCGGCACTACCTCAGCGGACAGACGAGAGATCACCTTCCTGTGGGTAACGACCCAGGGTGCGTACCCGTCATGCGTCTGAAAATTTGTCGTGATTGAGTCTGGTTCTCTGCAGCCCGGGCGGTAACCTACAGGATTCGATAACCTTCGTGCTCACCAACTTCATCGAGATGAACAAGCTATGGGTGCGGCTACAGCACCAGGGCCATTCGCGAGACCGCGAGAAACGCGAGATGGAGCGCAAGGAGCTGCGTATTCTCGTTGGCACCAATCTCGTCCGCCTGAGCCAATTGGACGGCGTCGATCTCGATATGTACCAGCATATCATCCTACCGAGCATTCTGCAGCAGGTGGTCAGTTGCAAGGATGTGATCGCCCAGGAATACCTCATGGAAGTCGTAATTCAAGTACGCATACCCAACGTTCCCACTATAGCATGGTCTAACGTATTGCACAGGTGTTCACAGATGAGTTTCACCTCCACACCTTGGGCCCGTTCCTCTCCGCTACCGCTCAGCTGCACCCCAAGGTGAATATTAAGCAGATCGTCATTGCACTGATCGACCGCCTTGCCGCCTATGCTGCTCGGGAAGCGGAGAACGAGGATCCGGAGGAGACAAAACGGGAAGAAGAGGCTGCAGCGAGACGACTTGCAGAGAAGGTCAAAATACAGAAGGCCAAGCTGCGACAGAACGGGCATGCGACTCCATCTGTGGAATCTACCACTGCTGTCGATACCGAGTGGGGCTCTGTACCAGAGACCTCTGTTTTGAGCGCAACCCAGGAGAAGGAGGTCGACGATACGTCGACGACAGTGCATGGTACGGAGGAGACGGACGGCGAGAGGAGCCCCTCGGAGAAGGGCAAGGAGAAGGAACAGCCAGAGTCGCACGTGCGCAAGTTCCGAGGCGTGCCTGAGGACGTGAAGCTGTTCGAGATATTCTGGCAGCAGATCGTGGAGCTTATCAAGGTGTGTGGGCAGCTTCACGCAGGAATGCCGAGCGTTGACCGTCTATCCAGGCGCGGCCCGACTTGTCAATACAGGACATCACCGCGCTGCTGGTGTCTCTCACCAATCTGTCGCTTAGCTGTTATCCAGACCGACTAGAATATGTCGATCAGGTACTTGCGTATGCTCACGACAAGATCAAAGACTTCACTGACAGGTGAGTGGAGTGGAGATGTTGTGAGAGACTGTAGCCTGATTGCCCGAGTGTAGCCCGGACTTGCATTCTCCACAAACCATTGCCAATCTCGCATCCCTACTCGCGGCCCCGATCAACTCCTACCAATCCGTTTTGACCCTTCTGGCGCTGCAACAATACCAGCCTCTCCTTGCACAACAATCGTTCACTACGCGACGCTCCCTCGCACATGCGTTGATCTCGTCGGTGCTGAAGAACGAGACGATCATCGAGACGCCGGAGGACGTGAATGGCATTTTGGAACTATGTCACGTTCTCATAAGGGATCAAACGGACTCTGGAAGCGCATCACAGGGCGGGAAGGAACTGCGGAGAGGGCCATATTACCAGGAGATGGCGGAGATGGCGGAGGAGCAAGGTTGGATGGCGCGTATGGTGCATTTGTTCAGAGCCGAGTCGCTCGACGTGCAATACGAGGTGAGCACAAGATCGTTTTGCAATGTGTGAGCCTACTGATGCTGGTTTGTACATAGCTCTTGCAAACGGCCCGCAGGCATTTTGAGACAGGTGGTGAACGCATGCGCTTCACATACCCTGCTCTCATCACTGCTACCATCAAGCTCTGCCGACGATATAAAAACCGAGAACTCTTAGTACGTGCATGTTCTCTCAGACGTTGCGGGAGGCTCACAGACCGAACAGGAGGAAGACTGGCAGGGCAAAGTGTCCACAATCATGAAGTCCGTAAGACAGCTTATCTTCCTTCTCACGCAGCAAGTAGAGGCGCCATCAATAGCACTCCGGCTGCACTTGCTCGCGGCGCAGATATCCGACGAATGCGGATTCGAAGACCTAGCGTACGATTTTTACGTGCAGGCGCTGTCAGTATACGAAGATAACATCTCAGAGAGCCGGGCACAACTGCAAGCGATCACATTGATCATCGGTACACTGCAGGGCGCGAAGATCTTCAGCGTGGAGAATTATGACACGCTCATCTCGAAAGCTGCGCTGCATGGTGCGCGACTGCTGAAGAAGCCGCACCAGGCTGCAGCGGTGAACCTAGCCAGTCATATGTTCTGGCAGGACATTCCTTCAGATGAGGAGAGCTCTGCTGTTGCCGTGAAGGAACCCGAGAAGGACGCCTCGCAGAACGAGAAGATCGACGGGTTGGACAACACTGCAAAAGCGGTATGTCATGCATGTCTTTTCTCTGTGAGTTTTCGTCTGATGATACGTAATATCACAGTACCCGCACCAAGATAGCAGGCGTGTGCTAGAGTGCCTACAAAAAGCGCTGCGCATTGCCAGCTCTGCTATCGAGGAGATTGTCACTGTGCAGCTGTACTGCGATACACTCGACCAGTATCTCTATTATCTCGACCGGGGTTCACCTGCAGTGAGTTGTCTGCTACGAAAGGGAACTTTTATTGAATATCTTTCCAGGTGACGCCCAAGTTTGTTAACGGTCTTGTCGACCTCATTACCGGGTCGATCGACAACGTCTCGTCGCCAGACGTGCACCCATCCCAGCGCGCACCACCTGGCTTGCTCGAAGGCGTGCAAACGCCGGATATGATTACGCGACACTTCCGCAACACGCTCATGTACATCCAGTCAAAGAAGAATGCAGCTGAAACCGCTGCAGAGAACGGGACGGCCACGTCGCGGTGGGAGGATGTGGATGTGATTGGTGCGTGTCTGAAGATGGGGATTGCCCGGTAGTAGGTGGTTGCGGACTTGCTGCGGGTGCTACACTCCTCTTGTTCTTTATTTATACTGTTTTAACTGCATCTCTGGAATTTCTACTGTAACTCTTAGGCTACCTGAATAACAACGAGACGCGTACGTGGAGTGTCAGCGCCCCGATCGTGTTCTAAGTTGAAGTTGGTTGATTTGGGTTCGCCTTTGACCTCCACCATCACGGTCTTGAACTTCTCTTGAGACTTTTCAAGTGCAGACTCTCATAGATCTCATTCTCCCTCGTCAAATCATGTCATGAGCATGATGAGTGTCGCACGCATTAATGCATGGTTTATGATGAAATGAGGTGATTCGTGATACGATCAGCCAGAAACGCTGTTGCCGCTGGTGATTACAGCGGGACAAGCCAAGCGGCCAGCGCCATCAGGTTCGGATGCTGAAGTTCAGACCTTAGTGAATCCCGCTCCACAAGCGAGCCAGGGCTACCCACAAGACTCATTGCAAACGTGATGAAGGACAGTTCTCATTCGCCACAGTGCAGGAAGCTCTCACCAACGACATTCTACTCGTAAGAAACCACATCATACAAGTTGTGCTGATGAGTGAGAAACTTCCAATTACAACTAGCAATGTGACAACGGCTCACGACGACTCATGATATCGTAGGCGGCCTGTCCTTGCAGCGCAATTTCACCTCCAGTCTAGAACAGGCACTTTGCCGTCACCCATGCTTAGCTACGCTTCTTCATCAAATTCATCTGCTGCAGAGGGTGGCGGAGCCACAGTATGAGCATCCGCGCAACAGTCTGGACGCATACGGTGCCAGGATCATATTCCTGGGGGAGGGTGTTCTCCTCAATGTTTCTCAGTGTTAAATCGCATCAAAAATCGGCATTGCGAGAGTTTCCTTTGGCTAGTGTCTCGGTATCCGCGCAAGATTAGCGCTTGGTTTCGTTCGCGCGTTTTCGTCTCATCTGATTGACCAGGGCCAGTATACGTGTCCCTTGTCAGCGAAGCATATGTCCGGAAGCGTCATCGAGGGAGAAGCGCCTGCGCGCGATATCTTAATTGAGGGTGGAGACCGGATTTCCAACAGTGCTCGCTGGCTTGTATTCAGAGGCGTGCCAATCAGGAGCTGCTGGACCGGGTAGCCGTGCAACCTGCGAGACTCTAAAGTATATACGAGGGCGTCTGGATGTGATGGCCGATCGATGAGCCGGATCGTGCTAAGATGAGGACATAGTGGCGAAAGTGATACGTCCACAGGCGCCGCTAACAATTGAAAGACGCATGGCTCCACGTTGTTACAGGCGTCATTTATGACCACGCTGTTCAGCGAAGGAAGCCCACGAAACAGTGGTTCGAGATCGTTGTCGCGAAACTGCCAGCGGTCCATCCAGAGCTCCGTAATACAAGCCGCAGGAAGCAGGCTTAGGAGGGACTCTACCCATCCATTGCGCCGCTGAGCGACGGCCAACGACGGCTCCACCTGCCAATCGACGCGGAACGCAGACGAAGAGCTTGCCGCAGTGACGGAGAATGCGATGATACCATCCGCATCGGTGATGGCGAGCGACAGCCGTGTGAGCCCTGCGAGCAGAGGAAGAGCGCTCATCCACTCGGAGCGTAAGAAAGCGAGGTCGGAGATGGGCCTGCGCTCGATGTCGAAAAGGTACAGCGCCATGGATGTGGGGAGGCGCGCCGAGGAGAGAAAGTTCGACGCGAATGCGGCGGGAACGTCACCGATGGTGAGACGGCGAAGGCGCGGGAAGTTCACGACTGGGAGGTCGGCATCTGCGCCCCTGCGCCTGAGAAGGTAAACGAGGGTAAGATCTTCCAGGTTGGGAGTGCCCGAGAGGAACTCAAAGAGGCTTCCTAGGGTCCCAACGAATTGGTGGGTGATGGATAGGCACGTGAGTGTTGAGAAGCGATTTGCGGGAAGCCATGGCACGGACTGAAGAATCAATGTCCTGAGGAGCGGCGCGTGGTCCTGGAAGAGCACAGGCTGTGTGACCTTGGTCGGGACGGACGGGTTTATATGGGAGAGTTTGAGCACGAGCACTTCCAGCCGCTCCGCGGGGAACTGCAAACAGCTCAAGACGCTGTTGTCGTCTTCAATGCGCGTCGTGTGGCCGTACAAGGACCGGATGCGGTACCCATCGGTATGCAGAGCATGCCAGATCGCCTGATCGGGCGGAAGCTGGGTACAAAGATCGAGTGGGATATCCCGAGAGCGTCCTAGGCGCATGAAAATTGCCAGCGGATGGGAGGCAGCTGAGATGGAGGACCAGAGCTGCGGCAATGTCAATGCCACCGCTCGCCAATGGCGGCAGACATGCGATAATGCTAATGAGACTTGGATGGATTGCGAGAAGCATAGCCATGTGTGTTCTTTCGTTTCGTACGCAGAAGAACAAAAGAAGGAAAGTAGACATGTAAAAATCTCTCCGAGGAGCTCTGGCGGGAGACGGTTGATCTGAGCGATCCCTGCGACTGGTCTTATAGGGCTGGAAGGATTGAATACTGTGTCATGTCCCAGAGACTGCGAATGAATGCTGCTTGAGCAATCAGCATACATAAATATGATGACTTACAAATTGGAGGGGCGTGCTGGAATTCCGCGTTGACATGAATTTTTGATACGCTTCAAGGTATGAGCTGCACGCACCTCGTGTGACTAGATGCACATGTTCCCTGTGGGAGAACATCCGCACAGCTCGTAACTAACATGGGTGCTGTGATACCCATAAGTCGGGAAAGCTGATCAATGAGCGGGATTCCCGAACTGTATATTTATAGCTGGGGACGCTTCGGGCGCTGTAGATTCGCTGATCTCAGAGACTTCATCGATTGCGTGATAGCTTGGACAAGCAGAGCATTCCTGATCCTCGGCTAATGCAATGGCGTGAGGATCGGACAGCGGTAAAGTTGCTTCCGACCATTTGATGTCAAGCACGAAAGAGAGAGCAATTGAAGAGCCAAACTGCGTAATGAACATTAATGTTAGCGTTGCCATTGGAGGTCGCCATCAAGTAAATGGGGATCTCGCTCGTCGGCGAAAGGACCGCTTTGACATGTTCAACTGTGATAGCGTGGCCCACCGCGAGAAACGATCGGCTGTCTCCGTGAGCATGTATGCTGCCTCGTGGCAGTATCCTGCCTCTTTTCTCTCCCTCACAATTTCACTGCAGTTGTCATTCCATCTACAAAGGCATGGGGATAATGGATCTCCTTCAAAGGATAATAGGGGTTTCAGTAGGGGTTGCATGTGAAACCATGGCACTGCATGGATTACGAAGTATGGTGTCCGACTTGAGTGGTGCATTATCCGCTTTCAACGCTTCTTGGAGGGCCTCTTGGAAGGCTGCTCGAAAAGCTTTATATACTGCTGAATGCATTCGACGCCTCCCGCCCCTTCAGACTAGCATCCCCCCAGTAAATAGTATCATCCAAACCCTTATGTCTTATGCTTATGCATCTATCTAGGGAGCAACCCCCACACCCTATATCTGGACAGTTACTGCCTACGACCGCAACATGGCATACTGGGTATGGCACAACGCCGATGCATGGATGAGGGACTGTAGCAGGCCGTTTCCTTCACTCAAGTTCCACATCGGATACCCTCTCTTTTGGTTCCGTGGACGGCTAGTCCCTGTAAAGCAGACAAGCCATATGTCTCTTCCATCTGCTCCACCAACCCCAACGACAACTGAGCCCTCCATAAACGAGTCAAATTTCCATCTCGCAATATTAATTGGTGCGGGTCTGGGTGTGGCGGCAGTGGTGATGGGAATCCGGGCGCGGCGTATGTTGGGATCACGCTCAGCCCGGGTGGGACAAGTTGCTGTCTATTATCGTGCACGAACACCGAGTCCGACGGAGTGCTCCCGCTCGCCGTCAATACCGCCTGGACGCTTTCGTGCAGTGTCTCTTCAGGTCGTGCAATATCCTCCACCAAAACCGAGGGATCCCGAGGAAGTCCAAGACAAGTACATGAGACTCAAGCGAGAGATTTTTGAGCTCGAAGAAGTGAGTTAATCGCGCCCTCGAACATGTGAATGGATCTGCATTCGATAAATTGTCTCACTGACGAATGTTCACCTCGTTTGCGATCTGCGCTGGCTATAGAAATACAAAGAGATCCTCATGGAGCTCAAGACTTCAGACGAACAAAATGAAAAATGGAGATCAGAGCAAGCGTGGGTATTCTAACATGCACCCTTTGATCGTGTAGCCTGATTGGAGGTCCTGCCAGTTTGCTGCTTGATCAAATTGCGGAACTCGAGTGCAATCCCCAGGTCAATCCCGGAGCACCCATCCCTGCACCTCTATTTTCTGCCCATAAACACCTCGTCAACAACCTCCGACAAGCCATCGACGAGGTTGAGCACGAAGATCCCGACATCGACCCCCTCGTCCTCTCGCGCTCCGAATCGCCTGTTTCACCGCTTGATCCTTCCGAGGATGACTTTCTGCCACGTCAGTACTAGCAGCCACCACCGCTTCCCCCTCCATCACAGTCAGAGATGTAGTTAGCCCTGCGCGCGTCTCCATCACTGCTGCGGATGCCATCATCCCCGCGGGGTTCCTCGTCTACTCGCCCAGGACAATTGCCTAAGGAACAACGTGATTGCCGTGCGCCATCTCTACAGATACAGCCTACGCTCCCTCCTTCTGGCCTGTCGGCCTCTTGCCAAGGAAACGCTCACTCGTGATGCCTTCCCAAGCTGGCTCTCGTCTTACTGTCGTGACAACCCTTTCCCATTGCACTCGCACATACTACTCAAGAATGCGTCAGCTTCTACAATAGTCCTGCCAGCCATCGTTTGGACCAAATATCGTCAATCTTCTCATCGTTTCGCCTCAATGTCGTCTTTGTCCTTATTATAACACTTCTCGTCTTCAAGCCAGCCGCACGGTTCGTTCTTCAGCAATTCAAGCCGCCGTTGTTACATCCAGTACTGCCATGCGCCAGCAAATCAATCCTCTATCGTCGACGACGATTGATGTCCCACCAGCCTACGCAAGCCTATGTACCCTCGCAACTACCATATGTCCCGCCTGCGATATATGCCCACTAGGGTCTCTTAAGCCGATTAGTGCAAAAAGTATGCGTGTCTCAGTGCTACCCTGATAATAAAGCTGCTAACTCCTTCTCCCCTGCCGCAGGATTACATCAAGGCTGATGTGACCATAACGTCACTGTTGCCGGCCTGTGTGTTTGAAGCACTGCGCTGTGTGTCTTTCACACAATCCCATCAAGAGCGAGGTCCCCAGCGCGATTCCTCCCTCATGCGCCTCATCGTCAAAGTCCAGATCACCGGTCGACGTGCCTTAATCACTGAGACATTTTCACGCAAGGTGGCACCTCTTACGCAAGTTGCGAGTATCGGTTTGCACGCACTTTCACTAGATTGACCTTCATCTGCCACAACAAGACTGCCTGGCAAGTAGCGCCTCTCGCGTACATGACGCGGAAGTTGAGGCTCTTATGCCTGTCGCTAGTTTTCAATGTGCAAGTCGAAGTCATCAAAGTGGAATATGATAGCAAACGACGCACTTCAAGATCTAGCTGTTCTCATACACCTCTAGGATGACCCGATGCTAGCTCCAGCTCCAGAACTATGCCAGGACGCTGCGCCGCAAGGTAGCGCCTTTCGCCTCGATTGTGACTCGAGAGTCGAAGCTCTTTGCCACATTTCCTGCATGAACCCGATATTGTCAGCCGCGGACTAGCAAATTGGATCAGATCATCGAATGAAGTCCATACCCTCCAAATGCTTAGAACACCCTCACCCAAGGATATTTCGCATCGTTAATCGACTACGCACGTGAATACAAGACATCACGCAGCAAGGTAGCGCCTCTCGCGTCTGACGCGGGAGTTGAGGCTCTTACGCCGCTGCGAGTCTGCCAGATAACACGTTGCGAGGTGGCGCCTCCCGCATTCTTGACGCGGGAGTTGATGCTCCTACACACGTTGTGATTCTGGCGCTCACGCACATTTCACCTTCAGTCGACAATCATCATGCTTTACGAGACTATTGCGCTGCAGGTAGCGCCTCACAGTTCATCAGGGCGCGAGTTGAGGCTCTTCGCAGGTCGTGTATTCCTCGTATAGAATGGCTACTCATCGCGGACATCGTCAAGGGGGATGACAAGCAATGTGGACTTTCGCCACACGGTTGCAGGGATCAACAGCATCATGTGCATGGAGTGGGCTCTGTTACTGCGGGTTTTGGTACTGAGAGGAATTCCCATCATTCCAACAACAGCTGTTAATCAGTGTGGTGAGCAGTTTCTATACTTTTGAGTGATTCATTTAGCGACTAGTCGCGAGGGCTTTGCATTAGCTCATAAATTCAAGGCTGGCAGGTGGGCTCTTGTGAATTTCGCGTCTCTCTCAACTCGACGAATTCGCGGGACAGTGGCTGGTGGTCGGTATCGTGAGCAATGTCACCATTTTAGAGCCCATAACCCGTTGTTGATGTGTTCGTCAGGTGAAATGTTATTCTCATGTGCATGTAGGCGGGCTTATGCGCTGTTCGCGGACCTCGTGTCTCGTGGTTCAGCGACTTCGTCGACTAGCGGCTGGTATGTTGTGTGGTGCGTCATTTCGTTATCCAAACACGGTTGTTGTCGCTGACTGGCTCCGAAGGCATGACATCTTGTCAATCTTGGCGGCGGTTCTCTCATCGACAGCACCCTCGCGTCACATCATTGCATCTCTACCTCATAACTTGCTTCTGCTATCTCTGCGCTCTGCTCACCATGCTTTCTCATCATCCTGGTCTCGCGCTCTTGCATCGTCCTGATCTCGTGTGCTCTCATCATCATGCTCTTGCACTCTCCTCTCATCCAGCTGTTGTGCTCTCGTCTATGCTCTCGGCTATCGCGCTTTCGGTCTCTTTTCATATGCAATCGCGCTCTCTGTCTATCCCTCATATTTATCCGCTCTAGAATCGTTCAGCCCGGGAATCTAGAGTGTGCAACATGGAAATGCAGACGTTCCAGCTTCGGATGCCCTGGACGCAGGGAATATGAAGCACATCGCGGAACGTCGACCATTCGACTTTGGATACCCCGGACGAAGGGAATTCAGAGGCGGATGAGAAACGATAAACATTTGCTTCAGAGGACCCTGCACAGGGGAATCTGGGGCACCGGAATGTATCTATGTCATGCTGTGGTGACCCCGGACGCGGGGATCCAGGCAGGGCAGGGAATATCCCAGCTCTGGAAGTCCTGGACGGGTTGTCCAGGGCAGGTTCTCCAGGGTATCCCGAACAGACGGGGGTCCGAAGGGGGGGGTCGTGGTGTGTGGATGTGGAGGGTAATGTCAAGAGGGTGTTAAGGGCAACTGGCGGAACCAAGGGTTCCGGGGTTTCTGTTTCTTTTTTTCTGTTTCTTTCTCTATTCTCGGTGACTTTGCTTACGTTTTCCCCCGCAGCTCCTCAAGCTCAAGGTCCAGCGTAGTGTAGTTGTAGTGTAGTTGTAGTATAGGAATCAAGATACGCACCATTAGTATAGATTATTGTAGCATTATGATAGATAGCACTATCGCCGTAGCGTATTGTACTTCGTCTCTCGTCTTATATGTACTGTAACGGTAGCCGCTCTCGTACTATACCCATCGCATAGAATACCCGCTAGACACGATTACCTGCTAGACACGGTAGCCACTAGACACGATACCCATTACGTACTATACCCCGCATGTGTACCCGCTACTGTACTGTACCGTACGCGCATTGCGCCCGCCTCTCGCACTTGTACCGTAGCGTAGCTTACCGCATAGCTTACTATACTGTAGTGTACGGAATAAATTATACACGTTGTTAGAGAAGTTCGGCGTGAATTTGTGGGAGTTGCGAAGTGGCCGAGTGGTCAAAACCTCGCACGGTCGGAAATATTCCACTTCATGCTTAATGATTTTGAACTTTGAGCCGTTCTTGTGGCGAATAACGGCTCGACTGATTGCATGTTACACTGATCGCACGTCGAGGAATTTATGGATGGACTGAAGTTCTTCTGATATGAAGACTGTAACGTTTATATGGGCTTCCGATAATGATGGCAACGGTTGGCGTGTGTGATAAAATAGCGAACCTCCCTTGTATGATCCCGAATGTTAATGACGTCGTATAGCTGGCCTGAAAAATTCAGATCGATTATCTTGCTGCGTTCCTCAACTTTCATGGCTCCCTAAGGGACTCCAAGCTCAAGCCTGGAGAACATAAACACAGACTCACTTGCATGCGTCCGAGTCTCCGCTAGAGCATACATGTCACAACATACATCACGCAAGAATACGACATACACGGAACCTGTGACGTCTAAAGTAGAAAGTCTCACAATTCGATCAAGAGCGCTTCCTTCCGCTCCGCCTCCACCGGCGCACCGTACGCATCGTACACCTGTGGGGCCGCCGTGGGCACAATGGGGAAGTTGGGCAGCGGCGGAGGCGCCGAGAGCTGCTGAAGTTGCTGTAATTGCTGTGGTGCGTGCGACATGGTGTTGTGTCGCGCCAGGTACTGATTTGCCGGCGGCGCTTGCGATGAAGTGGCATGCGAGGCCACCGTGTTCGACCTGAAGAGCGGAGCTTGAGGGGGCGGTGGTTGTGAGGGAATGACGGCGGGAGCAGGCTGTTGCGGCTGGGGGATGGAGATCGGCACAGACTGAGGCGGGACGGGCGGTGAGTACGGGACGGCGCTCGGAGAGGCTGGTGTAGGGACACCGTATTGCGGTATTGACACAGGCACTGGAGCGGCACTAGGTTGTCCAACCAGCTCGTGGGGCGGCAGGACGTGTAATTGCTGAGGAGATGCCAGAGGGGGTCGGGATTGATACGGCTGTCCAGGGTATGTCTCTGCCTGAGGCGATGTCACCGGCGCGCTGATTGTGGCCACCATCTGCTGTTCCGGCGCGGCAGGAGCGAAATACGATGGATCGGATCGGTAAGGACCTGTCTGCATCTGGGGGGACATCTGCGGCTGGCTGGGTGCTTCTGCCACCCATTGGCTGTATCCGCCTTCCGCTGTCATATATTGCGGTGCATACCCAGAGTTCGGCTGCTGGTAGCTGACGGATGGAGCGGTAGACGCGGCTCGCCATGCTGGCCGCGAGACCTGTTCCGTCAACAAGTTATCGTAGAGTTTGACAGCCTGGGACAGCTTCTCGTGCATCTCCTTCAAGAGTTCTGCGACGAACTAACTGAATACTGGAATCATATATTTGGAGAAAGATGCACGCACGTTCTTTCCGATCAGTATCGTTCAGGCTCATAGCCAGCTTCGGTCTCAATGCATTCGCCTTATCATACAGCTCCGTCACTGCAGGGTATCGTGTCAGATCTGTAATTCCCTGTGTCTGCATTTGTTCCACCGTCTGATTGAATGTCAAGATAGCATCGGTCTCCAAAGGCTCAAGGTCAAAGTTGGGGATACTAGGCGCCCTCGGCTTCGGTGTAGCAACTGAAGGCGGGTAGGATTGTGGGTAACCATAACTCGGCGCATAGGATACTGATGACTCTGCCGATGGGGTCTCAATTCCAATCGGAGCACTGGGCCTTGGCATGTTCGCTTCGCGTAAGCTGGCCTCGATGGCAGCCTTGAGATCTGGATCATCCTCTTCTTCGTGCTGTGAAGCGGAGGATGCTGCGTAGGGATGCGTTTTGCGATCAACCAATGGGGGCTCGGAGATCTGCCATGGTGATGGAGAGGGTACGTAGCCCGGCTTGCGACCACCTGCAGCTCCGACTTCTTCGAGAGACAGTTGTATTGCGCGTTGCAGCTCTGCATCTGCAAAGTCGCGAGCAGATCGGTGACGTGCGCTGGACACGCTCTGCGAAGAACGGTGAGGTCTGCGTGGGCAGCGTGAGTGCTCTTCAGCTACATATACCAGGGGGAGACGCACTTGATCGCCTTCTTGTTCAGCTTTGTGTAGCAGCTATCACACACCCGAACCTCCTGCGTAATTCCAAAGTGCGGCAAAGGGAGCGTCTTTGACGAACACTGTTGATCGAAGACTTGGCCACAGTTCCGGCAATGATGCTTGCGATTCGTGAATGTGAATGGTGTCCGACACCGCAAACACACATCCGAGTCTATCCATTCAGGTGCAGTTTGGGTGTCCACCATTGCAGAGCTTGTAGCAGCAGGATCGCGAGGAGGGAATGTGAAGCCTGGCGGTGATCGCAGTCAGCGCTGACGCCGTGCAGCATAGCAACGAATCATCACGCACCTTCACGCTGCAGCATTTTGTAGACCTCACCAACATACCCGAGACTAGGCTTCCCCTCGAACGTCAAAGCCCAGTTCTGAAGGAACCTCAGGATCTTGTTCTTGACATCGAAATTCAGTCCTGGCATTCTCAGCAGAGAAACCAGATTATCCATGAACTCCCTCGACGCAATCTCAACCAAGAATGCATCGCCGCCGTTCTTTATGCAGGTGTCGGTCAACTAGGGTGATATGAGCAACGGCATGACTCGCGAACTGAGGCGTCACACGTACACCGAGAGCGAGCAGCTGTACGTTGGGATTCTTGTGGTTCAACCGCCTTTTGAGGGCGCGCATGGCATCCTTTGGCTGGACGGACTTTGACCGAATCTGATCGCTAATCTCGAGGTTGAGCGCGATGTCCTCGGAGCCAGAAGGCAGCAGCTCTGAGGTCGCCTTGTCTATGTGATACATCAGCGAGATGCATACAAGCATGACGGTAGATACACACCGACTGCATCGTCGACCTGCGTCGTGCCCCAGATGAGAGAACTCAGATACGAGGTCATGGCAAGTAATGAGGAGGAAGCGACTGGGGTGGATGCACTAAGCGTGGCGTCACGGCGTGCGCGGCGCGCAGTGGGAGTGTGACTAAGATCGTGACCGACGTGTTGATTTCGGGCTCAGGCGTGACAAAGGTGCGGCCCCGAGCTGGTCGTGGGTTGTACAGCAACCACCGCCATTGCCGTCGACGCTCTGCTCCGCCTTCGTCCGCCGACTCTCTCTGCTCGTCTAGATATCCCCTCTTGCTGACAGAGCCGCTGCCTGCCGTTATCTAAAGCTTCTAGGCGACATTGACTGGCTTTGAATCAGTTTACTCAGCTTGCGTGGCTCGCGCGAAAATCGCTGAAGACCCTCCTGAACGCCTCAGGACACGTCAAAAACACCTTAGGTGTCAACATAGAACTCGCGAGGTCATAAAATACTGCACTTTGTTTCCATTCCTCTCCTTTCACAGCCCCATCTGCACCCCTTTGTATTGTCTCCTTGCTGGTCTTTTTTGCAGCCATGCTTGGTCATCAATTCGCGTATTCCACGGCCCCTGTCCGCAAGGTGAAGGAGGTGCAATTTGGCATCCTCTCTCCCGAGGAGATCGTGAGTTTGTGTCTTCGTGCTGAAGGATGATCAGATTGACCCCTTATTTAGAAAGCGTACTCTGTGGCTAAGATTGAATTCCCTGAAGTCATGGATGAAACGACGCATAAGCTGAAGACAGGTGGCCTGATGGATCCTTGCATGGGTACAATAGACAGGAACTTCAAGTGCTTGACTTGTGGCGAGGGAATGTCTGAGTGCCCGGGCCATTTTGGCCACATCGAGCTGGCAAGACCTGTCTTTCATCCAGGTACGTCGCTAACTTTGCCTCAATCCAATGACGTTCGACTGGGGGGTCTAAACGTTTTGCAGGGTTCATTGTGAAAGTAAAGAAGATTCTGGAGTGTATCTGTGTCAATTGTGGAAAGTTGAAGGCCAGTACCGTGAGTCGCGTCTCCTTTCCTCTACTCGTTTCGCACCCCACCACCCAAATTTTCTGGGGGCTCTCTCCAACCCTATGGAGAACCCCAAGCCCGCTCTGCGTCAGTTCTCGACAATCGAGGCGTTCTTCCACCCAGGTGCGGTCCGCGCGCGTTTTCGGTCGCTTGATCGCCGCGAGGACCATTGCAGCGCTTGGTGTTGGTTGGACACGCGGCAGCGTGGTGAAATGGGGGGCTGAGCGAGGAGTGCGAAAATGTATCAGACGTGGACTCGTCGAGCCCCGTGCTGAGATGGATGGCCAAACAGCCCTCTCTGTAACGCAGATCGAGTGGCTTGTTCTCTGGCCTGCACTTGATACTCGATATTGTAGCCCCCTTTCATGTGTTGTGGTAGTCGGAAGATGTTGCACGACGTGGTCGTGCTGTCTGTGCGTAGACATTCCTGCTGACGTCCTAACCTTCATATCTCCACGAACCTGAAAATATCGCGCAAATCTTGTTATCCATGAACTTCGCGTTGTAAGTCGGACTCGACCTTTGCAGACAAAATCAGGCACGCTCGCGACCCGAAAGTTCGCATGCAAGTCGTCTGGAATTATTGCAAGGGAAAGATGGTGTGCGAAACCGACGAGCCAAGGGAGGAAACCGACGGTCTCGAGCCTGAAGAGCCCAAGAAAGGCCATGGAGGTTGCGGTGCTGTCCAGCCGCTTATCAGAAAAGAGGGCTTGAAGCTCTTCGCTCAATACAAACGATCAAAGGACGAAGACGAGGTCTGCTGATCTAGATTTGATTATCACGTTTCGTGACTTACGGCCGCTGTAGGAAGCCAAGTCGCAGCCTGATAAGCGTCTTTTCCCACCGCATGAGGTGTATACTGCGTTGAAGAAGATTTCCGACTCAGACTTGCACATCCTCGGCCTCTCCGATGAATATGCGCGTCCAGAATGGATGATCTTGACGGTCTTGCCTGTGCCCCCTCCTCCTGTTCGGCCCAGTATTGCGGTTGATGGTGGTGCCATGAGGAGTGAAGATGACCTGACGTACAAATTGGGCGACATCATCAAGGCTTCCGCGAACGTCCGTAGGTGCGAGCAGGAGGGTGCGCCTGCGCATGTTATCACGGAGTTCGAACAATTGCTCCAGGTGCGCATGTACGGGATGGGGCATATCTGTTTACTTAGCTGATCAACATGGTCTTCAGTTCCACGTCGCGACATACATGGACAATGATATCGCGGGCATTCCGCAAGCACTGCAGAAGTCTGGTCGTCCGGTCAAGGCTATTCGAGCTCGTCTAAAGGGTAAAGAGGGTCGTCTTCGGGGCAACCTGATGGGCAAGCGTGTCGACTTCTCTGCGCGTACGGTCATCACTGGCGATCCCAATTTGGAACTGGACGAAGTCGGTGTGCCAAAGAGCATCGCGATGAACCTCACGTATCCAGAGCGAGGTATGTAGACTCGCATGCTTTCATCGTGGTTGACATCGTCCCCTCATGTGCCTCTTTGCCTAGTGACTCCTTACAACATTGCGTACTTGCAGGAACTAGTGCGGAATGGACCCACTGCCTATCCTGGAGCTCGTTACGTTGTCCGAGACACTGGCGAACGGATAGACCTCAGGTATAACAAGCGTGCGGATGCATTCCTGCAGTACGGGTGGATCGTCGAGCGGCATCTGAAGGATGGAGAGTGAGTATCCTGCAACTCACTTCTGCTCTTGCACTGTTGCTTACGCTTATGAAATAGCTTCGTGCTATTCAACCGACAGCCTAGTCTGCACAAAATGAGTATGATGAGCCATCGTGTGAAGCTCATGCCGTACTCTAGTAAGTTTGCATATCTATCCCCACTTTCTTGCATGTGTCTTACGTGGTCTCCTTCTAGCCTTCCGGCTGAACCTCTCCGTGTAAGTTGAATCGAGGAAGGACGAGTCAAATGTTGTGTGCTGACGACCTTTCGCAAAGGACTCCCCCGTACAACGCCGACTTCGATGGTGACGAGATGAACATGCAGTAAGTATGACAAGGCTACCGTCCTATCGCCTTGATTGATAGACGTTGTTGCAAGCGTACCGCAGAGCGAGGAGACGCGTGCGGAGTTGAGCCAGATTGCATGGGTACCCAGACAGGTTAGCCGTGGTTGATTCTATGCACGTACAGTATTCAATGTCCGCCCTTTGCCCAGATCATCTCTCCGCAGGCGAACAAGCCAGTCATGGGAATCGTGCAGGACACGCTATGCGGTGTTCGAAAGTTCACTCTCCGTGACACCTTCCTGGACTGGACACAAGTGCAAAACATCCTCTTGTGGGTTCCCGACTGGGATGGCTCGGTCCCTATACCCGCCATCATTAAGCCGAAGCCGCTCTGGACTGGAAAGCAGATCCTTAGCATGTGCATTCCCCGTGGTATCAATATCTTCAGGTCACCCGACCCGAAGTCATCAAATCCGGTATTTGATGATGGCATGAACATCGAGAACGGCGAGATCATCTTCGGCGTCGTGGAGAAGAAGACCGTGGGTGCATCGCAAGGTGGCCTCGTCCACGTGTGCTTCCGTGAGAAGGGCCCCGAGGCGACCAGGACGTTGTTCACAGGTCTCCAGCAGGTGGTCAACTACTGGTTGTTCCATAATGGCTTCAGCATCGGCATTGGGGATACGATCGCTGATCGAAAGACCATGGAGCACATCCAGGAGCAGATTCAGATCCGGAAGCAGAATGTCGCGCAGGCCATCGATGACGCGGCGCACGATCGCTTGAAGCCTGCTCCTGGGATGACCATCCGAGAGTCCTTCGAGAGCCGGGTCGAGCGAGAGCTCAACTTGGCACGTGATCAGAACGGTCAATATGCGCAGAAGAATTTGAAGGAGGACAACAATGTGAAGCAGATGGTGGTTGCGGGCTCCAAGGGTTCTTTCATCAACATCTCGCAGATGTCTGTCTGTGTCGGCCAGCAGATCGTGGAGGGACGGAGGATACCTTTTGGTTTCCGGCATCGAACGCTTCCTCACTTCACCAAGGACGATTTTAGCCCCGAGGCACGAGGTTTCGTAGAGAACTCTTACCTCCGCGGGTTGACCCCACAGGAGTTCTTCTTCCACGCAATGGCTGGAAGAGAAGGTTTGATCGATACAGCCGTCAAGACTGCCGAAACTGGTTATATTCAGCGTCGGCTAGTCAAGGCGCTGGAGGATGTTATGGTGTGTTACGACGGGACGGTTCGAAACTCACTGGGCGACCTTATCCAGTTCGTTTATGGCGAAGACGGCATGGATGGCGCTTTCATCGAACGACAGAACATCGAGACTTTCGCTCTAAACAATCGGGAGTTCGAGCACAACTATCGAGTTGACGTTACGGATCCATCGGGCGGTTTCCTCCCTGGTGTTTTGCAGGCTGGGCTTGATGATAGCTCGCTGGAGCTTCAGGCGAAGCTGGATGAGGAGTTCACGCAACTGGTGGAGGATCGCCGCAATCTGCGAGAATTCATATTCCGTCGACAGGATCCCAATGTTCCTCACTACCTGCCCGTGAACTTGCAGCGCATCGTGCAGAACGCTATTCAGATCTTCCATATCGACCGCCGGAAACCTAGCGACCTCGAACCTTCCTACATCATTGATTCCGTGCGAGAACTCGTCAATCGTTTGGTGGTAGTGAGAGGCAACTCAAATATCAGTCGAGAAGCTCAAGAGAATGCCACGCTTATGTTTCGCATGCATCTCCGCGCCACATTCGCAGCTCGTAGAGTTTTGGAGAAATTCCACCTCAATCGCGAAGCGTTTGAGTGGGTGCTTGGCGAGATTGAGGCCAAGTTCAATCAATCGCTCGCTCATCCTGGCGAAATGTGTGGAACGTTGGCAGCCCAGTCGATAGGAGAGCCGGCGACGCAGATGACGTTGAATACTTTCCACTATGCTGGTGTCTCCAGTAAAAACGTGACGCTTGGTGTCCCTCGTTTGAAGGAGATCATCAACGTGGCAAACAACATCAAGACACCGTCCCTTTCCGTATATCTCAAGCCGGAGCTTGCGAAGGACAAGGATCTTGCCCACAGTGTTCAACAGGAGCTGGCTTACACATCTCTACGTACAGTCACGGCGGCTGTGGAGATATGGTACGATCCTGACCCGAGCTCTACCATCATCGAGGAGGATGCAGTCTTCGTCGAATCGTTCTTCGCCATCCCTGATGAGGAGGTCGAGCAGAAATTACACCTCCAGTCTCCTTGGTTACTCCGACTGGAATTGGATCGTGCAAAGATGATTGACCGGAAAATGACGATGTCCTATGTTGCTGGACGCATTGCCGAAAGTTTCAAGACCGACTTGTTCGTCATCTGGAGTGAAGACAATTCCGAGAAGCTCATCATTCGCTGTCGTGTGCTCGGTGGTGCGGACAAGGATGAAGACGGCATGGACACCGTTGAGGAGGATATCTTCCTGCGGCAATTGGAGAACACGATGCTGAACTCCATCAGCCTGCGCGGAGTTCCTGGAATACAACGTGTCTTCTTGCTCGAACACGACAAGGTCTTCATCACGGAGGAGGGAAGCATCAAGGCGCAACAGGAGAAGGAGTGGGTGCTGGAAACTGATGGTGTCAACTTGAAGACGGTGATGTGCATTGATGGAGTCGATTTCACAAGGACATACTCGAACAGCTGCGTGGAGGTCTTTAATGTCCTCGGTATTGAAGCAGCACGCGCAGCAATCATGAAGGAGTTGCGCGGTGTCATCGAATTCGACGGTTCATATGTCAACTACCGACACCTTGCGCTGCTTTGCGATCTGATGACACATCGTGGAACGCTCATGGCCATCACACGCCACGGTATAAATCGAGCTGACACTGGTGCCCTCATGAGGAGTTCCTTCGAGGAGACTGTCGAGATTCTCATGGAGGCTGCTGCAGTGGGCGAGAGGGACGACTGCCATGGTATCGCGGAAAATGTCATCTTCGGTCAGATGGCACCAATGGGAACCGGAGCGTTCGACGTCGCTCTTGATATTGATATGCTCAAGGATGTCATCGTTGATCATCGCCTCCCGGTCCAGAGCATGATGGCCGCTCAAGTCGAGGGAGGCATGACTCCGGGTCAAGTCGCAATGACCCCATACGACAGCAATTCTCCGATGTGGTCGCAGGATATGTCGTTCAAGGGCGAGACTGCCGCATTCTCCCCTCTTGCCGTTAATGGTGGCGAGGATGCGGCGAGCTTCTCCTACCTTGCATATGGTCCAAGTCCGATGGGTGCTGGAAGTATGTCGCCCGCGGCTCCGGGTTACAGTCCCAGCTCTCCCAACGTTTACTCCCCGACATCTCCCTACGTGCCTCCGTCGCCGTACGGTGGGGCAACGTCACCTTTCGGCACTTCTCCATACGCGACGTCGCCGTTCTACGATCGTGGGCGCGGGCCGACTTCGCCAACGTACTCGCCCACGTCTCCGGCACTGAACCTCACGTCACCAGGATACTCGCCCACTAGTCCCCGGTATTCTCCTACGTCGCCATCATTCTCCCCCACGTCGCCTCGTTATAGCCCGCAGTCCCCATCATTCAGTCCGACATCCCCGCGGTACTCCCCTACGAGCCCATCGTTCAGCCCTGCTTCGCCGCGGTGTAAGTTTTCGTCTTTTTCGTGAAGCAATTTATGACTAATGCGTTGCTTTTACTCCAGATTCACCAAGTACGTCTCATATTAATTGCTGCATAGATGTGATTAACTTAGTCTTCCACTACCTTTCCCAATTCAGCTTGTAAGTGTCCTGATTTATCTAGCCGTTCGACCATGTCTGACGATTACACAGCCCCTGCGCAAATGTCCCCGTCGTCTCCGAAATATTCCCCGACTTCTCCTGCCTCGCCGACTTCTCCTAAATATTGTAAGTTGTACATACGGCGCATTGCTGTACATCTATACTGATTTTCTTTTCCTAGCCCCAACGTCACCAGCTTATTCCCCAGCTTGTAAGTGTCCCAGTCTACAAGAAACAAAATATGTGTTGACCGCTGTTTCTTATTCATGCAGCGCCCGCGTACTGTAAGTCATACACCTCGCTGACGTTGCTCGTCGTAAGCTGACCAATCCTCTTGCAGCACCTGCGTCCCCGGCGTACAGTCCGACCTCGCCGCAGTGGTCACCATCCAGCCCTGCGCAGCAGCAGAATGGTACCAGCAAGCACAGCCATTCCTACACCACTTCCCCGTCGTGGGATTAAACGCTGTTGTCGGTCATTGCAGCAGTCGTTCTTTATCTCACTTGGAACGCTGTAGTTACTCTTGATTCTGCTATCATTCACGACACTTATATCAGCTCTCTCCCGCAAGCCTGTAGAATAGTAGCGCATCGTATGTCTTCTTTAGTCGTGCTCTATGTCGACTACTGCCCGCGCAGTTTGTGTAATATCCCCTGCGTGATAACATACCATCCTCGCCTGCATGAAGATGCTCAGAACGCTCATCGGTCGGCATACATGTGTTTCGTGCAAAGTCTACCTTGTATCCCATACGGTCAAGTAGGAAGCTAAGTACGCATTGTATGAGGATAAAGGAAGAAGTACCAGTCGATCAAGATGATTACGAGAAAGCATGTGCTTAACGCACAGTTAGTTATGATGATGGGCACACCGCCATAAAGGTCCATGTGAGTGCTAAGGAATGAGATGGCAATAAGTACGACACAGCGTACATGTACGTAGGGATCGGAACGACGATGTGTCATAGTATTACACATGAGGGATTGATGGGGTATACTATAACTTGAGGTGAGATCGAGAACCGCGAATATCTGATCCAAGAACTGCGTGGACCGTTGGCATGTGCGAATAGGGTGGTGCAAGTGACGACGACTTGGGGCGACAAGGGGGGCGTCTCGACGGCAATGAGATGTAAGCGACATGGCACATTGAACGGAAGAAGCATTGACGTTTTACGTTTTCGTAAGGAGGATGAAAGGAAGAATGGACCGTGGTCCGCATGGATGTCTGACCTAAACAAAGAATTGGGTGCTAGAACGCTCGTTAGCTCCGCCATGGTCAAATAACAAGACGTTCACTCACTGGACCCGACTAGCAGCATGGACTTCCATTTCTTCCATCTTATACGAATTGAGCTCTTCCTTGATCCGCTGTGCCAGCGCAGGCGTCAGCCGACTCCAAGTCGCAGGCTCGCTTCGTCTGTCATAAACAGTTGAAGGGAACGTATCATATACGGAAAGATTCGACGCGAACGCCAATCGCTTCGTGGGTGCCGTCGCTGATCGTTGGGACAATGTCGGCGGGTTCGGCGACGAGAACGATGTGGAAAGTGCGGGTGCCGAAGAGTTGGGGTGACTGAAAAGGGTCTTCTCATGCACCGCCGAGTGCACGCTGCTGGCGTCCGAGTCCTTCGGCGACTCTAGCGTGAGGCCATTACCTTCGAACGAGAGCGGCGGAATAAAGCCCGGTGACGAGTGTCCGTTGACCGAACCATGCGGACTGGTGTGTCTGTGCAGGCCGTCGATGTGATCCGGGTCAGGCGAAGGGATGCGCGCCAGGGGCCCGAGCTCTGCAGGGTGCGAGGGTGCCGAGTCGTACGAATTTGAGCGCACACGCGTGAACCCAGAGTTCGGCTGAAGATATGCGTCCTGCTCATAGCCCGTCCCGTCTGCGCGCACTGAAATAAATACGATGAGCTCCGGACCACGCACAGCTGAAAGACTCACTTTTCAGGATGCCCTTTGCTGGCCGGCGCGCCTTCTCGATACTCCGCCGCACGTTCACTGCCCACGGCTCCATGTCGTCAGCGCCATCGAGATTCGTGTTATCCAGATCCTGTCGGATCGTCATGTCCTCATCCTCTTGTGCCTCACCCCAGTCCTCGTCATCCTCCCAGCCCTCCGTGTTGTTGCTGTTATTATTGTAGCCCACGCCGTGCCCGCCATCGCTTGCGCTATCCGAGTCTTCCTCGACGACGAGACGCATGCCCTCCTCGTTAACCTTTTTGCCAAAGCCGAGCTTGTTTGGAGCAACCTCGCCATGTCGAGAGGTGGTGGTACTCTTCTCCCACGTGGGCGGCACGGCGCGCTCTTGCTCTTGCGCAGCAGCGGCGGCAGCCAGAGCGCGAGCTTCCTGCTCTGCCTTGGCCTTGGCGGCCGCCTCTGCGTTGCTCTTGAGCGTATGTTGTCGCGCCAGTTGGGCAGCAGGACTGAGTCCAGCGAGGTCGACATTTCCGCTCCAGTCCGCGCGATCAAGCTCAACAGTTGCATGCGACACACTCGCCTCCGCAACAGAAGCTTTTTCACCTTTCTTTTTCTTACCCTTCTTGCCGCTGCTGCTGTCCTCCTCCTCCTTGTCCTTCTTGTCCTTAAATAGTGACGTGATACCTGCGAGTGAATTCCGGCGCGTGAGCTTGCCGATCGAGCCAAGCTTGCGAATGACCATGGACGCAGAAGACATGGTCGATGAAAGAGAGATGTTGTCCGTCGAACGGTTTAGCCGCGAGTTGAACAGCGAGCGAGACTTCTTCTTCTGCACGGTGGCCGTCGACTCCGCATCATCGGCTGCATTGGAGCTGCTGCCTGCGACGGCGGAGCGCGAGCCCTTGTGGTCCTCCTCTTCATTTTCCTCAAGCAAGGTCGCGTTCGCGCCAAGTGAGAGCGCGCGCCGAAGGCGACCTTTGAGCCCGCCGCTACGCACGCCAGGTGCGTTGGGGATCGGCTCGAGCATGGCAGCGAGGTCGCTGTCATCGCGCGACATACGCTTCTCAGCGGCTGTGAAGGTGCCCTGCGAGAGCGGGGATGGCTTGCGGAGGTTCGCCACTGCCGCTGCTGCCGGGGATGCACTGGCAGCACCGCCAGATGGTCGCGAGGATGGCGCAGAGGCGTTGGACGATGAGTTCGACGCTGTGCGAGTGTGCATGCGCGGAGAGGGCGCGTTCGAACCCTGCGAGGTCACCGAAGTAGTGCTGCCACCGCGACCGTGGCCGTTGCTGCTGTTGCTGCTGCTTCCGGGAGGAGGCTTGGGATGACTATGGTTGTGACTATGACTCGAAACCCCGCTGCTGCTGCCACCGGCAGGAGAGCCCTGCGTGCTGTTAGTGCGTGGACGCTGTGAGCCGGATTGATGACTCGAGCCCGAATTGACAGAGGACGAGGAACCTGCGGCATCGGAGCGGGCGTACGGGGGATGGAAGTCTATCTGCTGGGGGCCGGCGCGCCAGTCGCCGGCCTGCGAGGAGCCGTCGTGCGAGCTCCCACCTGAGCGAGGGGGACGGCGATACGGGTGGAAGCCTTGGTACTGACCCTGCTGCTGGTCGAGATAGCCCTGGGGCAGCTGCGCGGGATGCGAAGGCGGGGTGCCGCTGGGGAAGGGGCTGAAGCCCGGCATCTGATTGAGCGCAAAATAGTCGGCGGAGGGCGGGTTGGACCCGCGAGACCGCTGAGAGCCGACAGAAGAAGGCGACTGGCCCATGTGCGGAGGGACGTGGGACATCTGATGGGCCTGCTGCTGGGCGTTGTACATCATCTGCTGATAAGCCCACTGGGCAAACTGGGCGTTGGCAGGATCGTAGTAGGCGTTCTGGGGGTGCATCTGCTGTTGGGCGTGGATGGAGTAGGCCTGCTGATTTTGGTAAAAGGCAGGGTAGAACTGCTGGGGCGGCGGGGACGACCAGCCGGCTTGCTGCTGCTGCACCGGGTACGGGTAAGGCTGCTGCTGGGCCATGTTGGGGCCGGGGTCATTGGGCGGGGATGATCGCTGGCGGGGGACGGCGGGGTTGGGAGCAGATGCGGGGGCGGTTGTGGTGGTGGTCGTCGCTGATGGCGCAGAAGGGGCGGCGTCCATGGTGTGATCTCTAGGAGGATGCCAGTCCTGCGGCGCGAGAACGGCCATGGACTGCAGCTGGGGCCAGAGAACGGGATGCCTGTCTATGATGGGGGAAGATCAGAGCGGGTCGTCGGGATCGTCGGCGTCGTCAGCGAACACGGAAGCAAAATGGAGATCAGTGAGCGAAGCAGCGTCTGGAGAGCGAGCGGGCGCACGCACGGGACGGGGGCAGGCGGTTTTATTAACGAGGGAAATAAGGAGGGCGGTGATGAGGAGGCGAGCGACGAGCTCTCGGCTGCTGAAGACGACGACGGCGACCGCAAACGGGCGAGCAGATAAACCAGAGTCTCCCAGGCGCCCGGCCAATCCGACTGCGTAGCAAATACGCCTAAACACCTCCCGACTTTTCCTCGCCTGTTCGTCGCCGTTCTGCGCGATGGCGAGCTCGATGTCGTCGTCGTTGCTCTCGCTGCGGGGGCGACGTCGTGGGGGAAGCTAGGCTGCGAGTGCATCGCTGCCGAGAACAGTCTTTTCTCGCGCGGTCACCAGACCGCATGATCCCTCCTCTGCAACCATCTGCGCTATCTATTCGCTCTCTGCTCGTCGTCGACGACGACGACGACCGCTACTTTATATGCGGATGGCCGTCGCTGCGCAGAAAGACGTGCGGGCGGGCGAGGGAGGAATCTCGATTGGTCACACACGGACGCAATTGGAGACCTTGGCCATTCTCGGTGCACTCGCGCTCGCTGCTCGGAACATCTGTTTCATCAACGTGCTCGCGCTCGCCCGGGTCCGCTAGAAGATGCGCACGTTCCCCTTCCATGCGAGCTCGACGCGTGTGCCCTCCTACGCCCCTCCTTTTGTCCCGCCTCTTCCAGCAAGGCGGGCCATTGATCCGAAATCAATGCAGGACAATCGAGATGCGCGCAATTCTATTCAAAACTGGTGCGCTCCCTGGCAACTCGATACGATGCTGTTCGACGATCGCTGATGCTGCGTGTGTACTTTACCACTCCCAAAGGAATGGTTGGCCTTGTGTGCGTACGTATCCCCGCAAAGTCGTCCACAGCATACACGGACCATCAAACCGGGACGAGCTGCGGCTGACATCATTCGCTTGCCATCCTCCCCGTGGAGGTCGCCCCTTCGTGAGTTCCTGAGCGCCGTTCTCATCTCGGGTGGCTGATATTGACCCACATTGCAGGTCACATACTGGCAGGCTAGCAATTGTTTTCACGTTCGCTAGATGTGTGTATACCATGTTCGTACTAGTCAATATGTTATTAGGGCGTAGTTCCTATCTCAACGTCTCTCACGTAATTGTCACACCGGCCTCCCAGTCCCCTTCCCTCCCATTCTACTTCCACCATGTCCTCCGATTGGAAGACGCTCTGCGTCACGCGCAAAGCCGCGCAGGATGCGACCATTCCTCCCGAGTGGCGCATCGCGCTCCCGCCCTCGTCCACGCGCAACGTCCTCAGCGTGCCCGCTGCGTGCGGCCTGCTCTCTGCGCGCGAACTTGAGATCACCGACGCCGCAACCGACATCGAGCGCCTCCTCCTGCGCCTTCGCACTGGCGAGTGGTCCGCCGTCGAGGTCACCACCGCGTTCTACAAACGCGCGATCGTCGCGCACCAGCTTGTGCGCGTTTTCTGGCTGGACCTCATGACCGATAATAAGACGTGTATGCTATAGACGAACTGCCTCACAGAAATATTCGTCGACCGCGCACTCGCGCGCGCAAGGGAGGTCGATGAATACTTCAAGGCGACGGGCAAGCCAATAGGACCCCTACACGGCCTCCCGATCAGCCTCAAGGACCAATTCCCTATCAAGGGCCTCGAGACCATCATGGGTGCGCCGTGCGACGCATCTCTCTGTCCGCCAATCTCTCATGACGCGCTCTCGCAGGATACGCAGGGTGGATCGGGCGCGTCGCAGAGAAGGACTGTGTCCTCGTCGAGATCCTCTACGACCTCGGCGCGGTGCCCTTTGTGCGCACGAACGTCCCTCAAACGCTCTTGGTACGTGCCTGCTCAATAAAAGCAACATGCACGCACGCTGATGGGGAGGGTTGCGCAGTGGGGCGAGACGTACAACCATGTTTTCGGGCGCACGACGAACCCATACAACCGTTACATGACGCCCGGCGGGTCCTCTGGCGGCGAGGGCGCGCTCCTCGCGCTGCGCGGCAGCCCACTCGGCGTCGGCACCGACATCGGCGGGTGCGCGCTTCCCAATACCCAAACTAAAGCCCCATTCACGCTCACCCTCTCTCAGCTCAGTCCGCATCCCAAGCGCCTTCTGCGGCCTGTACAGCCTACGCCCGTCCTACGAGCGCCTGCCCTACTGCAACGCGCTGAACGCCGCCGACGGCCAGGAGAGCATCTCCTCCGTCCTCGGGCCCATGGCCTCCTCGCTCCCCGCGCTGCGCGTCTTCACCAAGGCGGTGATCGACGCGCAGCCCTGGCGCCGTGACCCGCTCGCGGTGCGGAAGGAGTGGAGTTGGAAGGAGGAGGCGCTCGGCGAACATGGTGGTGTTGGGGGACGGCTGTGCGTCGCCGTGATGTGGGATAATGGTGTGGTGAAGCCGCATCCGCCGCTCTTTAGGGCGATGCGGATGGTCAAGGATGCACTGGAGGCGGCCGGGCACACGGGTGAGTGGCAAATGGCGCATCGTCGGGTCGTACGCTGAGGTATATGCAGTGATTGACTGGGAGGTGCACCGGCACCTCGAGATATACGAAAATACGGTACGTCCCAGACAGCACGCAACTACACTTCCCTATTCATTCTCGTCGATGTGCTCACGACTCTGATGGCTCCAGGAGCGCATATTCGCAGCAGACGACGCACACGACTACCTGACCGAGTGCGCGCGCTCGGGCGAGCCGCTCATACAAACGATGAGCCCAGACACAGACGCGCACGAATACGCGCTCGACGAGCCCTTCGCACGCACGGTCGTCGGCGAGCGGCGGCACCTCTCCGCCTACGAGGTGCGTGTCTGTCTTCCCCATCACAACACCCGTCATACACACCGTGTACCCGCTCGTCCGGGCTCGAGTCTCGAACATAGTACGAATAAGGAAAACTGAATGGCGATTCGCTCGCCGCTCCGCAGCTCTGGCAACTGCATAGGGAGAAGCGCGCGTTGAGGAAGAGCCATCTGGACCATTGGGAGGCGACCGTGGCCCGCACGGATACCGGGCGCCCGGTCGACGCGATCATCAGCCCCGTCGCGCCGTACGCGGCGTGTCCTCACGGCTGCAACTCGTACGTTCCAGCGGCCTGCTCATCCTGATGCGCTGATAACGCTGACCGTTCGCGCACAGCGACGCATTCTACACCACCCTCTGCAACACGCTCGACCTGACCACGGCGGTATTCCCTGTCACCTACGTCGACGCAGCACTGGACGCGGTCCAGCCCGCGCACGCGTTCCGGAACCAGGAGGACGAGGCGGTCTACAAGATGTGTGCGTGCCCGCGTTCCCCGTTCCTTGTTCCTTGTGCTGCCTGCTCCTGATCTGCCTACGGCTGTGCGTTGATCCGGCGCGTCCATGCTGATCATTCTGCGTGCAGACGATCCGCAACTGTTCCATGGCCTGCCCGTCGCCCTGCAGCTCATTGGGCGGACGCTCGAGGAGGAAGGCGTGCTCGCGATGACCGAGGTCGTCGATCGCGCGCTGAAGGCGTATAAGGCGAAGGAGGATATGAAGTAGACGGGAATGTACATCCGGACGTGTATGATAAGTATAGCATTACATCAGACCGAATGAAATACCCTAGCAAAGCCGTAAGAAAAAGTCAGTCGGCAAAGATACGATACAGCATACTCCAAAATAGAACGATCTAGAGGGCGGGATGACGGTACGGTCGCATGAGCAGCGCGGCCTACACGAACCGCGCCAAGAGATCGTCGACGCGGGCCCTCTTCCAGCGCTGCTCAGTCACCCGCAGAATGTCCGGGAACCACGCGCGCACCTCCTCCTCGCGGTCCAACAACATCTGCGCGACCGCCCTGCCGCTCATCCACGCGTGCACCATGCCCTCGCCCGAGTACCCCGCCGCGAGCCACTCCCCCGGCGCGGCCAGACCAGCCTGTGCGCGCTCCTTCGCGTTCGGCGGTGGCTCCGCGCGCCCAGAGACCTTCGCGGGAAGTCGGCCGACCCACGGTAGCGCGTCCGTCGAGATCCCTAGCACGCCGCTCCATGTCGCCTTCGTACGCCCCGTGCCCCAGCGCGCGTCCTGCTCCCCCGACGGGACGACCTCGCTGCCCCAGTTTTCCAAACCAAAGTAGAGCGGAAGCGCGCCTGCGAGGTGCGCCGCGACGGGGAAGTTGACCACTGCATCGTCCGTGATCGCGATGTCCGGCAGGCCGCCATCGCACGACTGCGCCCAGCCGCCACCGAACATGAGCTCGTGCTCGCCTGTGGGCAGCTGCGTGAGGTAATCATAGCCCGTGCCGCCGCGGTAGAAGACGAAGGAGCGCCCGCCAGTGAGCGTCGAGCCGTGCAGGAGCGTACCGGGTCGCTGGGCGGACATTCCCCCACGAGCGGGGATGATCTTTGCGCGCATGGGCTCGAGGAGGTGTGAGCACCAGCCATTTGTTGCGTGTACGACGTGCGGGGCGGTGAGCGTGCCACGAGGTGTGGTCACGGTGTAGTACGGAGTGGTATTTCTCGGCGCAGCGATCGCTGTACATGGTGTATGCACCACAAGCTGGAAGCTGGCCGGTTGTCAATGGACTACGGTGCTGCTGTAAGCGTCATCTTCATGGCTCACCTGTCTGGATACCGCTTGACGAGTTTGGCCAGCAGGGACGTGACGAACCTGTACGGATGGATCGCACCGCCTGCGCCATAGATGCAGCCAACCGTCTCATCGGATAGACGGAATCTCTGTCGAGAGGTTTTAGCAATCAGATATTTGACGAGACTAGACGGCCAGGCAGTCGTCTACGATAGCGCAGCGGGGACGACTGCCTGGTTGTGTGGTTCGCAGCACACTGAAACAAGGTACAACACATACCTCGATGGCTTCGGTCTTATCACAAAAGCCAAAGCTGCCAGCCTCCTCAGGCATGTCGGTCTTCCACTTTGCCAGATTTTCCTTCGCCTTGGCGTAGGTGTCTGGGCAGGTGAACACGTCGAGATGCTCAGTGTCGCGGAATTGTGATTCTTTCAGGATGTCCTCATCGTCCGCGATTCGTTTCATTTCTTTCAAGTGTGCAAGTCTGAACCTAATCGTCTGCTTGGCTGCATCTTCGCCAAACTTCTCCTTCAGCTGGCTGTAGTCGTGATACAGCGGCGGATTGATGTGACCGCCATTCCTGATAATGTGATCTAATGAGATTTTACATGTGACTGATATTGTTCCGCTGACGCACCGACCGGTAGCACCTGAACACACATCCCTTGCCTCGAGCATCAGCACCTTCACACCGCTATTCCTCTCCAGCAGGCTGTACGCAACCGACGCGCCAGTAATGCCAGATCCAATAATGACAACATCAGCATGCTCCGGCAGCCCGCCATCGCCCGAAGGAATCGTAGTTGGAGGGACTGTCCAAAACGGCAAGGTTGGGTTGGAAACCGGGATGCCGGGGGGCGCTTGAATCCGCTTGTCGAGTTCATCATATGTCTTGCGGAGGGAGAGTATCGCTGCGATGAAAAGTCGGGTCTTGGAGGCAATGTTGCCCATGATGAGCAGGTAGGATGTGGGGAGCAAGTGCTGAGAGTGCTCAGGGGGTGGAAGCGGCCGCGAGAAGCTTGAAGCAGGTCTCACAGCGTGGTCGTTGTAGTTGCGGAAGGACTTGTCTCCCAGAATTTGAGCTTATGCTACACAACGCGGATGCTTTGGACGACATTCTGCCACAATGATCAAAGCCACAGGATCGATCTAATCTTTACCTGGCACAGGCAATTGATGGCGGCTCCTTACGAAACTTCATTTGAAAGACAACGCACGTTGAATTCAAGCCAAGCATTACAGCACGGATACCAAAGCGGCGGGCGTTCCGTACAGCGAGCCCATCTAAGATCAATAATGAACCACAGCTCGATCCGTCAGCTCTTCAGGCCCGTAGAATCATCCCAGGTAATGTACGACACGGAGCGCGACCGGATTCAAACATCTTCAAACATCTGCTGCATCGAGTCCCCGTTCTCTGCTCGCTTTGCCTACACACGTTTCGTTTTGAATGCACATGAGGAAGAGGAAACTCCACAGTCTTCCTGAACGGCGCCGGTGTTCAACTTATCGTTCGGCGTGATGGACGTGACGCCGATTTCGTATGGCTCGTTGGACATTGGCTCGGCAACTGAGCGGGAGCAGATGCAGCCTGCGGCTGTGGGGGCGCTTGAGAGGCAGAATTGGCTGGTGTTGTTACTTAACTTGTATACGCAGGATGACTTTGTTCAGCCTTTCGTGCTGCGGCTCGGACATGCCTACCGAAAGGTATGGCATTGCGAGAAACCGTGGCTTTGCCCAGTATAAATCGAGGTTTCCCGAGTATTTAGGAGGATAAATGTCTTCGGAAGCTGTAAGATCGCGCTGATGTGAGCTTGCAGGGTGACCGACAGCTTCTGTCTGCTCACCTGCGAGGCCGCCTTGATCGAACCAGCTGGCGCTGGACTGTCGCCAGAGACGTCGCCTGACTGTTCGTTTCAATTCGCAAGTAACCTGTTGATCGCTTTCTATCAATCAGCGAAGCACTTTTGTTGTAATCTTTGTTCTTTTGTACGGATTCTTGTCTACATCCTCGCCATCAGATTGGGAGGTGTCGCCCGCTTCTTACTCGAACTTTTGTCAACAGTGGCCTCGTCGCCGGTCTTCGAAGTACGCGTTATGTGTTTTCCGAAGGCTGTTTTTTTTGGGGCGCGACTTTAGATATCTTTTCCTCAGAAGGCTGGTGTCATTATGCATCGTGACGCTTTCCACACATAATAGCGACATACGGTGCCAACCATCGTGCGGGGGAGAGCATGCAGCAGCGACGAGACAGGCGGTGTCGACGTGGCTTGCGTATGAGCCCACGTTCAAGTTCGACTGTGCTTTTCTACGCAAGGCTTCTGATCTTCGATCGATCCGAACGCGAGCAACGCGATCGACTGTTTCAGCCAGCCACAGACGCGTCACGCAGGCACACTGCATCTTCATATATCTTGCCCTAGTTCCTGTGCCAATGTTACAGCTGGGAGCCCGAATACCAGTATTGCATCGACATGAGTTCGCGATCGCATTAGCAGGCGGTCTCAGAACCGGAGCCCGCGTATTACAGGGTGTCATGCAGCACTTGAGTGATATCCCTCTGGAAGCGAGCGATATAGTCCGCCAATTCTGCATCAGGCAGCGTCGAATGGTCTAGAGCTTGCGTCAATTGAGTCCGGAGCTACATAGCAGCAAGAAGATTCGTGGAGATGATCAGCAAGAGAAGCATCACAGCAGCAGCAGTTCAGAGAGATGATGAGCAGTACCCTGAGCAGCGCCTTGCGCCGGATGGCAACCATGTTCGTGTGGCTCTCTCGCTGTTCACGCTCTTCCATATCGGTCAGATGTTCTGAGACTCGCTTGGCCTCGACGAGCACGTCCTCAGGCAGGTCGGCCAGGCGGGCGAGTTCCAAGCCTGTCCTCAAGCACGATCCGGTCAGCACGACATCTGCCCTAAGGGAGTTCAGGCAGACCGTAGTGGTTCATATCATCGGGGGCTCCATCGACGATCCTAGCAAGGTGAGTCGGATGTTCAATCAGCGCAAGGCGGTATGCCGGCTTACTTGTACTGAAAAGTCATCCCGAAGTTGGACGCAGATCGCCGCGTTTTCTGTAGGCGATCCATATCGCTATATGATAAGCATATGCTCATGTAGACGTGACACGTACCTGGACGGCGAGATGCAAGCTACATCGGAGGAAGAGGTCAGCCATCAGCGTAGAACGGTCAATTACTCACTTGACAACGGAGGGTTGGCGCGATAGCGTGATCGCCAGCTCATGGAAATGTCTGTTATGCCTGTATTCATACAGAATCTTCAAAAACTGCCGAATTCCCTTACGTTGCAAAGAATACATAGGCCTGCACACGACGTGTCAGCGCAAAGTAATGTTGAGTCACATTGCATTGCTCACCTTGATTCTGATGAGTTCCTCTGCTATAGCGTGTGCAATACCGGCTCCTTCTATAGGAGACGTCCCACGCCCAACCTCGTCGATTAGCACGAGGGAGTCGGCGGTGGCAATTCCTAGCGACCACCAGTTAACGTTAGCAGAGACAAGCTGCGTCAGCCTTGCTTACCTAGAATCATGGCGCACGATGCCATCTCATTGGCGAAGGTGCTCAAATTCTTCTCGACGTCGTCATCATTACTTAGACGGGTGAGAAGAGCATCATGTAGCCTGGGCAGTAGGGCATGAGGGTACTCAGCTGACATTCACATAGATGTCACCACCCTCACCTAAAGCTGCCATATTCTGCTGGGACGAAACATCCACACATTGCCATGATGGTGAGAAGGCCGACTTGCCGAAGATACGTGCTCTTGCCTAGAGTAACATTTATTGGTGCAGTTCCTATGCGCATGTTGCCAACAGACTGTACCTGACATGCTGATAACATCCGTATACATCAGTGTACATCAGTTAGAGGACGATCTTGCACACAGACTTTGGACCTTGTATAATCTGGAATGACGATGCCTCGCAGCAGTAGACGTCATTGGGCACGAGCGTCCCAGCAGCTGTGACTCCTTCCAGCACCGGATGACGGCCAGCTTTGATGGCCAAAGTCCCTGTGAACTCAGGACGCACTATAATAGATTAATATATGTGCCATTCGTGAAGAAACAAAAATGTATACCATAGTTACGCACTGCGATGAGCCATAAGCTACCAGCGGATGGCATTGCAAAGCTGCAACTCACGGATGGAGGCATGAGCGAAGGACCACAGCATGTCCACAATTGCAATCGCCTCGGAAGCCTTATAGAGGGCGCCGATGTCAAGTATGATCTCGGCAGTCAGTTCTTGTATGATCCTAGTATGAAATTAGATATCAGCGGTTCATCTATTTGGTACGCAAAAACTCCACCTTTCGCTCAAAATCAACGTCTCGTCTAGGGCATCTTTCATTCGAGCGTTTCTCTTTTTCTGCAAAGGTGACGTAGCATTATGTCTTATGTCGGACTCTTATAGGCCGCTCACCAACTCCAAACTGGAAAACAGCCAACGCCCTTTGTGTTGCACCACGCTCAGGAACCCCCGCGGCAGCTCTCCTTCGAGGTCGGCTTTCTTCAGCGCAAAGACAAACCCTGAGTCCTGGTAGACGAGCGTGAACGGGAGGTTGTGCTGCTCAGAGAGCTCGCGGTTCAGCGTGAAGATGTCTCCAACGTTTTCCTTGTATGTCTCCCGGGCGACGTCGAGCAGGCGATTGTAGTTTGCCTGCAAGTGCATATATCAAAATACAACGATGGAGAATCATCGTGGACGTACTTTGACAGCATATACACGAGAATTGACGGCTTCTAGCCCTCCCTGTTCAATTCTGTCAAACCAAATTAACAGTGGTCTGCAAGCTACTTACCTTTGCTGAAATGGCTTGGTCATTGAGACTGCTGGCGATGAGCTCCGCAATCTTGGCGAGCCTCGTGTCAGAGATCATCTATGAAATAAGTCAATAACATCACCAACATGGGATGAGTTGTGACTTACATCCACTATTACTCTAAGCAACTGGGACCGGCTCCCCTCCATAGCTTTCGCGAGAAGCGGAATGTTCTTCACAACATTACGGAGATTCAACATCTGCGTCACTCGCGCAGCCGCTGGCTTTGCGGTACTCATCACTCGCGCTTCGGATGCAACCAACTTTGACTCTTTAAGAGATGGGCATGAAAACCAAGATACGCATACATACTGAGGAAATTAACTTGTCAAGGTCAAGCTTGTTAAGCATCTTGAGCGCATTCTTTACTTCATTGAAACGATCCTCATTTTGAACAAGTTCTGCGGCTACCATCAGAATTCGGTCTGGCCCCAAAGATTGGTCCGCACCTTCAACGACATCCAGTCGCGCTTCAAGAGAGGACTGGACTAGCGGGGAATAAGTGGAGCAATGCGAGGCAAGTCCCAGATGCGCCTACCGGATATAGGTGATAAGACGTTTACGCGCAATAGTCGCGCACCCATAGCGGTGAAGGTATGGTTGAGCATACTGCGTACGAGAAGAGAATTAGTGATGCATATAGTGAGTCGGAGGGCGCATATACCCGAACAGCGAGTGAGAAGACCTCTTGTGCGAAATGTTACCGATGAGTTCGAGATTACGCGCCGTCTCTGGATCTATCATCATTGTTCCTTCCACTTGGACGTATCGGATCATAAGTGAAGTAGCCGCAAATCGTATGTTCAACTTTGCTTCGGCATGTTTGAACAGTGCACTTGCTGCTGATAGTGCATAATACCTGCTCACAAGGCTTGAATTACAGTATCTGCAGTTGAAATGCGCATATACCCACTTGGTGGAGACTGCCACCAGCGTAGCTGCTCTCTCCTCGTCATCAACAGTAAGCTGATCCACAAAATCGAGACCTACAGAACCGTCGTTAAAGAGAGTTGACATGTAGAAATGTTCATATGTACCTGCGCTCTCGTTCCAATACTTGCGAAGAACTGGTTCGACCGGGACATCAAACTCTTCCATGAGGCATTGGACCAGGACAGAGGTAGTCGAGGGTTTCTTTCCACCAGAGGCGAGAGAAATGTCTGAAACAGACAAGAAAGTGTCCGGCACGAGTATGAGAGAAGGAGAACGCAAGTGAAGCTGGTGCAAAGTCTTGATGTATGTTGGACTATCCGCTAGCTACAATATGGATTCAGCATCGGCGGACTACATCAGCAGAACCGACGCAGAAGACGACACACTTGTATCAGAAGCACTCTTCCTGTGTCCTTGTCTAGCGCAGCGAGACCCACCTCCCGCGCGACACCGCGTCCCTCAAGCACGGCGACAACATAGCTTGGGTCGTGCTTCGAAGAGGCTGCGGTCTGAGGACGCGCAGTAGTGGGACGAGACTGCGCAGTCCAGCCGCGCGACATACTCGTCACCGGACGGGAAGAAGAGGGGTGTGCTGAGAAGGTAGTGTAGGGGGCAGACATGTTCAAAACGTCGTGGTACAGAAGAGAGCACAAGCTTTGAGGTGGAAGGCTTTGTAGGTCTGTCCACGTGCACCGACGCGCTTGTGGCTGAAGCCGATCGCGTTTGATGGCGTGAAGTGAGCATAACTTAAGGGGACACGCATGAGTCGTTGACACACAGGCCTGATGGCCAGAAATGTTATTGAAGTCGTTCGCTCGGAACACACCTACACGCATTCTCAGCACCGTATATACACCTGCAAGTTTGGACTTAGGCTGATAACGAGTCGGCGAACCTTACAACTGTTGGAGAAGACCTCGGGTACCGCTTGCACAGTCGAGTAACTGCATCATCAGTCTGTACTATTAAATATCGAGTACACCGTCCTCCTGATGACCAACGTAACAGCCCAGAGCATCGCTCCATACATACTCGTGCGCCAACACCTTGGTCAATATGTGATATGCCTCGATGTCCGCAAACGGCACGTTGGTCCTTGGGTCGCGATATCGTGCTGGCCTGCCGGTAATCGAACAGGTCTGGGTTGGTCGAGCTTACGAGATGTTCAATTAATTCTGGAGCACGTAGCGAGAGAATGGGATACATACTGTATGGCCGGCCTTTGGAGACGTACACTCGGAGTTCATCCCAGTTAACGTTCTCACCAAACATGGCCTTCATCGTACTGAGCCACGACGGACGAGAGCTCTTTTCGGACTGATTAGCTTCATGAACGACATAGTTCTTCATCACTGTCTCTATGCGTTCTTGCTTCTCTGGCTCTTGTGGCAGCGGAGGTAGATATGGCTGGTAAGTATAGGCGGACTGTGGATGAGAGGACATCGGAGAGCCCGCATAGTAATGCATCGCAGACGAGGCAGATGGATGGAAATATGGCGGAGTAGCAGCAGCAGATCCAGGGGCAAGGCCGGACGGATGGAAGTATGATGGAGCACCAGAAGTAGCAGCAGATGACGAGGCAGACGGGTGGAAGGAAGGTGGAGCAGCAGAAGCACTACTCGAGGATGAGCCAGATGGATGAACATATGATGAAGGGCCAGCTGTACTGTCGGAAGACACGTTGCTATAATGTGGATATGTCTGTGCATACCCATAAGAAGGACGTGGTGCCAGTGGCCGAAGCGCGGTGCTTGTGGAATGCGCAGGAGGAGGAGGCTCGACTACCACTTTAACCTCCTCTGACTTGCTGATCCACCGCAGCAATGGACCCTGTACTGTCATACGCACCAATCGCGCTTTCTTGCGCTTCTCCTCCTCCATGCTCAGATAGTCTCGGTGCTCGATAGTATTCCCCTCCTCCATGTCCAGCGCACGAGCGATCAGCTCAACCTGAGTTGGTGGCCGTGTCTTGACCTTGGCTTTCTTCGGCAAGGCAGACTGCATGGACGGTAAGCATGCGGTCGGGTTGACGGTTTATCAGAGAATTACCTTCTTCTCCTCTGCATCCTTCATTCTGCTGACGGTCGCAGATGTGCTCAACATGGTATGACTTCGCTGACTATGCCGCTTCGCCTTCTCCACGATCTCACCTGTCTCTGCATCGATGGCAGGCCCCAGCGAGACTCGCCTATTTGCTTTAGGCGTATTCATATGCGTGCTTGCCAAAGGCTCGTTCTGAGGATTGAAAGTGGCCTTCTGCCGCGCATGGGCGGCCGCAGTCACTTTGTCGAGTTTCGTGCGAGCTGCCTGGTTGAAGGTTGGAACAATCGTAGCCTCAGCGTCGACGTACGCACCTTCTGCACAGATCGCTCTTCATGTATGATCATCTTCTCTGCAGCATAGTCTACATCCTCCTGGTTCGCCTCTTCATCCGTACTCTCGAAGTCTGATTCAAACGCATCTTCCTCATCTATCCTTGCCTAGAGGGTCAGACGTGAGCTAGTTCTGCCAGTGCAACATGGCTTACCTTTCTCAATGACAAAATCCACGTCCCCCTCGATGTCCATTCCTACTTCTTCAGCGCGGAACTCTGCTAACGCAGCCTCCATCCTGAGATATGCTCAGTGGATTGGACTCCAAGTAACGCAGCTCAACGTACTCACCGATTGCCAGCGGTACTTCGTTTGGGCCTTCGCATTACAAGAGAGTCCTCCATGTCTGCTAAGATGGTTGATTTAGCGAGAATCGAGTTTGCAAAATCCAGACCAAACCGCGAGGAAAGAGGAGGAGGAAGCAACGCCAGGTTGTTGATCGCTAAGTTTGGAATCTCAGATGCGATCAGGTCAATAAGCTCAAACAAGGTACAGAAACGTGAGTTGCACCACCGCGAACACAGCGACGATGCCTCGCAAGCCAAAGACAATCCCAGGGCCCTCCAGGCTGTCCAAAATTCTCGCCAACCTGAAGAAGGGGCCGCACCCACAATTGAGTGCTGTCACGGGCCTCAAGCTTACTCTGGCGTTCCGGAACGACCATTTCGGGGCGAGGTATGTCTGAACATCCCGCTTCCAGTTGTACGCGAGTGCGTATACGCAGTCTAATGTCTCCGTTTTCGCCGTGTAGGCATTTCGTAAAGGAGGACCTTCCGCGAATTCGCTATGCCAACCCGGACCTAAATATTAAGGTGACAAAACTTCGCAAAACTCCGGAGGAGAGATGGGATCCAGAGATGCAGGTTGAGCTTCGTGAGTAGTGGCCCCCGCTTCTCATGTATAGCGATCTCTCTTGACACTTCAACTCTGTTCTACCACCATGCCTCCGAACACTATAGGCGACGGGACTATTAGGACAGTAAATATGCAGGGAAAATGGTCCTCCGCTATATTCGAGGAGCTCATGGAGATGGGAGGCGGCGATGCATGGCAAAAGTGGAAGGAGGACAGGATTGTCGCTGGTCTTCCTATCGTGGACCTTCCAGTCGCTGCAACAAAACCAAAGACCCAGACAGCCCCCACTCCTCTGATTCACCCGGGCAAAACTGGTGCTGCTGCAGTTCTTCCATAGGGTGTCATGTATCATCATTATTCGCGCACTTATGACATGCTCTAGTATGCGCGAATAGCTCATGCAATAGGTGAGGCATCGCACAACCGAGTCAATTACTATCATACAATCCATGGTGACTTCTCAAACCGCCAACCAGCCTGCAACCCATATCAGGAGCCCTATGCCAACCAATAATGCTGCTATATCATCTAGAAATATGGCGCCAATTTGCAGATATGCCATCCCATTGGTGATGATTGATGGGATTGGCGGAGGAAGATGGGGAAGTGCGAGAGCGAGCAGCATTGGCGGTTGCGGCGTATTCTAACGAAGATCATTCAGTTCTGAATGTTAGTACGCAGCACATGATGGGCTCACCGTTTTGGATAGGATGCGCCATGAATGCAGGACTAATGCTAGAGCACTTAGTGCCCAAAAGAAAGGCTACAAGGGATCAGGCAATCGCCCATGAGAACATGAGAAGTATAAATAAGACATACTACAGTCTGCACTCCCCAGCCCTCTCCGGGGCTCTTCCAACCCAACTCTGCCCATCGTCCCCAGAAGTTCCCTGATGTCGCGTCGTGAGTTTGTGACTCGTACTTCTCTGGCTCCTTCCACAGCACGAAGTATGCGAGCAATGCCCAAGCCGCGAGCAGGTGAATGAGAGGGATCATTTTCTGAAGACGAGTCTTCGGCTTGACCATCGCAGCTTTTTCGGCTGGTATCCGCGGCGTATTGCCAGGCTGTACAAGGCTTGACATCATAGCAGCGAAGGGATCTTCGCCAAGCTGAGGCAGCGACGGCGAGGCCCCAACGCCAGTCAGCATCTCTTGCAACTGTCTCAACTGCTCCTCCTGCACTGGATTTGGTTGCGCATTCGCAGATTGCTGCATTCTCGGGGACGATGACACAGTGGCACGAGGACTCGCAGTCTGAGACGGACGCGGGATGCGGGAAGCACGCGCATTACTCGTAGCGGCGGAAGGAGCTGGGAGATCAGATTGCTCCCCTATGAACGTTTCGACATTTGTTATGTTTGGTGACGGCGCGAGCGGCCGGTCTGTGTGCTGAAGTGAGCACGTCCGCTGGAAGCGCATGGATCGTGCAGACGCACCTTCGTTCAAATACGCGGAGGCATCCTCGCCCCTTGCTGACGATGTGAGTTTTGCGAGGCGGTCACCGCCGCGGCTGAGAATTGCCTTTCGTCGCGCCTCTGCTCTTGCTGCCGCGGAAGACATGGTGGTAGGGCGTATCGTGTTTCGCGTGCCACAGCAGCCTGAGTGGACACGTCTGAACACGTGCGCGGCTTGCAGCCTTCAATACATCTTGCACTGCCGCCAACACTGCTTCATCGCGTGGTCTCATAATACCTATCATGTCGCGTCAGGACAAGGCAATAACAGAGAGGCATGCGAAGCAGTTGAGAGAAATGCTGAAGAGGCCAGATAACAAGGTTTGCGCAGACTGCAAAAGAAACGGTATGCAATTGTCATTGTGATGCTGGTGCGTGCTGACAGTCCAATGCAGACCCTCGATGGGCATCATGGAACATGTACGTGATACACTCATTATGGCTGATGTTGTCTTGACTGACCTCTGTTCAGCGGAGTGTTCCTCTGCATCCGTTGTTCTGGCATTCATCGATCCATGGGCACGCACATTAGCAGAATCAAGTCAGTAGATCTTGACATCTGGACACCAGAACAGATGGAAGTGAGTCTTCTGTGTTATTTATCACAATCTTCTCGTTCACACGTGTGCCGTTCAGTCTATCCAGAAGTGGGGAAATCGTCTAGCTAACCTGTACTGGGAGGCACATTTGAAGCCAGGGCATATCCCAGCCGATCAGTATGTGGCTTTTGAAACAACTAATCTACGTCCGATGCTTATCGTCCTTGCAGCAAGATGGAGTCCTTCATCCGCTCCAAGTACGAGTCTCGGCGATGGGCCATGGAGGGCCCACCGCCGTCCGATCCGTCATCACTTGAGTCACAGGCTCCTTCCACTCCGGTCCATACCCCGGCTGCTGCTGCTGCTGCTGCTGTGCAGACTCCGCCAGCTCCTCGCACATCGACGCCCGTAGAATCTAAGATCACCGCGACCGCATCTAGGTTATCGTCCATCAGCGTCAGCCGTCAGCCACAACCTCACCAACTACTCTCCGCGAGCGTCGCCAACCGCTCACATCAGGCACAGACTGCCCCACCAGCACAGGCACAGTCACAGGCTCCCGCAGCTACGCACGAGCTGTTCTCGCTCGACTTCCATGCGCCTGCAGCTCCGCCTTCCCAACCCGAAGCGGAGGCAGCTCCAGCGAAGAAGGATGCCAAACAGGACATCCTCTCACTATATTCCAAGGCGACCTCGCCGGCAGTCCCGTCGGCGGCCTTTGGCCAGTTCACGTCTGTGCAGGCTGCCTGGGGCGCGTTCGATGTGCAGGCTGCTCAGCAGACGGCAGCATCGCCGGTCACGAGCATGACTGGGACGACGGGCGTGGGTATGTGGGGCACAAGCTCGGGGTGGACAGGCGCGCCTGCGGCCGCCGCACAGCCGAGTATCTGGTCATCTCCCGCTTCGCAGCCGGCGATGTCTCAGCAGAGCTTGTTCACCACAAGCGACGTGTGGGGATCTAGCGGTGGAGGTACCGCTGCCGAAGGTCACATGTTTAGCTCATCAGTGAAGCAGAAGAAGGACGATGCGTTCGGGGATATATGGGGCGGGTTCAAATGACGATCATATGCAGCTAAGATGTAGTACATTTTGTGCAAACTGGTAGTCACGCGCGTCAGTGATAGATCAGTGCAGGACTTTGGAATATAGTGTTCGGATAATACATCGTAGACATCTACTGCTTCTCCCTTTCACCGACAGTCCTATAACGTTAAGCTAATCCAAGATCCTGTTTCAAGCAAGATGTCAGTACATTGCCGGTCGTCATGACGAATTGCGCACGTACTTTCTCAATCATCCTACGTGCGATCGGGTGGAATGCGTCCTTCGACGGTACGAATGTGTCCACGGCGAGCTTATGGTTCACACGATTTACTTCCCTGAACACCGGTCTGCAGAATTTCATGCGACCCTTGAGCACGCCCGAGCTGTCCTTGCCGACAACCCAGTTCGCCGCGGCAGGGGCAAGCTCCTTCGCAGCATCCGTCGTTGGATCGGCGAAGGCGATCGCGTAGTAGCGGAAACGCAACTCCGCATTGGGCGTGTGGGCTAGGCCGTAGATCGCGCCGAGCTTTTTGACATGCGTGGAGGGCAGCGGCGGGTAGGAGTGAAGACGCTCGAGGAAGACAGCTATGCATGGAACGTGTGAGAAGAAGTCGTGAATTGGGAGGCGAGAATGTACCCTTTTGGTTCGAATCGAAGTTTTCGAGATCAGATGGTTTGAAGAGATGAGAAACATCTGCGGTGTTTCGCGAATCGCTCCACTTCTTCGCCAAAGCGTATGCCGCTTCTGCGAGCGTCGTGTCATATTGCATGTCGACCGGGAGCTTTGTGCCTTCGCCGTAGAACCATGCCTATATGGAAGTTCAGCCGTGTCCTGGAAGGCAGAATGAGCACGGATTGTGGACGCACATCCCAGTCGATGCTGTCAAGGGCCTTGACTTTCTCTTCCCCTCCGTGCACCTTGTAGTACGCATATAGATGGTCCTTCCATTGCGTAGTGGTGATGCTCTTGCCCATGAACGTGGACACGTAGTCCCGTACGTACGGCAAGAATATGTCCAGTCCACCAATCGTCCTCTCTGCCGGAGCCGGAAATGCATCAGCACAGCCCCACACGGTGTCGCAAAGCACGCGCACCGAGGTGCAATATCAAATTCGCGCCCTTCTCATACGGAATCTTGCTGTATGCGTCGTCCGGGTCCTCTCCCTTGTCGAACTCGATCACGAGCCGTTGGTACTTGGGCGTATCCTTGTACCTCTCGAGGTCGTCGAACATGGCCTTCGCACCAATGATGTAGTTCAAGCCATGCACTCCAGCGCCGTGCAGGCGGCCGAGGATGAGGCGCTCCATGTAGGTCGTCCAGCCTTCGTTCAGCCAGAAGTGCGTTGAATGGGCTTGACTGTACGGTGTTGTAAAGAAGAAGGGGAAAAGAGGCAGAGGGGCGAAGCTGCTTACGTTACGCCGTTGCCGAACCAGGAATGGGAGAGTTCGTGGATTACGACGTCAACCTAAGTGTTTGTCATCAGCATGCAGAAAGACGTGTGATATACGCTGAAACTCACCAAGGAATGGTCACCGACAAGTAGCGCTATGCGAGCATGCCGTCAGTTCAACAAAAGTTAAACCCCACAGGACGCACTTGGAGTGAGGAACGAAAGGCAGGCATTTTCCTGCACGTATTGCTCAGAAACAGACCTGGAGCCATAGAAAGACCAGAAACGCACCATTCCACCATATGGGAACGACGGGGGCAACACCAACACGTCATATACGCCAAATTGGTATGGCGGCAGCACCTCCTCTGCCTTCTCAACATACCTACGAAAACCCAAATCAGTTCATGCTACATGCTCACAGTACAATCATGCCGCGTACTCGTTGATCGCATCGCCGAATTCATCATATGCTGCCTTGAGCGTCTCGGGTTCTGCCCACACGCCGGTCTTCCAAGATTTGCCCGAAACCGGCGGGCATGGGTGGTACGCGAGGTTGCCTGCGGCGATGGCAACCAGGTACGTAGGGATCGGAAATGGCTATATGCGGTATAGAACAAGGGGATATCAGTCTGCAACGACGGGCGTGAAGTGAGGTGTATGTGACTGACCTGTTTGTACGTGTATGTGACGGCATCCGTGCCGATTTTCTTGCCACCGTGCGCAGGGCCATCTGAAGGGGGCGAAACGCGAATGGCGGAGAGAAGGACGGGAAGCTTCGAGGTGACCTTGGCGTTGTAAGTCTATACAAGACCCTCAGAATTGGAACGCTGAGTCATGTGAGATGCCACGGACAATCTTGACAGAAGGCGTGTCCTGCAATGGCGCGAGGCTGCGAGCATAGATGGGCTGACACTGACTGAAGAGGAAGGGGAACAGTTTCCCCCGTGTCTGTCTAAGAATGTTGCTCGGCATGGCAAAGAAGCAAGACCTGGGTACGACGTACTCTTTCGCGAGCCATTGCAAGGACATGGATTTCTGTGAGGTTCTATAAGAGATGGTGCACTTGACTTTGTTGCCTGTCTTAAGACCGGAAGGCAAGGGAATCGTCAAGGCGGAACCCATGACAGGGTGTTTCTCGCCAAGCAAGAACTAGTTACAGACAATAGTTGTAAAACTTATGAATAACGCACAAACGCAGTAGATAATACTCACGTCCACCTGCTTGTCCGCGACCAGGACCTCGTCAATCGACAGGGCAATCGTGTCGAAACTTGACCCCATCGATTCAGCATTTTCCCTCCGAGATAGAATAATCCACTCACACCACCGCGGCTACCGCATCCTTCCTGACCGCAAGCGTATGCGTTATCGAGCCCGAGATAATGCTCTTCTCAAAGTCAAGCGTCCAGTCGAGATCAACATGCTCAGATGCAATCTGATCATAGTTGGACTGTGTCGTGGGGTCCAAGTCCAGCACCATCTCAGATGAAATCGTCGAATAGCTTGCGGTTGGTAGCGTAGTGATCGAAGTAGGAAATGCGGAGAGGATGCCCACCAAGCTCGGACGAGGAGGGACCACAGACTGTCGGATCTGCCATCGCGCGCCGTGCGATTTGCGGTCACATGCCCGCGTCGAAAAAGTGCGTCTCGAATTCAGCTTGAGCAGTGACCACCATTTTGCAGGCTTGAAGAGCACCGCAGACATCGAGAGAGGATGCCAAAGCTCGCGGACAAGATAGGTGCGGCGTTGGTCAGGATATCGCGCGCGTGCAGGTTCAAGGGCTCATGATCGGGTCATACCGCAGGATCGCTCTTGTTCTGCCCTGACTGCGGCACATTGCTCGACCTGCCCAGGGACGATGATATGGTTGTGGCGTGCGAGCAGTGCGGCCATGAGGAGCCTGCGAGCTGTGAGCGTGGTCTCTAGCTATACCTACTAGCGTTGATGGAGCGTTCACGCTGCAGCATATGAAAATATCGAAACTGTAACACGCTCACATCCGGACGCGTTCCCGTCGCTACTCAGACAGAAGGGCAAAACACAGACAAAAGTTCATGATGCAAATGATGCGCTGCTTAAGGTCGGTCTCCTATCTTCGCTGCTTCCAAGATGCTTACCCTTCTATAGGTTACTGAAAGATGTCCAGAGTGCGGGCACATGGAGGTATATTCGAAGGAACTCCAGGTGAGCATTGTTTTACGGTACATCTGACAAGCGACTGAGGAAGATGCACGCAGCTGAGGAGTGCGGACGAGGGATCGACAGTATTCTACACTGTACGTGCTCTTCTCTCCAGATTGTCTCTTGAATGATTTATCTCACGTCGCCACCCGCAGTGCGTCAAATGCAAGTTTGGCTGGCGTGTCAACAATTAATGCTCCTCAGCACCGAAGAAACACCTTCATCGCCTTTCCTGTCATCGCGTCCTGCTGCAATTTGCCCACCATGACTTGATTTACGGGCACGAATTCATTTGTCAAGTATTCCGTACAATGCATTCAACATGTAAGCAGACATTGTGCTTTCCTCAGATCGCGACCCAAATGTGCTTGATGATACCCTCTGCAGCTCCTGGTTTGTATGGGCCAGAATGCACATGTGCTCACAGCAACGGGGATGTGGACATGGTACATTCGGAGAAGGAATCAGAAGATCGAACATATCGAGGACGTCATCAATAGAACATGGGCGTAGCTTAGACTGTCTTAATTGGCGCGTCGTTAGCAAGCCAGCACGTACAAATGAATCATCCGACTAGGTTTGTATCGCTGAGCGTTCGATTCGAAGTATATAAGATTCCGCGACACGAGTGACTTGTAACACAGTCCGCATGCGCAACGATGTGGCGCCGAGGTGGCTTGATACATACTTCCCAAACGCGACTGCAGCCCCAGCGGCTGGTGAGACCATGGGTCAGATTGCATTGAGTGCATAGAGTCCGCGGATGACACGCATCAGTAGCACCTTGTATGCAGCTTGCCGAAACCAGGGATCTAAGCTGAAGGGTATCGTTTCCGGCAGCGAAACACGGCTCGACCAGCGACTGCGCAAAGTGGAGCATCTGTCTGGCGGCACGTCGAATTAGACGTACACGCCAGCAGTGCAGAAGAGGGCGACAATGCCGAAACCACCGAGAATGCTCGCGAGCGATGCGACGGCGGCCTCGCGAACGGGTATCTTGTCGTTTGGCAGGCTACAAAGCGCGGGCGATATATTAGATCCTCGCGGCATGGACACGAACACGAGCATCTTGCGTGGACGTACGTGGAGAAGTAGAATGCGAGCACAAACGTCGCGGTGAGGAGAACGAGGGCGATGATGGGCAGCGCGGAGACGGGCACCGCGGGCGCGAACGCGGGAAGCAAGCGATGCTGCTCCTGAAGTGCATGTTAGAAAAGAAAAGAAAACATAAGACGGAACATACTGCGAGGGATTGCATGGCCGTAGGAGCAAGGGCTGTGGCTGCGGAAGTGGACTCGCTCGCTGACGTACGTGGCAGGCAAACACGCGTCATCAAAGCCCATATCAACTCCCCTCCGCCCGTCGTCCTCTTCTCCAAACCACCATCTCCCCGTCTGTATCTCGTCTGCACCCCCGCCAATCCAAGGTACAGTGCATATCTCGACATTTTATCATACATTTTGCTCAAATTTGTGCACGAATCTGCCCTCGACGCTGCCCTATTGCCACGTCGCATGCGCAGATGTCTGCAACGCAAAAGCTGAACCAGCACCCTGCATTTGTGCAGGCACAGGACAAGGCCAGCTACTACATCCACCAGCTGGACAAGGAGGCATGTAGCCTTTCTCGGCTCCGAGCCGGGGCGCCATGCTTACCACTCACGCGACTCTAGCTGTCAAAACATTCGGTCTTCAATACCTTTGAACAGCGCACCCAGGTGCCTAAGAGTTACGCCTTCATTGGCGGTGTGATCGTTCTCGCGATCCTGCTCTTGATCAACGCCTTTGCGGCGCCGGTCTCCAACCTCATCGGCTGGGCGCTCCCCGCGTACCTCTCTGTCAAGGCGCTTGAGTCGCCCGGTCACCAGGATGACATCCAATGGCTGACGTACTGGATTGTGTTCGGCTTCTTCAACTTCCTCGAGAGCTTTGCCCTCCGCATCGTGCTCTACTACGTCCCCTGGTATTTCGTTTTCAAGACTATCTTCATCCTCTGGCTGCAGCTCCCTGCATTCCGCGTACGTCGCATGTGATAAGGCTTGGATCCGCATGCTAATGCTCGTTTACAGGGCGCGCAATCACTGTACGGAACGGTGGTGAGGCCCGTGTTTGTGAATGTGCATCACAAGACGAATCAGGTGACCACGACTGCGCCCGAGACGACCGTCACTGCCGATGGCCTGCGCGATCGCGTTGCGGAAGCAACGGAGTAAGGAGGATGAAATACCGTCCGCTTGCATATGGTAGTCCGCATCTGTAGACCTGTGTTATGAATCTCCTCACTCTGTTCTAACTTACGTTGAACATTGACGTTACGGATGTATCTCTCGTGTCTGGATGTGATGGTTCCTGCATGTTTGGTATCAACTTGAGGCATGATCTCATGTGTGCAGTGAGTCGTGTGCATGGAGCTCGGCGAGTCGCGACCACGTCCGTTATCGCGCGTCGCTTGGCCACATGATTGTCCATCAATTGTTCGAACTCACTTGCAGCTTTTCTACGGCCAGCTGTGACCGTTGTCTGCGCGGCGGTGAGGCCATTCACCTGACGAGTTTCAAAGATGAGCCTCCTGTCAAGGAAGTGATGCCGAGGCGGGCCTCAGACGGCGAGAATGGCGGTGAGAATTCGCGAACATTTATCGAGTTCTCTTCGGTTTCCAGGCGACGATGTCCGCCTATAGGCCCTACGCGAATGCATGCTGCACGATGCCTCGAAGGACGGCCCTGCAGACGAAGCAAGCTCTCGTTATGCGCAACTACAAGGCTCTCTATTTCCAGCAGTGTGGGAGCTGCATCTCTGTTCCCAAGGCTCGAGCCTATCTAGAGTTCAGGGACACGTTCGGCGGAAAATGAAGAGGATCACGAAGACATTTGTTCCGCACAAACCATGATGTTTCACTCGCGCGACGATAATACACGAGGATCGCCCGCTTGTGCTGACAGCGATAGCACGGACCTAAACTCTCTTGGGCGTTTTTTGCTTCTCGCTGCGACTCGTGCTCTCTGGACTGACAGCTCTTGCCGACTCAGTCTCGTCGTTTGCCTTTACCAGCGCAGATGGCTTCGAGAGTTTGCCGAATTTGCCTCGTCCATGGATCCGGACGAGTATGCCGTGCTTCGAGGGAGCGACAATCGGCTCGTACACCAATGACAAGGGCGGGCTTGAGTTCCCTTCTCGGAGGCAGATCTCGATGAATCCTTCCGCTGATACAGGCCATATGGGACACACAGACGCCCCGTGTGAAGGGGCCTATATTATCCCACCCAAGAGCCACCCCGCGCACCATCGCCTCCCTCCCCTCTTTGCACGCCATCATGTCCAACTCCGAGTACTCCGTCGAGAAGGACAACGCGAGCGGCAGCTATGCGGATATGCATCCCCCCGAGGCGGCGGTGTACGAGCGCCCGAAAGGCCTCAAGGGCGTGTACTACAACCCCGTCATGCAGGTGTTCATGCTTGGCTTTGTGTGCTTCATGGGCCCCGGGCTGTTCAACGCCCTAAACGGCCTCGGCGGTGGAGGCCAGGTCAACACGACGACCAGTGCGAATGCCAACGTCGCTCTTTACGCGACCTTTGCGTTTACAGCGTTCTTTGCGGGGTACGCAGCAGCGAATGTCTGGGCAAGGCGCGATCGACTGATCGTTGTGTGTATAGGTCGATCAACAATGTTCTTGGTCCTCGCCTGACTCTCCTTTTGGGTAGCAGCGGCTACGCGCTCTACATCGGCTCTTACCTGTTAGTATACGCACCAATTGTACAAACGTTCGCGTTATTGACATTCATCCAGAACTATCAACATTCATCCTAATGCGGGCCCGTTCGTGATCGCTGCCGGCGCTGTCCTTGGCGTCTGTGCCGGTATGCTATGGACCGCCCAAGGCTCTCTCATGTTGGCATATCCAACTGAGAATGAGAAGGGTATCTTCATCGGTATCTTCTGGAGCGTCTTCAACCTCGGTGGTGTCGTTGGCGCTTCTGTGTCTCTCGGACAGAACTTCCATTCTACAGTGAGCGTCCTCTCGATCTGCAGTCAGGCTGTTTTTTGAAGGCGTTTTGTCATTTTGACAGTCAAACTCTGGTAAGTGCTCGCTTGTTAGTGAGCTTGAACACCACAGTGACACTCATCTGATATAGTTAGCAATGGCACATACGTGAGCAACATAGCTCAAATGAAAGCCGCAAACGCTGATCGTCTGTAGATCGGCTTCCTCATCCTCACCCTCATCGGAGTGACGATCCCGATGCTCATGGCCAACCCGAAGAAGATGGTCCGCTCCGACGGCACAAAGGTCATGACCCTCCGCCACCCGTCGTGGAAGACCGAGCTGTACGGCCTCTGGGTCACCCTCCGTACCGACCCTACCGTCGTGCTCCTCTTCCCGATGTTCTTCGCGAGCAATTGGTTCTATACATGGCGTGAGTCCCCGCCATCTCCCCTTCCCTGTGTCGAAGGCTGATATGGGAGCATGCCACCAGAGTTTAATGACTACAATGCGGCGCTATTTACGATCCGTGCGCGCGCGTTGAACAACCTCGTGTACTGGCTCGCACAGATCCTCGGATCCGTCAGCATTGGCTTCCTTCTTGACCAGAGAGGCCTTACGCGTCGCTTCCGCGCGTATGCCGGCTGGGTCTGCCTATTCCTCATGGTCTTTGTCGTTCACATCTGGGCGTATTTCTATCAGAAGTGAGCAACTCTTATTTGTTTTGGATGTGGACCTGCTCATGCTTACCGCCCGCAGGCAATACACTCGTGCGATCGTCGCACAGTGGGCGAAAGACGACGACAAGATTGACATCTATGAGAGGAAATACGTCGGCCGGATATGGCTGTACATCTTTTGCGGCATGCTCGATGCGATGTGGCAGACGACTGCATACTGGATAATGGGCGCCATGTCGAACGACCCCGCGAAGCTCGCAAACTTGACTGGCTTTTGTAAGTGATGTTGACAAGCACCGCGTGCGTGTGCTGACTTTGTCCACAGACAAGTCCCTCCAGTCGGCAGGCGCTGCAGGCGTCTGGCGCGCTGATGCTGTTGGCCTTCCGTACGTACCGAGCTTGTAAAGCGCTGTCGTTGTCCTGTTTCTCATTGCTCTTTGTGCCACAGATATTTGAACATCTTCATTTCGACCTGGGCTTTGCTCGTCGGCGGACTCGTCTGCGCTCTTCCGATGATCTACATGCGTGTGAAGGACCATACCGAGGCTTCTGACGAGATAAACGATATTCTGTACGTGCCCCAGCCCGTGTTCTGATCTTTCAGACCGTTGACTGAGATGCCTGCAGGGCTAACCTGGAGAACCCGGCTCCTCCAGCTGAGCAGACACAGAAGGCCGAAGCTTGACAGAGCGGATCTCGATGTTGTGCTACTAGCCACTATGGACTGATCTCTGTTCTTCTTTGACATTCGTATGATGTTAGGGTAATGGGTTATCGAAAGTGGGAATGCGCGCTGAGGTGCTGCAATATTGCTTTGATACTGTATAATGTCGGCAAGAACGCGAAAAATCTTCAAAAAAGCGTTGATGGTTCGTCACTCCAAGAAGAATGGGTATCAAGGGAAAAAAAGGGATATAACAGCCGGGCTAGAAAATCGTCGGCATCGCATCACGGCCGTCCGCACCTCCGCCCATCGCATTCATGGCCCGCACGTTGGGCCCGTTCTTCCCGAACGTAAATCCCACCCACACACCACGCGTGCACAACTCATCCTTCTCCTTCACCTGGTCGACATGCCGCTGTTTTTCTCGCACCTCGGCGTACTTCGCCATGTCCTCCGCGGAGGTGAAGTCGTCGTAGTAGGCCGTGTCGATCTCGGAGTCAAGCGCAGGCACGAACGGCGCGTCGACAGAGCGGAGGTCGTCCCACTTGACGCCGTCAAAGAAGGGGTGACTTGACACTTGGGACAGCGTGGCAAAGCGCACGCTGGCGTGAGCAATGAGCCTTGTGCGGGCCAATGAGACGACGAAACGGGCAGAGCACGCGCAATAAATGCTCACTTCGTGACGGCGTCCCATGCAACGTCTGTAAGGTTGAAGACGAGGTTCTCCGGCTCGTCGTAGTGCGGTCGCTGGAGGACTTTGGTCCAGTTCTTCAAGTTCGTCCACGTCTCTTCGGGCGTGCTGCCGCTGAACGGGGGAAATCCGGCCAGGAATTCGTAAAGGATGCAACCCAGCGACCAATAGTCTACGGAGAAGCTATATGATTTGCCGCGGAGCACCTCAGGGGCCATATAGTCCGGTGAGCCCACAATGGAGTCGGCGTAGCGGGGATCGTGGTTGCGTATGGAACGGTAAATGGACCGCCGCTCGAGCGTGGACCGTCGAATGACCTCATTCTCTCTGACTTTGTCCAGCTATGTTGAGCTTCAGATGGGATCACCTGCGAGGCAGGGGAACAATTCGTACCTTGATTCTGAGTGATTGGATCCGCTGAGGATTGAGTGCACCCGTGGCCAGACCGAAGTCAGTCAACTTGACGTGTCCACTCCCATCCACAAGGAAGTTCTACAGCATCGTTCACCATGCGGTTACCAACCTCTTATAAGAATCGTACCTCGGGTTTGAGGTCGCGGTGGATGTAACCAAGCTTGTGCAACTCGTTGACAGCCGCAAGCATCTCACTCATATAGAATCTCGCATGCTCCTCCTTCAACACACCAGAGTTGTTGAGTAGAGTCCGGAAATCGCCGCCCGGAACGTACTCCATTGCGAGATAGACGTATAAGGGATCTTGGAAGGCGTACAGCAGGCGCACAAGCCACGGTGTCTTCGTGGCCGTCAAAATATCTCGTTCAATGAGGACGTGCCTGACCTGATCAGCGGATTGTAGCGGTAACTTCCCCACGAGAAGTTCGATTACTCACCTCGTCCATCTTGGAGAGGGTCTGCTTGCGCATCTTCTTCAATGCGCATACTTCTCCTGTCTCCTGCTTCCTAGCGAGAAATACCTCTCCGTACCCCCCTTGGCCAACTTGCGCAATGATATGGAACTGGTCAACCTTCAGCTTGGTCCTACGTTTCCGCAGAACGACGCGCTCGCAGCCGTAATAGGATTTGCATTCCTTGGCATGTTGGGCGGGGGAGAGTTGACGAGCATCTGTGTTCTCGTCGAATCTTCGACGACGATCTTTACGCGCGGCGAGATATCCCAATAGTTGAAAGTAGTAGTCGAGGAAATCTGTGGCGGGACACAGCGTAAGAATGCAGCGCAGTGAACGAGGGAACAGCTCATCATCTGAAGTTTGACAGGGAATTACAAGCCGAAACGAGGACCTCCTAGCAGCAGCTGCGATAGTTAGAGTGCGAAGTGTGGTACTAACAAAGCTGGGCCACGGTAGCCTTCCGCTTCACTTCGACACTCTCCAGGAGCTCCTTTTCCCGCAATCGAAAGCCCCTTTGATGAGCGACCGCAGGCATGCTTGTGTTTTGACCACCACCTGTGCTATCCAGCATGGTATACGGGGAAACGAACTAGAAGAATGGAGGTCTGAGGCCTGAGGCTTCGCATGAGAGATTGGCGCGTTCGACTGGGCCAAACGGTCACGTGAACGTGTTCCTCGTTCAACCGCCATCCTCCACGGTCGCTCCTCAATTGCTTGTACCCTCTCATGGTTGCCAAGTCACTTAGAGTCGAGAAGATTGACCTTGCCGCTGTCCTGGTCTCTCAGAATTCTCAAATTGACCTGAGGATTGAAGCTTATGAGGCCTCGACACGCAACTTTCTGAAGGCTGTATCGAACTACACACAGCGCGCAATCACAGAAATAAGCAACCGAAAGGCGGCTCACCTGTCAAGCAGAAAGAAGCTATTGGAGAGGGCTCACCAGATTGAGGCTGAAACGAATCAATGTAAAATCAAGGAAATTGAGCTGATCAAAGGTGCGTGTCGGTGTGCACTCTTGCGTTCACTTCGATGCTCACAGTACATTGGACAGTCCTTGATACGGAGGAAAAGGAGAAACGCGATGCTGAAACATCTGTCACTACTTTCAAGCGTCAGCTTGCCATAGTGAAAGAGAGATGCTCGCTGTTGGATAGTGAGCTCGAGCAACACCGCGTCGTCGCAGCCAATTTAAACCGAGGTTAGTCACGGAAGGCTGATTTCATGAGCCGCTAACCTTTCTCGATCAGAACGAAACAGAGAGCAGGGGACCTTGAATTCCTATGCCGCTCATGTCGCACCAGAAATTGCCGATTGCGAGAGCTGCCTACAATGCAGCATTGAAGGAATTGAAAGGGATATGCTCCTCGTGCGCTTCCTCCGCTTAGATGATGCCGATCCAACTCGAGAGTTCAGCATGGTTATCGATGTTTCCAGTCCCTTGTATGAAGGTATATGCGCTAGTTTTCCACCTTTAAGCAACCAATTGACTACATATGCTGTAGTGCCAACTGCAACTCCATTCCTTCCGACACTTCCTATTCACCTTGACGAGCTGAACGAGACAAGAGATGTTTATGCATTCATCAGACAAGTCAGAGATGCTTTCCTTACTGCGATATCCCAGAAAAAATAGATGTCATTGTAAATTATTTTTTTACATGTTGCTTGTATGATATGCATAGACTCTTCATTATGTATCGGACGGATGGATCTCTGACCTTCTCTATGTAGAGATGTAAGGCAGTTGAGACTGCTCATGAGGGATTCTGATACAATATACAGTTGACACACAAAGGTATTGCATCATTGAAGATATTCAGGCAACTTTCTACAGGCCCAGTACTTCTCTTTAGTGAAACAGGCAAAGTTGGAACATATCCTTTTAAGCTATAAGGCCATCACACTAGAGACATTTAATGATTAGTTTAATGATTAGAAGTGCAGAAAAGGTCATGTCAATTTTGAACAGATACAGAGTTCATAATAAAGAAGTGCACATTGAATAATATAAAAAAGAAGTGCAACTCTCTTAAAGATTGGTTTGTCTTGAAACCTTTTCAACAAAAGTCAATCTTCTAGGCTGTCAAGAGTGAAATTGTTACTGGGAATGATATAGTTGCAGAAGATTTCAAATTGTCGAGGCAGAATTTTCACATCAGTGTGAGAGGCTGATTTTATTCAGTCATTACAACTAATGACAACTTCTCATTGTTTTTATTGCAAATGGTTTAAGTTTACAGTGCCATTCTACCATTTCAACAATGCTTGAACAAATTTACAAGCCCTTTCTGAATTGGCCCTTTCTAAATTTGCTGAATGCTAGTACATAGCTGCAGAGTTACTTTGAAAGTTCTTGAATGTCAAAGTCAGAAACTGCTAGTGAGCCACAAAAGGTATGACCAGCAGGCCACTGGAGGTACAGCTGGTGGGTTGCTAGAGGTGAATGTGGTAAGCCACCATTTCACCAGTAAACCCAAGCCAGATCAAAGAGCATTCTCTCTGCTCATGCCTGCATTGTCACAATCAACACAAACATTCATGCCTGAAGCCACACTTGAGCTTTCTGTCACCTGAAGCTCTGAAATGCTTAAACATAGAAGCACTGCCTGCACTATATTTATATGATCTAGATTCACTAGATGATTGCATTACAGTGACAGTTGCATATCATCAGCAAAAAAGAAGAACACTGATCTACATAAGCAGGTGAAGTAGATAATGCGGGCACCTACCTTTATAGGCCAGAATAGCTAGATAATACATGGTAATGCAATGCTGGTCTGATTTGCCTGGGCAAGTGGTTGAGTGATTGGATGAGGGTTGCTAGGAGTAGTCTGAGCTATATCTATGGTGACCTGGCCAAAGAACTGGATGGCTTACAGGTGACCGCATTGCTGGCCTTGATATACAAAGGTCAGTACTTAGCTGGTTCCATCAGTCCATACAGAATAATGTACAATAGATTAGGAATATAAATGAGTATGGATGAGCAGGTTCCCGGACTGCATGCTACCACACAATGAGAGTGAGGCAAAGCATTGAAAACATGATAAATTAGAGGCAAAAAGAAATCACCCTGTAAGAGTGATCTGAACCCTCAAAATATCCACTAGAATGGTGCATATCAAGCAAGCCCATCAATCGGCTCATCATCATCTCTGTAGTCATTCTCATCATCCTCAGGGCTGAGGTCACCAGCTTCAGCTTTCTCCATATTCTCCTCCTCATCCTCCTCTGAATCTGGACTGCCATCTTCATCAACTACATTGGCTGCACCATAGCCAAAATTCAGTTTCTCATCTTGAATATCATCTTTAAGATCACTGGCCACTGGTGGCAGAATCACTGCATTTCCTCGAGAATCAACATTGCTAATGTCTTGCTGCTCTTCATTGTCATTTGCCTGAATAGAACTATCTGAAGGGTGATTGTCGAGTAAGATTGTTCCTTTGTGGCCAACACCTTCCCTGAGGTGATGCATAAACATATTCTGACCTACAAACCTGTCAAATGATGGTGAGTTATCATGCATGAACAAATAAAATGGAAAACATACATGTTCATGTAGTAATCTCACATATCATTTGTCCGAGGTTTCGAGCACATCAGCTAGGTATATACAAATACACGAGTAGATATGTCTGAGGAACAATAAAAAATAAAGTAAAAAAAAAAGTGTGAAAGAAAGAAGAAGGGAGAGGAGGGCAGGTGAGAGATAAAGGATCAAGCCTAGTGATGGTGAAGCCGATAAGTCCCTGTGCAGGTGAAGTGACTGAATAATGTGTCTCAGAGTGAAGCTCTCCAATGATGGGACAAGACAAGCACTTACCTGATGAGGAGGAAGAGCGAGGCTCTGACACATCCTCTCTTCGACAGGGCTTATAAGTGCTCACCTTCAAGCCCCTAGTTCACACTGTGGCCCCTGTGCAGTGGTGAGCCCATGACATGAATCACACGTGGTGGCCTAAGCCATCCCTTCTAGGACTTCTGCTGTGGTACGTCAGTGTCCTTGAATGGATGACCACCTCACATGATCCTGCACGAGTGCAGCAGTGCTGCCACCTTAGCATGTGGCATGAGTAAGTGATGCGATGCTCGACGAGGCACAGAGGCCTCCAAAACATCCTCCTTACCCTTGGAACCCAGTGTTACTCTGACCTCTGCTGCTGTACTCATCTCAAATCAGGCTGGAGGAGGAAGATAGCAGGTTCTCGAGCCTCCGGCCTCTGCTGGGGGCCCTCACATATCATTTGTCTGAGGTTTCGAGCACATCAGCTATGAGCTAAGAATGATGTGTGTGGGGGTGGGGGAGGTGAGAGAAGATGGGAGTGAGAGAACAGATCAAGAGTGGACATGGAGAGAAGCCAGTTGCAAGGCAGCACATACAGAAGGGTTGTCACAAATGTAAAGCTTTCAGGCAGGGGAGGACCAGTGGCCGAGTCCTTGAATCACATCTTCAGAAAGGCCGAGGCTAGCATAGAAGGTAGCACCACCAGCCCAGGCAGAGTGGCCATCAAATGAATGATCGAGGAGCACAAAGAAATGGTGCTCAAACCAGGAACAAGTGGGCTCGGAGCCATCAGTACATAAGAAAAGAGCAGTGCACATGCCATGACAGTGATCACAGCATGAGATATAGCTGGTGAGTAAATCGACAGGGCAGGTGACAGTTTGGCGGAGATGGAGAATGGTGGTACCTTGGTAGAAATGGTCACTTTTATGATAAGGAAGATGATAGCTCACCCAAGCTGGAAGGAAGTGGAGGGAGGCACATTTAATAGTTTTGTGCCAGTGTCATAGGGCATGGTCGTTCAGCTTAATGAGCTCGCCAATGTGGTGGCAAGCGTAGAAAGTGCAGGAAAGGATGGTGCTGAAGAGGAGGTCATCATAGAGATCAGAGTGAAGGGCCAGGCAAGCAAACATGGTGAGGTGAAGTGGGTGCAGAGGGAGCTTGCGGGTAACAGAATCAGCACGAACCTTTCGAGAACATGGATAGTCACTTGAACGAGTGAATGTGCACGATTGCGGCGAAAGTCCGGATAGATCTCCTGCAAGAAGTGCCAAGCACCGGAAAGATATTTTGGTGCAGAGCGAATGAGACGAGATGTATACGCAATGTAGCGGGTGAGAGTGGTTGGTGTCAGATGAAGAGGAAGGTGATGGTTGATACAAAAAGAGATGTAGTCCCGGGCACCAGAAGCATAGCCTTTCTGGGTAGAGAGCTCAGTGGCGGCAGCCTGTAAGAAGGTGACATGAGCATCAATGGATGTGAGAGTGGTGGGTGAGTGAGCAGTATGAGGATGATGCTGTCCACCCAGGACATTCAAAAGCACTCCCTTCAACACGCCGGCAAAAGCTCACAGGGAGGCGAGAAGAGGCAGATGTAGTCAGTGGAAAATTACGCACTGTAGTCCTCAAGAAGCAATTGAGAAAGCATATCAGCATGCACGTTCTGTTTGCCTGGAATATGGCAGACATGAAGGTCCATACCAGACACTATGGCAATACCAGCAATGACTTTCAAAGGACCATTACAAAGGGTCTGCACAACAGCCAGAGAATGGAGAGCATCAAAAGAGTTGAGGCTGTCAGTCCAAATGAGCACACAATGAGGAGGATGAGATGGGGATGCAGCATGATGGAAAGCAGAGAGGATAGCAATCAGTTCAAGAAAGAAGATGTCAACAGAGGAAGAAGCAGAGGAAGGTTGGATGGATAGACAAAGGCATGGTTGGAGAAGATGAATGAAAGAGCATTGGTAAGTGCAGCATCAGTCCATATCACCATGTCAGCCTCAGAGAGATCCCAAAGACCGTCATCAACGAAATGAACCCCAGTGGAGTGAGGAATGGTGTCAAGGAGCCAAGTAAGGTCAGTGATGATCTCACGATTTAAGAAGAGGCCTGCAGAACACAAAGTTTTGCTGGCAATTTTGTGATAAAGTTCAGTAAGAGCAGGACGACCCCAAGGCAAGATGTTGAGGAGCCAGTTGAGTGAGCCAGCAAGACGTTGCCAGTCACACAATGTTGGGTGACAAGACGCCGTGCAGAGAAAAGCAGCAATGTCAGTACAAAAGTTCACAAGTGTTGATGGAGAGAGCGAAATTGATCTGAGATTGATATCAACCCAAAAGCCGATAATTGTGAGGGCAGGTCCTGAAAGTTGCTTGCGATCATCCCATGAGCAAAAGATAGCATCCCAAAAGATGAGAAGTTGTGCTTGACAACATGGACAAAGGCGACTGCAGTAGAAAACACAAGGCACCTTCGAAATCCCAACCATAATAGTCATCCATGTATACATGAAGACTGACGATGCCAAGTTTGTGGACAGCTATCCAGCATAGAAGCCCCGATACAGAGCACCATATGCGGGGGGAAGCACGATTGCCAAAGACGAGGTGGCGGATGAGGTAGAGCTTATCATCCACAGTAACGACCTGGTGGAGCTGCCAAAGCAGGTGAGCAGGAAGGTTCAGGAACATGGAGGTGACATCATCCTTGAAGATGACCAGGTGACAGTTGGGATTAGCATGATGGGCTTCGCGCATTTCTTGCCTGAAATCCCGCATGTTATCATAGTGGACTTTGGCCTCTGCATCCAGAATACTGTCATTGAGCCCTGGAGCAGAATGGTTTGTTATGATGTGAGGCTTCTCATCCCACCATACAATGAACATGGGAGAGATCTTCATGCCTGGTAGTAGGTTAGGGAGCTTCAATGACCACTGTCCTGCTGATATTTCCTTATCATGAAAGGCCCAAATAGCATCAATATCAGGAGAATCAGCAGGATGATTGTTGATTACTTCTTCCAGCTCCATCTCCCATTCACCATTGTCAGGTGGCCAGAACCCATGATGAAGGCCATGTATGACTGATCGCACGAAAGGCTGATTAGGATGGTCAAAAAGCATATTTTCGAGCTTATCAACATTGAAAGGGGTGTCCACTTGAATGTGATTCTCGCAGACCTTAAGAGCCATCTGAATGGCAGAATCAGCTAAAAGGTGAGCTGGCAGATCAGGAAGTGGAGGTGCCAGCTCAGTGAATCGAGCAGCGGGTGACATGGGTGAATGCATGACATCTGCTCAACCAAACCCACGTCAAAAATGAGGGAGCTCATTGGTGGACTCAGCTTTATGCTTTCTCAACGCAGAAGCTGCCTTAACAAGTGGTCTAGGTCCTCACACTGCTACCTGAGCTGCTCTGGCTGTTTCTGGGGCCTCTCTGTCGTTTACGAGCCTTGAATGCATTATGGCTAGCTGTGTCATTCTTGATATGATGGGGTCCTCCACACTCCCAGCAGAAGCCATGCTTTCACCGATTAGGGCAAGGGTTATCATCACAATGCCCCAGGTTTCAATTGAGGCATCATGTGGTTGCCCACTTCGAAGGTGAGGATGATGGCTCTGGATGCGCTCTTTTTCCCAGAGTGGTTTGAGAAGATGATTGCATAATATCTGCCAAGATATGGACTTGAAGATGAGGACAATCATCAAGGTGGAACGGTGACTTGTGATATGCATCACGAGCTGCTCGGTCCACTCTAATTGCGATGGATGGGTCGAAAGCCATGGCATGGAATAGCTCAAGGATGACAGTATGATATGCATCCAATTCTGCAGAGCAATGAGGATAGAGATGGAGGACCACCTCAGCCCAAGCACCAAAGACACGGATCCACCCTGATTTCAAGTGTATAGGTCAACAAGGTGAGGAATGGTCTTTCTTGATAATCGCAAAACCTGCAGTGAGGTCTTTGGGCTCGTCATCGTGATCATACCTAACTTCCATGGATGCGAAGAGCTTCTTGAAGTTGACATACTGGTCCATGAGAACATCCTTCCAGATTGATCGAGGCACTGGTACCTGCATGCGTTGCTGCTGCATGAGATCCAGAATGGGGTCACTTGCCCATTCTGATACATACAGCTGGCAAAGATGAAATGACTCAGCCAGGTGCGAACCCTGTGAGGCTGGTGAGGTGGCAGCGAGATGTGGCACTGCAGTGAGAATGGACTGTGGGATCCCAAATGAGGCCAATGATAGCCCCAGAGCTTTGAAAAGTTCATCAAAGGAGAAGTCAGCACCCACGTGGCTCCTACCCACTTGCTGAAGCCCGATGAGTTTTTGCTGGATGATTGCCCAGGCCAAAGCATCAGCTGGATTCTCCACCAGTTGAGGACCATCCTTATCGTGCTCTTCTCCTCCCTCATTTGACAAAACAGGGCTAGGTTCACAATCACGCTCATGCTCAGCTTGCTCAGTGAGCTGTTCGATGTAGTCATGGACCTCCTGTTCATTCACTCCAATTTCCTTGAGTCGCTGGATGGCTCGACCATAGGTAATGCATGATGCAGTGGCATCTGAAACAATAGCTTGCATTTGCTCAGCTCATGCTTGAACAGCCTCAGGAGAGTCCAGAGTATTCCTGGTCTTCTGGGTGAAAGAAGATTTATCGCTTCTGACCATGGGTGATTCGATAGATGGGTGGTGTAGTGTCATAGGCACAAGCTACCGGATATGAGAGATAAAGGATGAAGCTTTCACTGCTGGGGAGCCTAGTGACAGTGGACTTCCAATCACTATCATGTTCGTGAGGTTGGCATGTGATGCTGGGCCCTAGATTGCCATCATCACAGCCATGTGCAAATGCGAAAATGAGATGCACAGCATGCACGATGACTGCAGGATCTATGAATCCAAAAGCACTTGGATCATTGCCGTTGATGAATTCAAGATGATGTAAATGTCATGCTTCAAAGCCACCCTCTTCCAAAAAGTCTCACTCAAGCCAGCGGACCCACAAGAAATGCATCAGTCTTGTCTTGCTCTTATACCTGGCATTGACATGGAAGACATTGATAATACAGGCATACCAATATGGATGCTTCCCTGCTTCATTATTGTCATCATCTTCATGCACCAATAACATGATGTCTGCATGTGTGTGAGGGTTGATTGAATCCTGAACATGCCACATGTCATAGGTAGTATAGTTGATGTGACAGACCTTGTGAAAATATAGCTTGTTGTTCTCAAAATGCAGCAGGTGTCATTCTTCATTGGTAAATTTGTCCTCATCACCATCATAGCTGTGGTCCAAGAATCAGGTGAGAAGATGATCTTTGAGGTAAGAAATAAAGTTCTATATGAGAATCAATTGTCAGTGATGGAGTTAAATTGATTCAACAAAGAACTTACTGAGAAAGTGGGGTCATTGTCATGTTCATGTACCTACTTCACAATGTCTTCACGATAGTGCTGCTTTGTGGAGATACATATGGTAGTGATTGGTGGGTGATGAGTATGATAAGGCCTCCTTTGCTGAGAATCTGAGAGCTGCACCAGAGTGTGGTCCAAGCAAATTCTTCCTTGGCTGCCTCAGCCTCAAGCCATTTTTACTTCAATTGTGCACGCTCCTTCTCAACTTGCTGCATAATAAAGTTCAAGGTCTTTGCACATTGTTGTTGCCCTGCAATTTGACCAGTAGCACCATTTTTGTTTGTGTGAGCATAAAAGCACTTGATGACATGATGAGTTAGCTCACCCTGAACATGGTAAAGAATTATATTTGATCAGTCATTAGATGCAAATAAAAAATACTGACAGTTTGGGATGTATAGATGTCTGTTGGCCCATAACACTGTATGCACTTGACATAGTCACCAAGAGCATGATATTTGTAAGTATTAAGGTTGAACTCCTTACACTTTGCATTCAGCATAGACAATGCAGTCTCTTTGGCCTTTTCCTTCACTTTGAACTTGTCAGATGCACCTTTGGCCATGGCTGCAGCCTTGCAACACCCCACACTGCTTCGTCTCGAGGAAGTTCACATGTATCATGCAAATGGCACATCTCCTTCTTGAACATTCAGATAGCCTGGTCAAGCATCTTTGTGGCATTGTCCATGGCATTGAGAGTCTCATCTGTATGCAAATGAAGCTTCATGAAGTCATGCTATTGAGCAAGCTCAAACAAAAGATTTGCAATAATCTCATTGTCTGTGGGATTGAGAAGCCCCTCCATGACTGGCATGATGCACTGTGCTCATCTTCAGATGGCTGGCAAAGTTGCATTTGAAGAAGGACATATCTGTAGAATATCCTCAAAGTCTCATGCTGCAAGCTTCTTCATCATGGACACATTCATGTGGAATCTATGAATCATGTCACAACTGAATGAGAAAACTTTGTGAAATCTATAGCGATAATGTCAGGCAATGTCACATCATGAAAAATGGGCTCACCTTTCATTGAAATATAGAATGTGATCTCATCGATATGCATACAGAATCTGTATAAGATGTGTGAGCATGGCTTTTCATACCCTCAACTCAAATTTGTGCATGAGATCTGACACAAACATTGAGTAATGGTTAAATCTGTGCTCGTGAGATGGATGAAGAAGGCACTTTAAAGTTAATGTGAGCCTACATGATACAATAGATGCAATCACACTCACTCATGTCAGAACCAATAACTTGTCATCCAGAAGTCAGATAATGACCTTGCTTCCAGGACCATAGCCCTTGAAGATCCATGAACATGCCAAGTCAATAACATGTTGAACACAACTGTCATCGATATGTGCATGACTGCGACATTGTGAATCTACATGAATTTCCATTTGTGGAATCTGATCCTTTCTGACATAGCAGCATGGACATGGACACTGCACAAGATACCATAGGCATGTGAGGAGGATTCTATCAAAAGCAGTTTTAAAACTTTCAAAGAATGGCTGCAAGAAGAATAACTTACTTTTTGAGATAATCAGCCAAGTAGGTGAAGAAGCAAGGAAACACATGCCACCATATCATGTCACCACACAAGGTTAGCAACCCATGGACAAAGGCATCAATGAAGGCTTTATCAAGAAGTAGCAACCATATTGCTTGCATGAGCTCTCATTTACAAAAATGGAGTATCTCAGCTGTGGCCACAGTATCATAAACACTCCAATAAAAGTCTTGTAAAGTATCTGAAAGCTGTAAATGCTCATTAGTATATAGATTTTAGGACCCACACTGCAACTACTCACAGATGACATGTATGTGATGTGATGAGCCACATGCTCTGATGGTTTGCAGTGGACGTACTTTGAGACATTGCCACTGAAAAGGTAGATCAGCCATAAAGAGGCAGATCCAAAGTCAGCCAGGTGAGTCAAGTCTGACCATAGCAACAGGGGTAACATCACAGACTCAGTGCCCTGTGGATCGTCAGAATGGGGTGGCAACATAGTGCCTTCCTCGATCATTGCATCACTATTATATAATTGAGTATATGCGAACATCCTCCATATCATTCTGCCTTTGTAGTGCAGGCCTGGTGCCCTCATTGTTATCATTGAAGGTGTATGCAGTTTTATCAGATGATGGAGTAGTTGTCTTAGGACATTGCCAGAACATTTTAAATGAATGCTAATAAAATGTCTTGGCAGTTAAATTGATACAGATGGTGCACATGACATTGATCAATCATCTATGAAAAATGCCAGGGACCTCAAATTTCAGAACATCAGATTCAGATGCATACTTTGTATGCTCCTTTGGAACACAGATGTGCATGAAGGTTTCATGCCAGCCATCTTCACTAGCAAATATGACCCCAGTTGTATCCAATTTGTCAAGGCATGCCTGCTCATGTTTCAGGTTGAACATCTTCACGTCATTATGATCGTACTGTGAATGATTAAAAATAAGGTGATTGATCTCTTCCTTAAACTTCAAGTCATTTCATTCTACTCACCCAATTCATCAGCAGAAAAGACTTGAACAAAAAGTAGGGCATTGTCACAATTTTCCCACTACAATATATCTTTGGCACCATGCCAAGATATAAACCTTAGACATGACACAAGGCAAGATGACACAGGGATCCATTTACAATCCACCATGATGCATTCAGTCACGTGACCTAGACAAGCACTCACACAAGCGCCCCTAGCACGTGACCCCCTAAACTAGCACCCAACTACGATCACTGAAGCCTGCAAAGGCTCAGCTACCACACGTGACACCGAGGCATCTTAGTAAGTAGTAGACACCCTATTGGCCACTCAATAGTGGTTTCACTTCAGTCACTGACAAGGTGGCACCATGTTATACAATTATCTCATTGGACAACCTCACAGCCAATAGTAGGTAGTTGTCATGGCGAGACCAGAACCATTACTGGTTCTGGCATTATGTTCACATGTAGGTACCAGAGGTCTCACAGTAGCACAAGTGCCAGGGGCTCTGCCATACATGTATATAAGCACTTATGAGGAACTGGGTATCCCCAGTTCTATTCACCTATTTTATACATGCTTATGCGGCCTAACAGCCACCACCTCCTTTTGTGTGTTATAAGGCTAAGGGCCCTTTGAGCCCCTTTCTGCATCTTGTATATCATCATACAACAAGGGTTATGGGTCACAGGATGCAGGCTGCACCTTGCAGCCAGCTCCTTGCCTTCTTAGACAGGAGTCACAATGCACCATGACAGGCATCTCCTTAATGGTCTTTTTCACTCTGTGAATGATATCACCTAGCCACTGTCCAATGTGATCATGTAGCTGTCATCATAGAGTTAAATGAGGTACAGATGTCTGAAATGTTGTTGCATCAGAAATGTCACCTAGCGTTGAGTGATTCTGAGGTTCAACTTTTGACTGAGTTATATAGCATCTAAAGACTAAAGGTGTTCAGATTTGTCTGATAGTACTCCTCTGTGCTTGCAGCAGGCTCAACACTATTTTCTGGCATTTCTGCCATAGCATCAGCAGTTTCATCAGATATGTTTGGAGCATTGTGATGTACGACCTGTGTAGCATTTGAAGATGGGTTTATGATGGCATGAGAGTGAGTCGATGAAAATATAGGCTTGTGCATGTGAGATGGAAGATCAGCAGAACTGGATGGGAGAAAGTTGACAAGAGTGCAAGGCATGCAATGTCTGTGACCTGCATGGCTGATTGATATGAAAAGATCTGGTTCAAAAGGTCCCTCTGAAAGCCTGAGATAACTTGAAGAGGGCTTGGGATGTGATTGAATATGTGAAAGTTCATCGAACTTAGAAGCATGAGCATCAAGTTTTATTTCATAGAGAGATAGCACAACACACCTGGTTCAAACTTTCTCACAATAAAGCTCATTCCTCTGTAGCTTCCTCTTCCTCTACCTTGGCTTTCTGCAAGCCTGCCTCCCTGCACTCCCTCTTCTTAGCTGCTTTTGCAATCTGTTGAGATTCTGTGCTGAAGACATTGACCTGCTTGCATTTTTGAAAGTGTAACTGCAGAGCCCTAAAGGTAGAACAGCCAGATTTTCTGCAAGCAAAACAAGACTGCATGATGAGAAGGAAGCTGATGAGAATGTGTGCGAAGTGCATGGTAGATTAAAGCTGAGGTGAAATTCTATCAAGCTTGCAAGAGTCACAGCTCTTCAAGCATTTTATAATGTTGCCTAGTGAGTGCAGAGTTAAATCTTAGAGGAGTGAAACTTCAGTGATTGAGCAAAGAAGTAGTAGAATGACTTAGACAAAACTTGATGTGGCCACTGAGCACAATCACGTAACTGACACACACACGATAATGCATCAGTGTCTCTTGTCCTCTGCTCTTCTTGCCTTCTGGCATTACCTTTTGCTGCTTTCATATACATCAACACTTAGCTCTTCTCTTCAACAAGGGCAAAGTCGAGATCCTCAAGGTTGTCACAGTATTTCTTCACCACATGTCCTCACGTGACATTTCACACACCACAAGGCATCATGTGCTTCATCTAGGATCCATGCCACAGACGCATACAGATCAGGTGATGATAGTCCACATCACATGTTTAGGTCCAGATCCTCAGATGATAGGATTGAATTAGTCTATTTCAGGATACAATAGCGACATCCGTTTGAGAACAAACAGATCAAGGACTATTGTTGGAGATCATCTTAGCAACCTGCTGATAGTTTAGCCATTGCCACAATGGGATAGACCATCTCACCATTGTTATAGATGAAGACCGATCTTCCCACTTATTGTTCTACTTTAAGATAGATCATCTCACTTATTGTTCCATGTATAGTTTAGTTGCCTAGATACGTAGATAGCCAATCATGTATTTTGTAGTAGTGGTATGATGAAGGTTATGTAATCAGGCTCCTGTACATGTATATAAGACCACCACGTAGAGGATGAAACTTCAGATTGTTTCTCCTCGTCTATCACAGTAGCCACCACATTGAGCCTAACCAGCTCCATATATTTCTCACCACCTTTTCTGTATGCTTCTCATCAGTGAGTCACCTTTGACTTAGGCAGCCAGCTAGAGTTCTGGGGGACAGGGCAGCACATCATGTGACTGTCCTTTTTTGATCTCTTAGATCTTGTGCCCAGCTAGCACTGTGACAAAGGTCAACAAAGCATACGAAGAGCTCTCAGCATTCAAAGCACCTCAGAGTTGACTCACACATTGACTCAGAACACCGTAATGACAAGTTCTCATCCTCAAGCTCCATCTCTTCTGATGATGACAGTTCAAACTCAGAGTCTGAGGTGAAAAATGGCAGAACTTGTCACAGGAAAACTATGCTGCCCACCTCTCCACTGGGAAATGACACTCATGGCAACTCCCTCACAGTGTCTGCCTCTGTAGTTAGAGAGAGTGAGAAGAATGATACTGGAACTCAACTAGAATTATGGACAGCATGCAAAGCAGCTCAAAAGTCCAAATCAAGGGCATTGATCGATCACATACACATGTCCAAGAAGTCAGGCATGAACAAGTGATGCCTTCGCTATCATATCTGTTGCTAACAGTTTACTCAGGGACTCCCTAAGTGATTGCAAGAATGGAGCATGCCTGATTCTCTGTGCAATAAGCCCCTTTGTCAATGTTCACCAGGTGTTCTTTAGGGGTCTGCACCTCCAGGGCATTTACAAGCAGGATTGGGGCAAAGCAGGGCTATTAGATCTGTGAGTATTCATCTATTAGTGCATATATGCAGAGGAATGTATATAATATACATAAATGCATAAGATGGTGCATATATGCATGTTTTGGAAGTTGAGAATGTGCTATGCACCATATATACCAAGGCAATGCAGCTACTCTAGGGATTTCAAGGCTCATGCCACTATATAGTGATCTGCAACAGCTCGAGAAAACCTATGCTACATTTCAAGATCTGCTAAAGATTATAACAATGCTAGAAGAGCACATTGACTACATCAAAAAACATTCTGACTCAATCTGTCACCTGTCGAAATATGTGCATTTCAGGTCACGTCATGTATGCATACTAATGATAAGCATGTAGATCAATGACTAACTGTGCACTGCACATTCAGATAATGTCTGCAAGCTCAAGAAAGAAATTCTCAAGCATGTATCAAAGATGAAGATTGTCACAAAGCACAAAGCACTTAACCCAATTAAGGGCAAGTCTGCTTATGTGATCTGCACAAATAATCCACATATAAAAGCCTGCCACAAGGACTAGGCTGAGGACGCGTGCAGTGGCATACAACCAACAATCAAGGCAGAGCCTCAATGTATGGCTTTGCACAAGTGGTGGAAAGGGGGAGCTGCCTGCTGGCCGCATACAATAGTATAATGAATCTAAGGTCCTCCCTTAGATTCTCATGGGCTTATATACATGTGGGGCTGAACCCTGGTCACTCTAACTAAGGTGTACCTACTGGGGTCCTAGCAAGCTACATGTGAGAACATTATGCCAGAACCAGTAAGGGCTCTGGCAGCAACTATGGCAACTATCTACAAAGGCCGTGGATATGCCAAGGTAATTCTACTTAATCTAATGAGACAATTGCCAAAAAGTGGGACCACTGTTGAGGGGTCAATGGGTGATGGCCAACAGGGCACATCACAATGGTTGTAACCTCAGGTGAGAGGATCTGTCCAAACTCAGAACAATGGATGGGATGATCAGTTTTCATTTAGATAAGTTTGTGGGAAGATCCAGCCTATCCTGTACCTGGCTATACTGTATGCCAGTGGTAGGGGGATCCCTTGTAGTGCCTGCCTATTGGCTGGGCAGCAAAATGGTGCCACTGTCTGAGTGGCGAATTGGATGCTTGCTAGCTTGATGGTCCAATGAGCTTGAGGGAGCCTATTGTGGGCCAAAGGGTTCCATTCTGGGCAAGTGGCCTGGTATCATGTGACCAATGCCTGATAACTTCTGAATAGGGCAAGTGGCCAGTGTCACGTGACTGGGTGGCTGAATCATGGGCGCTTGGTGGTCATGTGGTAGACACAGTCGTATCTGCAATGTATGTGGTAGTATTGTGCTGTTTGTCCAAGTGTCTACTTTGTGAGACCAATATGAAGGTTGGCGTCCAAATAACCAGTTATGGTTGCCAAGTGAGGACTTTAATGGTGCAAAAATAAAGGTGCCACCTAATACTGTGACAGTCATCAGCAATGCAATATGCAATTCAGTCCTGAGCGATCTTGAAAAGACTAATTATAGCTTCTACCATGCAATCCTTGATCGACTGTTAGTCAGAAGGAACCATCGTGATGAGTACAACACTGACCCAGACAGATAAGTCATTACTTTGACCTTGGTGTATGCTTACTGGCAGTCAGATTCTGTGCAGCATTTATAGAGGGAACCTATCACATTAGTGCAGATGACCTTCCCTCATTCATCTACCCTGTCGAAGGGCAGTGAAACCACAAGAAGCATCTGGAAGGATGTCTTCAATCTGACTTTCTTGTCAAGATAAGTCTCAATTCATCGAACATTCAATGCTCATGTTACTTGTTTGTAGATATTTCAAATAACATTTTAAGGGCTGAACTTTGCTGAAATGCAGGGAACTGTGCAAAAGTAAAAAAACATGGCAGGAGGGCATCCTCCTCTCATCCAAATGTATAAATTGAAGATGATTACTTCTGTGTACACCACGTACTGTGTCATCATAGTATGTTTTCTTTGTATTAATCACATTTACCTGCTGCTTGATACATTTGAATATAGGGCCATTTTGTGTTGTCCTCGAAGGTGCAATGATCAGACAATGATGGCAAGTTCAGCTACGAGAAACTTTATGACAATGTAATGTGCCTTTTTCACAACAAGGCCTTTGTGAAGAAGGTCCTTGACTGGTGAAACTAGTATGTGTACCATATGCCCTTTGATGTTATTCACATTCTGACTTTTTCAGCTGTATATTCAGCACTGGAAAATGTGTTAAGAGTGAACACCACTCATCTGGGCCTTTTTGTATTTCCATCAATGATGAACCTCTTGGAACAGCAAGATAAAGATGAAGAGCTCTATGAGGAGGATGCAGTGTCTTTGGCAAGCAGTTCCATTTTCTAGACTCTGTGACAGTCCTCTCCCTGCTGACACATTTCCATTCCACTGCACTGAGTTACTTTGTGATATGCTGCTGCACTCGCCATCATCCTTCTGGCCTGCAAACATTTTCTGGTGATGTCACTCTTATGTTCTGGTGACATCAGTGATGCAGGCTTTCTCTGCAACTGCTTTATTATTTCTATGTGCACTTCATCCCTCCTGCTGCCTCTTTTCTAGCTCACTCCACTGCTGTCATAAATGTCTTGTGAGGGCTTTCAGAAAGGAATTTTTCACATTTTCATTGCATGTATACTACAGAGCCATGATAATACTACTACATGTCCATCTACCACTGCAGTTGGCCAACACAATGGCACAGAGCTTACCGTAGCCATCACTACCTGAGTTTCATTATCCAGGACAGCCACAACTTGCCCAATGACAAGCAGTGGAGGCATCTAATTGTGGAGACTTGACAAGAGTTATCATATGAGGCAAAAGGGTGCTGGTGCTTGAGAAAGATGGAGTTGTGAGAACTGAGAACCAGAAAAGTTGCAGCCAGAAGCATGAAGTGACTGAGCTTTGCAAACAAAAGTCGCAAAGTGGAATGTCCCATTCAACAATTGCTGAGAAGGTGGGTGCATGACTCATAAACAGTGGTGCGACATTTGGTGGAGTCATAAAAAACACAAGAAGAAGCCCTAGAAGGTGAAAGAAGGGTCAAAACATGTTTCAGAATGCAGAACCGAAAAGGAAAGAAGATTTTTATGGATACATTACTATCTCAAGCAGGTTTCACTTTTATTAATTAACTGGGAACTTGGACAGTTTGGTTTGCAGGACTTTCTCCCTGGGTGCCACAAGTAATATAAAACTCGGACATATATCTAGACAAAGACAAGTCTTCAGGAGGAGAATGAGTCTCCTAGCCCATCTCTAGCTCAAGTACTGCATCTCCTGCATCTCAGAGTCCTCTGCTCACAATTCTACATGATATTTTAAAACTTACTACTAGCCCTATCTTGAATATCTCGAAGGTTCACAGCAGCGCTCATCTAAGGCTTTTATTGTCTTATCAATATCACTCTGGTTATCTAACTGATAACATTGCAGATCTGTTCCCACACTGAGTCACTTCTTCTACATTTCAAGAACTGCACTTCCACGAACGTCCATATCTGATCATTTCTGATATTTCACATCTCTTTCACCAGGGCACCTCACAAAGTTGCGATCATATTCCTCATAACTGACTGAAGCTGATCAGAATATTGTCAAAACTGTCAGATAAGCCCATATCTGGAGGATCAGCATCTGCTTCACTGCTTAGCAGAGGTTTCTGAGCCCCGACTTTGTGCGATCAAGATCAACTATTTGAAAGAGGCTGCCTCACCACTACTTGATCAGTAGCTGATTTCCACTGTCACAAACTGTAATATTCCACATTTTAAGTGCTTGCTTCATGATCACATGATCATACACATGCATATCTTAAGTGCTCATACAATATCACGAGCACATATCACATAATCACATCCCGTGCAGAGATCCTGTGCGCACATCACAAGACAGGTACTAACTATTCTGCCTAATAGATAAGGTGCCATATCCAAAGAATCAAGATTCGGTCACTTATTCTCTAATAGGATAAGCTCCTACGACACCGTGAGAGATGGAGCTCCACTACCTGAGAAGGTAGTACTATATTTAGGGTAGTTATAGTCAGTAGGCATTGCCATCTAACCCTGTAGCTGCATGGCAAGGTCTCATGATAGCATCATATGACTTCGTAGATTCATGTTATTGGCTTATCTCAAGACAGCTCGCAGCTAACACTGAGCTTTGCCTATCTTTAGAATATGTGCTAAGTCACCATTCACATGAACCCACTGTAACAATTTCTGAGGTACGAAGGAGAGTTTGTGCGACACTGGGCACTTAGAGCGTCTATGTGACATTTTTTCATTCTGTGGAACACTTAAGCAATGCATGGGAGAGTGGACCATTACAACGTGGTTTCATTTTCTGCCCCTGTTCTGAGGTTAGGAGAGGGCCCTTCCTTCAAAATTTTCTTACTGTGTTACATTTTGTTCTTACTCAAATTTGTTATCTTTTGTAATTAATGGGCATACAAACCGGAGTTTGAACCTGCACGATGCAGCTGATCCAAACAGGTGCAAATATTCAGAGCCAATCACAACACTGAGTTTGCTAGGGTTAATGCCTTAAGGGCTGATGGATTCAAAGCCATTCAAACCATTGTATTTGATGGCTTGAAAGCGATTCAAACCAAGGCATTCAATGGCTTCAAAGTGGTTCAAACCATTGTATTCATTATTTTGTTATGTATTTCAGTACAGTGACACAAACAATGACTGATTTAACATTTTTCAGGCTCATTATAGTCTCTGCTTGAGAAACAAGCAATAGATCTTCACATTCCACTGCATTTTACTTCAATTTCTTCATTCTGAGCATATTGAAACAAGAGCTATTGATGCAATTGAGGTTTTCCATCACCACAGTATAGTGATCCATATTTCAACTTTTTTCAACTTTTAAACATATCAAAAATACATGATAGATCACACATTGATGCGCTGCAATCAGAGCTGCATGCAGACCATTTTCTGGCTCAAAAAAGCGAAGATTTGAGGTCACAGAATGTATGAAGATGTTAGCCACTCAAATTCTCATGTTTATAGGTGCCACAATGTGCAAATAACACCAAATTATGACGTTCATGTCCGTGCAACCAGCTAGTTGCATGAACGTGCATGTCATAGTTAGTCATTGTTTGTAAAACAGCAAGAGTTGCACTTTTTTAGAATTAAAAGCACATAAAACTGCACACACCGGAAATTGAACTTCGGACTTCCAGGACACTTATGTCTCAGACAGTACCAACCATTCTATCCACTAGATCATCTGCTGTTTATGATTAACACACCCAAATATAATATACAGTGATTAACAAAGCTACACACATATTTTCGTGATTTTTACTGTTTTTCTTCTACCTCCAGATTGCCTGTAGCCATATTCACAGATGAAATAGCAATAGAAAGCCATACTTCTCAGCTTTCAAATGAGTATCTGTTGGCTGAATTTTGATGATCTGTTCTGAAGATATATGCAACTTTATCAGGTGAACTCATTTATACACTTTTGTCACTAACAAACTTCAAAACTCTAGTAGTTGGATAATCAGCCCTTTGCCTTAAACACTGCCTTAACCCATTCACGCATGTTGTGGATTAAACTCTGATGCACAAACCTGCCAATACTCTTTTATTTCTTTTTCAATTGCTTTCACAATTCTGTAATCTCCCTAAGTGGCTCCTCATGCCTTGCTAATCATTTTATGAGATACCTTCAAAGATGATCTATATAATTGAGCTCTGAGAATTGACAATGCCATATCATTGTCTTAATAACATTTTCTCTAAGTCAGCTAAGTCAAGCTTGAGATTATTATCTTGCTGAAACACCATCTCCTTCACTTTTGCTGCAATGCTTCAAGCCATTTTAAAGCTCGTTTCTCAAAATGCTAACATAAGGTAAGATTCATCTTGCCATCAGTGTTAGAGGTATATGTCATTATAATGGAAAGCTCTTCTGAGGACACTCTGAATATTTCAACACAGTTTGATATCTTGCAGTTTTGCCAAGGTTCATGACATTCTAGAGGATGGGTTACAATGCCCAGGAAGGGTATCAGAGCCCTTTAGAGATGTGACTGATGGCCTCACCCATGTTTCAGATAATGTAAAGCTCTTCTATATATCACACATTACAGACTTTGCAGCATTTTCCATCACTAAAAAAGATGAAGCAGATATCTACAGCCTGTATTTTGCTATGTTTCAGTCTTCATCCTCCAATGTTATCATCCATCTTCATTGTCACCACTGCAATGTAGTTGTGAATGCAGAACATGCTTCCATTTATTTATAGGACTGCAGTTTATCACTTTGAAGAAAGTCCTCTGTTAAGTTAGATTCTTCAAAAAATAGAAAGATTTCAGAATGGCTTAAAAAAGACTCTCTTTGCATGTCAAAGCTGCGAAGAAGACTGATCAGAAGATATGTCTTTGTCAACATCCCTAACTTCTGTGCATTTATAACAAATCAGAAGCAAATTCAGCTAAATTCTGCTATATGCATTGAAGAACAAGGCATAACATATCACTTGTGTGGTATTATTTACTTTGGTGAGTTTCATTTTACTGCAATGATTGTTGACATGAATGGTCAGACACAGTACAATGATGGAATTGTTACAGATAATGCTTCAACATCAGAATACCCTGTGAGGATGGCACACCATTACTTTCCTTAACAAAGCACATAGCAGATTTGACTTTGTAGCAATCTACTTTAAACTCTGCTTAACCTAACCTTCAATAATGAAAACACAGTCTGCTACACACCATTGCCTTTCAACTGTCTTCTTTGCCATAAAATAATGTCACTCTAAATATAGCTGCTTCTCGAACAATCATACCATCCTTGATTTCTGCCATTACGATTCCTGAGGTACGAAGGAGAGTTTGTACAGAACTGAGCACTTAGAGCGTCTATGCAGCATTTTTTGATCTCCATGGGATACTTAAGCAAAGCGTGGGACAGTGGACCATTACAAAGTGGTTTCATTTTCTGCCCCTGTCCTGAGGTTAGGAGAGGGGCCTTCCTTCAAAATATTCTTACTATATAACATTTCATTGTTACAGATGTTTGTTATCATTTGTAATGAACATACAAGCCGGAGTTTCAACCTGCATAACATCGCTGATTCAAACAGGTGCAAATATTCACAGTCAATCACAGCGCTGAATTTGCTAGGGTTAATGTCTGAAGGGCTGATGGCTTCAAAGTCATTCAAATCATTGTATTCAATGGCTTGAAAGTGGTGCAAAGCGATTCAAACCATTACTGTGGCATTTACCATTTTGTGATGTAGAATGAATGGTCTAACATTTTTCGCAACTTATTATAGTCTGCGCATGGCAAATGAGAATAGATCCTTCACATTGTATTGCTCTTCTTTCAAAATGTTCTCACTACATAATGTTTAAATGTTACAGTTCTTTCAAAATGTTCTTGTTACATAACATTTCATTGTTACCGGTGTTTGTTATCATTTCTAATGAACATACAAGCCGGAGTTTCAATCTGCATGACACGGCTGATCTAAACAGGTGCAAATATTCTCAGCCAATCACAGCACAGCATTTGCTACAGTTAATGCTGAAGAGCAGATAATTTCAGAGCTGTTGAAATTATTGTATTCAATGGCTTGAAAGTGGTGCAAAGCTCAGTATTCAATGGCTTGAAACTGGTTCAAATCGTGGCATTCCTCATTTTGTGATGTACAATGATTGGCTTGATATTTCCCTGATTTATTATGGTCTGCACACAGCAAATGAGAATAGATCTTCACATTGTATTCCTCTACATTTTAACTTCTTCATCCAGAGCATACAAAAAGTAAACATACTGCTGACATTCATTGGCATTATTTGGCTTTGGTTTTCTCAATGGCTGATGAGGTATATATTTCTGGTATTATATGTAACTCATGTTATCCTCTCAGTATGGACTGCCAGTACGTATGAGTGTGCAGAGCGCATAGCACTTGAGATTTGATTCTGAGCCACCATGTGACAGATGTGGCCATCTTTGGTTTAGGTGGCGGAGTCATCGATCATGCTGAGATTGGATTTTTTTTGCAGTCTCCTACATTGTGGCATTACTTTGTGTTTGTGAAAAATGTTGGCTTGATATGAGGGCAGTCGATGTTCATGAATTTCCTCGAAATACAGGTGACAAGTTGTCACTCATTGAGTGATAGATAAATCCTGCTCAGTGCTTATGTTTGTTCCTGAAATGGTAGGGCAGAAAATTTTCTTTAGGAGACGGACATTTAAATCTGTATCTGGTAAGTATCAGTTGTTCTCCAGCCACTGCTGTAGAAAATGTTGCACCTCATAAGGGGGATTGGTGTTCACTGATTTTTTTGAAGTACGAGCCTCAAGTCATCACTCATTGAGTTAATTAGAAGCTCCATTCAGCGCTTATGTTCATTCCCAAAATGATCAGATGAGAAATTTGTCAAAGAAATGAGCAACAATTTCCCCATTTGATATGGATGTCTGTTGCTGAATCAGGATGCGGTGCTTATTCATTTGACTTAGTGCCCAAATTGAAGTATCTCTGGTGGTTTGTTGGCAAAGTCGCAGCCAGTGTGCAGATGAGATGGTTTTTGAGGCTGCTGTATCCCAGAGGAAGTTGGCACTTCTGTGTTATGCTGGAGCTGAGAGACATTATGCTTTGTGAATTAAAACTATCCTCAATATATTTCTCTCATGGGCAGGTTTCCTGGAGGAAAACATTTTTTGAGTAATGCTCTGCATTGCGGAGGCTCATTAGAAAAAGTATCTTTGCTATCGCATCTGACCCTATGTACAAGAGAAGCCAAATGTGGTCCTCTCTGTTCTGACTGCATGTTGATGTAGGTATGTAGGAGGACAGTTGTTGCAAGTGAAAGAAATCATGGTGATAGAGATGCTTTTGTAATCTCTTGATTTATTTATCGTTTATATGAATGTTCAAATGGTCTCTTTTGTCATACTGGCCATTGGTGAAAAGGCTTTTCATTATTATATATCAGTCACAATTCAGAATATCAACCGAATATGGTTTTCTTCTTGTAGATTCTTCATGTTTATATTAGTGTAGGGAGTAAATAGTAGCTCATGGAATGAAAACTTACTGCCTATGCTCATGGACCGTTTGGTCATATTTGATTTCGTCGTCAACTTTTCATCACAGCGATGGTCAGTGTGATGCTAAATCTATTTGCGTTTGTGAAAAATGTCTGGGCTGAGGGCAGTCATGGTGTTAGCCAATAATTTTCTTCTTCCAGTATGTACATTTATTATACAGGAATTTAAAGATCCATTTATGTGCCAATGTTGAGCATTGTGGTGACAGATTAATGAACTGGTTTCAGAGATTACTTTTCAGACTGATATATCCTTCTCAAATTCATGGAGGTTGTGACACTGACTCGAGTTGGTAATGTGTTGATATTGTGATGTGAACTCTTCTTTGTGGTTCTAGACATCTGACATTCTGCATCACACTTTCCTGAATTGGCTGAACGCACATGGATCACTGATTATGACATTCTAAATCGTATTGGTTATCAGTGAGGTGGTTCTTTTGTCAAGCGTGGATCAACAGGATGTGTTCATATTAGAACTCTTAGTTTTCTGAGCCTTGTGAGCATTCAGTTATTATTGGTAGTGGCCAGTAATAATATTCTCGACCAAGTTTCTGACTCAGAGATTCCTTTATTTGGTGATATCATCATGTTTGGGAACCGTGTCATTGGTGGGAGATATTTTCTGAGGATGGCAAGTATCTGTGAGTGGGAAATACAGATTCTGTCGCTTCTCTGATGTTCTTGTGTTCACCATTCACATACTCTGTGTTCTGGTATCCCTCATGCAGTTTCTCTTCTTGCTGTGTTGGCATTGTTAAGGTATGTGTTGGTCTCTGAATAGATCAGCATAAAATGTTATAAGTAGGTTTGTCTGTCCACGGACAGCAGTGTTTGCGCAGTGTGGAGGGTCAAGTTCATTTAGATGAAGGTGAGGGCTATATTTTTCCATGAGATATGAGTACTTCTTACAGCATCCAGGAAATGCGGATGTTGCATTCACATGCGTTTACTGTGTGTTGGTCACATAAAGGCTGGTCATTTAGAAGTTCTACTCCCCCTTCCTTATTCTGCTGCTGCTACTACCTTTGCTCACTTTCTTCACTATCTGTTCATTTCTTCCACCATGTCTGCACCCTCTCTGTCAGTGATCTCTAATAATGATGTGGTGTTGATTCTGCAAAGCCTGCTTTGCAACATATTGGGACAGATTTCACGTGCACAGGTGATCGTTCTGCTGTGGGTTCCTCCTATAGATGACTCCTCCATTAACTTCTGGTGGGGAGAGTCATTTGAGCTTCATGAATTGTTGGTAAGCTTGTACTAAGTTTCTCGAGTTCAATGAAATGTATTGACCATTGCCAGGGTGAGTTAGTCACCATGAGATATGTTCTTGCTCAATGTGAGGTCAATGTTGAAGAGCTGTTGGCTGATTTGCATGAGATATATGCAACCACATACACGAGGATGGAGATGATGGTGCAGTCTACATTTTACTGGTCAGATGTGATGCACATGTTGAATTCACTTGATAAATGTGAGATCGTTTCCACCAGGTCTGCGGTGGTTTATATTTATCATTTGATTGATAATGCTCATGTTACCGTGTACGTTCTTCATTGTGTGTTTCCTGGTCAAGCAGGTGATGTCCTCATCCAAATTCTAGATGAGGTGATCGAGGATGAGGCTCAGGTGAATGCAGCCTCAATGATGCCCATGTTACCATCTTCAATGGGTTGGTCAGCAGTCACTTCATCATCTTCAGCATGCTCTGGTGCATGATCAGTCACTGGGAGATCAGTTCCTCATGAGCTGTTGTGATCGATTATGGTTGCCTCCTCCTCGAATTCCAGAAATCTGTCCCAACCTTCATCATCATTTTTGCCAGCTGCTGTCGATTGTGGTGCTGTGGATGCACCATCTGCCACCATTGGTTCATCATCCTCAGCACATCCTGGAGTGTCATTGGTCACTGGACAATCAGTTCATTGCCAGCCATCATGATCGATTCTGGTTCCCTCGTCCTCAGTTTTCAGGAACCTGCCCCAACCTTCAGCATCATCTTTGCTGGCCGCTGTGGATCATGGAGCTGCAGTTGTGCCATCTACCACCAGTTTATCGATCGAACATGTTGGAGACCATCATGATTATATCGAGCCTGCACAAAGGTCCTCTGGATTGGGTGAGGTTGCCACTGATCATGAGATCGGTCCTGATTCGAATGTGAGTTTCACTTACCAAATATGTTTATAATTTTTGACTTCTCTTCGTTAGGAGCAACACATCGATCATGACCACACTGAGGAGGCAGCAAATCTCCCAAAGACAGTGGAAAAGCCATCGCCCGTCAAGGTAGGACTTCGTTTGTGTCTGACTGATCTTTTCATTCACAATGCCCCTTTCAGATGGTCGACAGTGTTCCTTACCATGGTGAAGACAATGCTGAATCAGTGATTTCAGACAATTCTGAACTGCAACCAGTGGTATGAATGTTTCGCGCTTATGCATCGCTCGTTACTGACTCGTAATCATTAGGGGTCATTTGTATCTGAGGCATTGGCAGCGGGAAACAATGCCATGGCAGGGCCATTATGCAACCAGGCTGAACCTTCATCTTTCACCACAGAGCTTGACAAATTCAACGTGAGGTATCAGTTCCCCATATTGACATGCTTTCTGTCACGTCTCCTCTGACTGGATCTCCTCCTCCATCTTCTGTCCCGATGACTAGCAACTCTGAAGAGCCTTCTCAGGTCAGGGTTGGATTTTGATTTTTGAAGCCACATTCTTACCATTCTGAGCATCGCAGGTGAGTGATCACACTTATGCATGCATCAAGAACCTGAGTCAGTGCCCAAAGCTGCAGTTTGCTGAAGTTTGATTGGCTGAGCCACCCTGTGATCTGTGTTGAGACCTGCGTAAACCCTGTTAGTGAGATGGGTGTGCTCATTCTTGTCAGCGATATCTTTCGAGGAAGGGGGTATGCCAGTTGGCCAAGCTCAAACTCAAAAAAGATGGTGATAGTTATATGTTTTTATTTATTTCCTATTCTCCATGCTAAGGTCGATCTGAGCAGAGTTTTTGTGGTTTGCTGGGCTAGATAATGTTATGCCTGGTGAACTGATCCTCATTCAATGGCCATTGTATGGGCTGCCATCTGAGGCTTGAGGTCCCTTGCCTGTGGAGATCAGCCCACAGCTCCATTCACCTTTGTTGATCGTCTGCTCTGTTGGAGGAGAGCAAGGTACCATGCTGCAGCCTGTTCGCTCAACCTCGCAGATTGGTCATTTTCGATGATGGGCAAAACCTGAACTGTCACATCTCCCTGCCACACCCTCTGCTTCATAATCCAGGTCATCTCATCTCCACTTATTATGTTCTTGTGCAGCACCCTCAGCTTCAGAACCTGCATCGTTGTGTTCCACTCCTTATGTACTGTTGCCGGCCCAGGGCTCTCAAGGCATTAAGCATCCACAGAAGTTCACCGCCAATGAACGCCAATCATCGTCAATGGATTTGGGTGAGTAAGATGAACAAGATGAACTTGATGTCATCCATGCTCCACTGCGAATTCACTGGCTGGTGCAACAATGTCATATCGAGTCCTCATCAAATGCATCAAACACCATATATGAGGCTGCAAATGAGCCTAGTGATGCAGAAGATGATTTGACCCAGAAGGATAATGGGGCAGTCGTGAGTACGAAGGAAAAGGGCAAGGGTAAGGGCAAGGGAAGGGCACACAAGTAGAATGTGGACGGGTTTTGACCTTCTGTGCCACATTCATGGCCTAGGGGGGGCTTAAAGGCCAGGTTCAACATCTGGCTAATAAAGTTCACAGGCTCGTAAATGTATTTTGAATAGCAGTTGCTTTCGATTTGCGTTTTTGTACCCCTTTGTTGAATGTAAATTCGGTTAACACATGCTAAGTCAAACCCAAACAAATCTTGAGACCACATCAGACTGGAGAAAGATGGTGGTTACAATTATCATTCAAAAATGATCATTTCGTACTAATCATGACTCCTGCTATGGCTCTATATATACTATTTGATTCAATTACTCATTAACACTTTCTTCATTCATGTCATCATCTTTGTCTGCATCGTTAATACCTTCCAGGTCCTTCTTTCATGGAGGGCACAATTTACCACTTCCTTTCGATGTTGAGCCGTCCAGACCAAGTTGCGTCTTCCACTCCCCAAGTCCGGGTAAAAACTCAGCTGCCCTCAGAACCTTGCAGAGAGTATGCTCTAAAAAAATGTGGTCGTATCGCAGGTCTTCGATCTCCTTCGCTGATAATTCATCTCGTACAAATTCATCAACTTTGCTAAGTGCATTAATCACACTTTCTTTCCTGAATTTTTTGGTCTCCCTTAGCGGAAGGAGGTCAAGGAGCCGTAAATCTTTCAGGGCACCAGAATTGAGATTGACAATGAAATCTGTGACCTCTTCCATTGTAGGTGACTTGACGATTCTGGCATACACCATATCTGTGCATGTGAGATATTGTATGAGAGGCCTAAAATTCTGAATTGTCTTGGAAGTGGTACCTGCAGTTGCCAACTTATCTCCTTCCTTTCTGGCTGTTCTCAACAGTTTCAGCACTTCTGAAAATGCAATAGGTCTGTCGTGTAGAGTGCACAAAAGATCACAAGTATTTTCAAACTCCCACATGGCATCCGCATTCTCGAGAACATGACCTTTCTAAAATTGATTGCTGAGGGCTCGTCAGTTGCAGAAGAAGTCAAGGTCATTGGTCTTGTCCGAGAAATGTTCCTCCACAGATGTCAGATATTGTTTCCAATCCTCGAGCAACATGAAGATCACTCTTCCATTTGTGGGTGAAAAATTGAGATCAGTGTAAGCAGGGGAGCCAAAGATGATGTGTTGATAGATGCGTGCGCTGAAAAGATGATACAGTTGACACCATCTGATGTCTTTTAGTCCGAGGCCATTCAGTGCATTGTATGCTTTGCGAGAGCTACCGAACTCATGAAATGGCATGTAGTGGTTGGCTCTCCCTTTCATCATCTTTTGTAGGGCTGAGGATCAGTTTTGTTTCAGTTTTTGAATGAGCTGAACTGCCTCTCTGATCAGAGTCATGATGATGTTCTTGCATTCATCTTCTGAAAGGTTGTGCATGTCCATGGTTTTGTTTGCTGACTGGTTTTTGGCAGCAGCCATCATGTCCACTTCAGGAAGAATGAATGATATAATGATCTGTGCTGGGTGTCCTGATGATCTGGATGGTCCATCTGCATGTGGATCAGTCACTGCCTGGAAATCAATGCATTTTTGGTGCAATTGTTTCAGGAAGTAAGAGTCCAAGTCATCACGAGGCCCAAAAGAACTGCGATTCAAAGCATCGATAAAGTCACTCATCATTTCAGGAGATAGCTGGCTTGGGCTATTTTGAATGTAGTCATCCAGTAATCAGAGAGGTGTTTTCTCATAAACCTCCCAAGTTGAAGGCAATAGCAGAGCATCAGAACTGAAACGCCTGAGAAGAATATCAATGAATTTTATCTGGAGATTTACTGTAATGTAATTCATCACATCCATCCAACATAGAATGACATCCGTAACGATCTGTGAGATTTTCGTGTTGCTTCAATGTCAGATAGCCGAGAGGTTTTTTTCGAGCAAAATTAATATTGGTGGCTTGAAGTCAGGGACAGGAAGAAGCTGTTGGAGTCTATCGTGAAATCTGCTCTTGTGCGGAGTTTGCTCTTCACCATCCAGATTAGACGTTCGAGCCAATTCACTTGCCCTTGAGCTGAGATCAGTTCAGTTGGTTTATGGTAACATTTACTGAGGAGTCACTGTGTTTTCTGATGGCAGAGCTTGATAAAATAAAGAAATGCAAACCACTCAGACAGCATGATTTGCTGACATGCCATTGCATGTAAAACATGCAGAAGGTCAGTGTGGGCATGCAGATTCTCACTTGCCTCCCAGTACTGTGTGACCTTGGTAAAGGAGAGAGATTTCTTCATGTTTCAGATCTTCACAGTGTCAAGGGAAGCTAAAATGTCTTTCATGGTAGATGACACCTCTTCCTTGATGGTGGTCAGTGCCCGATCAAATTGTGCTTGTTGTTCAATGCATTTCACAGTACTGAAAGAGTCCAAATACTGTTCACCTGGACAATGAGATAGCACAGTTACAGATTGGAGGTGACTGAACAATGTGTTGCTTATGATATAATGGCCTTCATATTCCGATGAGTCGAGGTACGCTCTCTCTTTGATGTTCATTGATGTCATCCTCATCGTCCTCCTCCACAAACACAGCTAGAGCATTTTCATGCACATCATCATGCATTGCATGCATGTTCTATAGAGAATCAGAGGTCATCATGTGATGGTCCATATGAGTACCTGGAGTTGAGCTCGAGACTTGGGCATTGAGGCTTTCAGTCAAGTCCTCACTTCCTGATGACATTTTGTTCTGGAAAATGTGGTGGTAAGATGGTCCGACCTGCAGATGAATTTCATAATTTGCATAGCGGTCATGCACTGTGGTCTTGATGCTTTGAATACCACAGTTCGAGGTGTTCTTCACACCATCTCCATTCAGATCAAACTGTGTATGGTCATGACTGTTCACCATCTCATATGTCTCGTCATCTCACTCTTCTTCCTCTGGAGATAGTGGAGTGGACACTACGCTAGCACATCTGGTGTTGCATATACTCCGAGTTTTGAAATGCCATGGGCATAGTTCACTTTACACTCATTGATGATTGCACCACTGCATTGGTTATTTAGAGTGTAGAACAGATGAGGATCGTAGAGCAACTCTCACACTTTTTTGTCATTGCCTGCTTTGTTTCTCCATCAGATTGTCTCCTTCCAATAATTGTTTCAGTCCTACGATCATTGTCAACATATAAACAGAAAGAGAAAAATGATCATATACCTTTCTTGCTTCGATAGACAGATTTTGCAGATAAGCCTACATATTTTCTTGATGCTATAGAAATATGGTGAGCTGTCTTTTCATAAAAATCACTGAGGATGCATTGTCGAACATTAGACCTGGACAGCTATCGAGACGGTAAGTGTTCTGAGATGTCTTCATCATCGCGAAGTGGGTGTACAGCCAGTCCTGGAGCCAAATCCCAGCTGGGGAGGCTGACGTGTTCACTTTGATGGTTAGCAATGGTGAAGGATCTGTTACAGATCACCGTAGATAAAGATAGACAAACTAAAACCCCAGTCCCTCAAAGGGTACTCTGGAGTAGAAGACCAGATGGTCTGTACAATGAGCCCATCAATGAGCAAGCCCCTTCAGTCAACACTTATACTCACTGGTGTATTGTGGTGAAGCTGAGTGGCGAGCAAGGCTATGATGCGTGAATAGATGTATTAGATTGGTTAGGCCTGTAGTAGCTGTCACGGTGGACGAAGGAGAATAAGACTGAGGTCTGTCTCCCATCCACCCTGATCTTATATACATGTGAGGAGTGCTACTGTATAGTACTTACATAAGTACCTTCCATAATGCCCATTGGCTAGCACTACCATCGTGAAATGTGTTTCTAATAATATGATTGGTGCCTATGAATAGTGCGGCATGACAAAGCTCTGAGTGGCGCTACCTGAGTCATTCGATGTGGATGACCGAAGCTGAGATATGCTAACTGAGCGACTTAGTCAGGGTCAGTGCTGGGGCTGATGGCCAATGGTCGAGTCATGCGATGTGTAAGATGAAATGAAATGATAAGTGTAAACTAAGTGTTTCTATCTATATTCTATATAGGTTGTCTGGCAAAATTGTGACAGGATCGAATAAATGAATCTGGATTGATGTGAATGTTATATGTCACAGAAAGCTGCGAAAACATTGTGTGAGCAAGTTACAATGTTGCTCAGGCCATCCACGAGATGTGTTCAACAGGATCCATCACGAGCTGTCCATCTTCAGCCAGGTTGGGGTGATTGGTCCAGGACCTGATCTGGGGAACACCATGCTCATTCAGGGAAAGGTTACAACTGTTAAAGAGAATCAAATTAGTGTTTACGATACATGGTTAGTTGGATGCCTGGACTTACTTGACATCCGTAATGTCAGGGATGATATATAGCAGCTCATTAGAGTTGGGTAATGCCACAATAGGCAAAGCTGCCATGGTGTGCTTTGATGAGCCTTTGATGATTGCACTGGATGGGTATCCTATGGTGGTGAATCTGTATGTTCAAAACAGAGGTTCCTCTCTTGCAGGAGCGACGGGCATTGTTCCACTGTGATCTATGTGCTCCATGAAGTAGATGACATGACTAGGGCTGAGAATGAAGTATATGCCTAGACCAGGAAAAATAGTTCCTTATCACATCCTGATGACAAAGCTGAGCCACATGTCATGCACGACATTCCTATGACACTGTTGAAGTTGTCGCGGTGTTTTTTTGTCAAAAACTCCCATCGACTTGTCAAGTTCATTTGCTGAATGTGACCATTAAATGAGATACCGATAATGTCATCAGAGCTGTCACTTACCACTATTATCCACTTGGGCAGAAGTGAGGTTCAATTGCCATGATGTAAAGAATACATTGTCTGGACATCTAATGTGTGGAGTGTTGATCATATTAGTGTAATCTTGCAGATTCTTGACCATCTCTGGAGGCCTCTTCCTCAGAAACTGATCTGTTGCATACACAGATATGGTCTGCAATTGCACCTTAAGTATATACCTGCAGTGTCACATAGGTAAGAATGAGCATCTTCAAGAAACCCTGTTGCATCTGTAGGTGTGGATCGTCGATATTTTCATCGTAAATCTTACCGTTTACCATGGGCACATTTGCCAGGTGAGGCTTTTCAACCAACAATCTGCATGGATGGCACCGTGTACCACTAATAATCAGTTTTGCTCGACCATCTCATTCGAATGCTGTGACATCTTTTGTGCAGCATTCACGAGAACCCAAGATCTGCATTCTTCATTCTTTGAATGCAACCTGAAGTGTAGCACTTGGTGAGGTACTATCTTGTCATCTAAGCATCATGCACAAATGTGGTAATGTTCATATGTACTCAGATGACACGAACACGATAACTGCATCATCCATAGAGTTCCTCTCTCTATCCTGATCCCTACTCATGATTCACGTGCTAGATCCTATCTCAAAATAACCTGCACAGCATTTAAGATCATTGAATGACTTCCGCAAACATTTGCTGGTGAACCTGGATAGCTCCTATCCATATGAGCCAGCTTTTCTAGAAGTATTCCCAAATCCTTCACTCTTTTCAATTCCATCTTTTTCTCTTCATCTGTCCCACCACCATATGATGATCGTCTTTCCACACGGGACACCGACAGAATGAAGTGGATGATGACCATCATATTCATAGAGTCTTGGAAGAGATTCATCTCAGCTCTGAATATCGAGTGGCACAAGCAACCGATGAGCTGGCAAAGGTTCCATGATCGAAGTGAGCATATAGCGGGTGCTGCCACTGAGAGATAATGAAGACATTCACCATGTGCAGCAACCAAACAGGAGTGATCGCTAGGGGGGGTTGTTGATCGTCTCATTAGTTCTGTTTGAATTCACGCAATAACATCCGCAAAATAATTTAAATGTATATTGTATCAAGATACGTCAAAACCAGTATAAGACCAGCAGGTTTGCCATCCGTTCGCAACATTTACTGACCGTTCACATCAAAGCCTGACTATCTGCATGAAAGATAGGCAGTGACACATTTCTTGCTAGCTAAATAGCGGCAAATTATGACGTCTGTCATTTGTGCATCTAGCCAGTTGCATGAACAGTAAATGTCATCATTTGCAGTTATTTTATCTTTTCCCACACTCCACGCAGGGTGGCTAACAGAGCAAAAAGGCTGTGGTGCATTTGTTGATGACCACATTATGACGTTTACCATTCGTGCAACTAGCTAGTTGCACGAATGGTAAACGTCATAGTTTGGGGTTATTTGCACCTTTTGCATATAGTGGCCGATGAGGATGAGGGGAAGGGAAGCGTTACAGCATTTGCTGAAGATGCGTTTATGCCACGCATCCTGGGCTCCTCATCATTCAGCTGAGCTGGTCATCAGTGAAAACCTTGGAGCTGTGCTTCAGCTTACCTATTTCTTCACTGCTCTCATTGTGCCATCTTGATCGTGATACTGCTGCCTCGTACCACACAGCATTGTCTTTCTAGATAAAATCATTTTCTCTGTCGATGGACGTTGCCAGTGCTGTTGAAAAGGTTTTATAGAGCAAAAGCTGGCAGTGAGTAATGGATTGTCATCAGGGGTTCGATGTGATGTTTGTTTCGTAGCACTCAGTGGAGGAGTCATATGGGGAGGAAGGGTCGCTCTGTCTTCAGGAGTATGAAAGATGGCATTTATACTGCAGTGGAAAATGTGCTCCTCACATTGCCCAGGGTAGGGACATCCAGGGAAGGCTTTGAGCGAGAAGAGGGAAAAATTGTGGCAACCAAACAATGCCACATTATGATGTTTACTGTTCGCGCATCTAGCTAGCTGCACGAACAGTAAACGTCATAATGTGGCTTTATTTGCGCATTTTGACCTCAGCAGCCACAATTGATTGAACCAGCCACTGGTCACTAGATTCTGTTATGATGGATTACAAGTTTTCTCCTGGAAAATGTTGCTTGCATCAATGTGATGTATTGTTGTATGAGTGCAATCATTTTTGCATGTCATGCTTGTCATCATCGTCAGAAAGTTTCACTGCCACTCGACGCGGTTGGATTTCCTTCATCACTCCATTGATTTCTCATATGCGTGCACTCATTCATTCTTATCTTGCTCGAATGCTATCTTGTTTTTGCAGTTGCTGATCACATCACTGATACAACTGAATTTAGTACGATTTCTCACCTTGCCACTCATTGAAATGAAGTTTATGGTCCACAGTTATTCATGTCTGATATGAGAAGATCACTTCAAATGTGCTGATTTCATCTCTTTGCAGAACAATGTTACCTGGTGAACACTCTCATTCTAAAGATGAATCCACGTGAAGCCTTTTCATGTGCTGCTCGCCTCATCAACTACAACCTTCTCCTCATCCACGTTATAACCAAATGTGTGCTTAAGTCACCTGCAAGCCTGTGTACGACCTGCGATCATGTCTTCTGCTAATTTTTGATGCAGATCCTGGATGAAAATGAATGATGTATGGTTTGTTTTTCGAATGCATTCCACGTATGTGTTCAACACATCTATCTATTATGCAGATTGATACCAGCTTGCTGATGAGCCTAAGCGTATCTTTGCCAGTGCGTATCATCCAGTACGATACTTGCAGTTTGACTAGATGTCCCAGCTGTATTGATGACAGATTTATGTGAGATATCTTTGCGATACCTCTGCTGATGCTATGTTATAATTCAAAAGGAGAAAGAATGACTTACTGATGAATGCATCGCTCATAATACCCCACTTGATTGTCTTGCAGGTGCAAACAGTCCTGACCTTGATGGCACATAGAGATACTGAATGGGTCGACGTTGACAGGCAGTGATAGAGTTGGGCCATTATGCAGATTTCTTTTAGAGGTGAAGAATCGATTAGAGAATTGCATAGAAACACTGTCATTCCAGTTCTCTGACTGCCATGGTTGTAGCGTGAGACCTGATTGGTTTTCTGAACATAGCTGGTGTATCGATAACGCTCCTCGCAGATAATCGTCAAAAGGTTTCAAGCCAACAGTGAGCGTGACCGCCTGATGAACATTCAGGATATGTCGAGGCAGTTTATTGCATGAAATGTGAGCATTATAGATGCACGGCTGTATATGTGGACCTACTGAGAGTTGTTCACGATAGGTGAAAGATCTTTACTGCACATGTAACCCAATACATACAATACCACCTCCTCAGCATTGTCTGGTGATGATTTTCTGGTAGACCATATCAAGTCAGCTCCTCGATAACTGTTGCCCTTTTCTGCCTGAAGCTTACAAGTTTGTGGACCAGTTCCATCCACCTCGTACAGGTTTAGTTGCGACTCTTCATGGCGAAAAAGCACTCACATCTGCAGACCCTGTCAGATTCTTGTCTCCAACCTCTGCGTGATGTTCATCCATGTACTTCTTGAGAGTGCAGCTGCCACTCTGTCAACATTTCTGCTCCCCAGTCAATAAATCATATGTCTCTCTCTTCTGCTGCAAGAGTTCTAAAGCCATGGCATTGGGAGCAGTGTTCACCTGTGGACATTACCCTCTACTTGGCTGAATGGTCCATTATTTGGAGAAGATTCATCTTCAACTGGTTCTCTCCGTGCGGATGTCATCATGATTGTGTTCTTTATTTCCGTGTCCTCTCCTCCTGTGTGTCAATTGGCTTTTGAGAATCGCTTATCAGATGCCACTAGCTGTGTCTGGGCCACACTCAAATAAGGGCTTTGCCATGTATTTCACATGCCCTACCGTGTTTCAGAGGTGCGATTGAGGAGCATAAACTGTATGAGACTGCGGGCATCTGGAAAATCTGTCTACCACTTGAATATTAGTTTTACCGAACACGGCTGGCATTGAAGACCCATTTAAGCTGCTCTATCGTACATAGAAGCAACTCATTTACACTGCAGGTGGCTGTATGCACCCGGCACTGCAATTGCACAACATGGTCAGTTTTGAGACAGATCACTTTTCAAAGTGGGAACTCCTTTGTAGGCTCACATTCTGTAGTGTTTATCTTAGCAGCAGGTGAACATTGACGATTCTCGTTGCACTGCCAAAGAGCCAAGAAAGATCACACTCATAATTGAACTCTGAGATCACACTATCGCATTCGCCCATGTGCCCTGATTTTCTGATGGACAGAAACTGTGTTTTTCCTTTGTACCATTCATGAGACATTCCGGGGCTCATCACGGTCTCCCTGTATGGTACAATCCCGATATTTACTGGCAGGTAGTCAGAGAACAAGTCTTCCATTGGATCTGACATTGGTCAGGGGTACTGAAGGCAAAGAAAGCAACCTTTAATATCACTGTCATCCTTCTCAACGATGATTTGAGGAAAGACCTCTGCCACTCAGTGCTCCTTCTTTAAGATGATTCTCTTGGTCTGGTTCTAATACTTCCCATAGTCGACGTGGAGGAAAAGCATCGGGGAGGAGCAACTGACCAACTCCCATTTCTCCTGAAACAATCAGTGACTCTGAGAAGGAGTACATGTGATTCCTAGTTTTCAGGATGTCTCACCAGACCTACTCCACCTCCCAAGTCTGCTCCATGTGTTTCCTGTATGCTTATTTTAAGCTTTCAATGTTCTAATGCCTGTACCTAGATTGACGCCAATGAGACGAAAGGCACAGTACGTTGGCTATGTTTTATGTTGATTGCGTTCGATCTCACATGCTTCAAGTGTCACTATATCCATGGGCAGTGGTGCCCCCAGCAGCATGAGGTCGAAATGGTAAGTGTTCTGTGTGAATCTATTCAACCATCGCTCCACCTGCATTTCAGGAATGCAGAAAGAGGCAAAGATGCCAGTCGTGAGGCTGTCCAATCGTGAGTGCTGGAGTTGAAATCCAGATGCATTATTCACCATCGTACAGATCGAATGAGGGATCTGATTGTGATGCCCCAGATAATCATGAGTGAGTGTCGACAGTCATGATAACTTCCATCTCAGTCGCGTTCAGCTCTGATGAGGTGATGAATGAAAAGGGAAGGTATGCAGTGAGAGATGATCCTGCAACTCTGAAAAGAAGGTATGTCTGCTTTCTATGTGTCCCCATCAGCCACTTATGATGCATCTTCATGCCAGGATGACCATTCCAACACCTTTTGAGACACCCATGATGCCCACCCCCAGTAAGACTTATGGCCATCCAAGGGGTCATCCAAGGGGTCATGCATGCGATGTTACAAGATCGCAGAACTTGTAATTGATCTTTATATCTTGAAATGCTTCCTCCTGACCCAGTTTCTCATAGTCAGTCATGGTCAGAAGATGGGTTTGACAAGTTGGTTTTCTGACAACAGAGTCCAAAATGTACCATTCACGGTGTCTTTTACAGCCCCTCACCCAACAAGTGTTTCAAAGCAATAGTGTAAGCCACTTTCTTTGTTTTATTGTGGATTAATGTACTGATAGTTGTCGTGCCTCCAGCATCTCTTTCGATAAAGAGAAACAGAACTCTGACAAATCTAAGGTGCGCAGAGAGGATGAGTCAGCTATCGACTTCATACGGAGGCAGAGAGAGTACATACATCGTGCGTAACATAATATTGATGGGCAAGATATAATGTATCATCACAGTAAGAATCCAATGTTCAGCCTCATGGCTAATCTGATCGACCAGAGAGATGAGCTGGACCGTGAAATTGAGAGGCTTAAAATGCATTCACCGTGGAAGAAGTACGTTTCTCTATCACACGTATGAGTGTGTCATTTTCCATTGACACCTGTTCTGCACAATTACTAGGCAATCTGTGAATGACTTCATCGATATGAGGTGGAGAAAAGTGATGAAGGTACAGATGATGGACGGTGGGTTTACATAAAAACTTGATGTAATGTTGACATTCAATTTTTCCTCAGGCTCAATGACAATGAGGCTCTGAGTGAAGATGACTCGCTGACTGGATTTATTGTCGATGATGAGTAGGTATCATCGCAGATCTTTTTGTACATAATTGACAGAAAAATACTAGGATTGACGGCCTTGTTCAGAAGGCAATCACACCACAACAGGACACCAATGCATGCATATCCTCTAGGTATGTGTTTTCTGGCAGCCGCTGTTCACATCTTACATCTCAGCAGAACATCTAAGATTCCCAGTGCCAGAAAGGTTGACGTGGATGACCCGTACACACCCTCTTTTTAGTTGAGGTAGAATAAATGTAAATCATTTTCTAGGAAGGTGACGAAACACAACAGCAAAAATGTCAAGTTACCCTTTGTGGTCGAGGAGTACATCTTTTAGTTTATGTCCAGGACATGCCATTGACCTTTCTCTCAGTGAGCATCCTACATCGAAGGGTCACAAGGATAAGAAAAAAGCTGAAGAGAAAGTATACGTACAATTCGTTCAATTTTTGGTCCCGTGTTGATGCAGTATGCAGGGTAAAGATTCAAGGCAAAAAGAAGGAAGATCCTCCTAGGTCATTGGATCGCTCCTTGTGGGATTTTTCATTGAAAAATACTTACGCCAACATCCTTTATACTCCATAAGTTATCATCACATGCTACACCTTATTATAGGTTGATAGTATGCCCTCAGAATTATTCATGTAGATGGTGCTACACTGAAGCCAGTTCTACTCACACAAGCATTGACCATCGTGAAAAATCTGGTGTATGCTCAGTACGTCTCCTGCTATATTGGTTTCGCTCAGGATATTGACCTATACTTTTAGAGGTATCATGGAGCTGATGACAACAGCTGAACTGTGGCCTGGGCAGGTCATGTTCCTGGCTGTGTCCACCCAAACAAGGTCCAAAATCTTCGTGGATCACTCTGTTTCTCTCATTCCATTACAAAAGGCCATGTGCATGACCTTCGGTATAGCTCAAGTCACCAAATCGCATATGTTTATGTCGTCGAAGGGAGAAATGCAGATTAATGAGTTTCACATTGTTCCCATCATGCAAGGATTGAGCTTGCACTAGGATTTTATGGGATGCTCTTTAGCCACGACATCAAAGATGGGGGTGAAATGAGCGTTAAGAATATTCGCTTCAGCGCATTTGGGGACATGTCATTCAGTACACGCATGTCTCACACAGAGTCCAATGAGATGTCTAGCAGCTGTAAGCATCATTTTATTTTCATGTTCTTATTTTGAGATCCGTCACAGACAATGCCAAGCTGACGGTGTTGCTCGGTGAACACTCCACATCTCTGAGAAAGGCTGGACCATCCATGCACTCTTCGCCATCTGAGGCGTTGCCTCTTTTTCCTAAGCCGGTTCTGGGTAATCTCGCCATTGGTGATACCGGTACGCACACCGCCAGCGACTTTATCCATTCCTCTCACAATGGTTTTTTCTAGTTCTGGTGTTTGATGCACCCACTACTTCCAGCGAAGACGAGACGCCTCACCTCCTTTCAACCTCCAAGATGTGCCCACTACATGTCTTTGCTCAAGACAGAGCTGCTGATTGCACGTTGGTAGCGGTTCTGCACATGGCTAATGTCTGGAACAGGGCGGATTGGGGTGATACTATGTCGTTCAACATCTTGAGTGTGCTGTTGTTGCTGTTCCCTAAATCGTAAATGTGTCTTTCCTGAATTGTTATCTCCCACGACTTCATGTCAATGAATAAAATCTCCTCAGTGAAAAGTAGTCCTCACACTTTTAAGATGAGGCCGCATTGAGATGTCTCGTCAAGAAAATATTGTCCATGCATTGCAATCGTTTTTCCTGATCTTAAAAGGACGCGACCCTGTTTCTCCTCTGAGATTCTCGCTAATCACAGAAAATACTCTCGTCAATGGAACCTTTAATTTCAAATATCAGTGATTTTCCGACCCGTGGATATATTCGGAACGTCGACCTCACGCCCTTTCTGTTCTTCGTAACTTTCATCCCCTGCTTGAAAATGAAAAACTCACATTCTCAAGCCTCTTTATGGCCTCGAGTTGTATTGTGGGTGCAAATCCTGCTGCTGCTTATATGGCAGAATCCTCTTGCAGCTCCAAATGTGAGCGTTGATGTTTCTTGGTGACTGCTGGTCGACGCATTGAAGCAACTACAGGATGACGGTGGACGTCCTTAAAACCTATTCCATGCTACTCTGCGGTGGAGCCTTGATGAGCACTTCCTACAAAAGTCCCTTACTCCAGGATTATGATCGCTCGAGTACAATGAGCTTCCCAAACCCGATTTCACCACTCTCGAGGAGCATGTATTCTGCGTATGAAATGTTTCCTCTATACCAAATGGCTGACCTTTCATATGAATTGATATTGGGAAATGCATCGTCATCACATTGTTTCACGTTCACCGGGTCTATTGCCCGAAGCTACTCATGGTTACAATGATGCTCGATGGTACATGTTATCATTCATCCACATATAATTTTCACCACCTATCCTTTGATTGCTACTTCGGCAAGGAGATTCACTCCTGGTGTGATGCCTTGCTCGGTCCTATTCAACATCACATAATCCACTCACTATTTCAACCCGTTGTTCCATCGCTGCACCAGGTTACTCTGATAAAAACCCTGTTGTTGAGGTATGTGACCAGACGTCACGACTTCTCGTCTTTGTTCCTACAAAGTCGAACATCATTGCAAATCAACTGACAAATGGACATTTGTGCTCCTCACATTTTCCTAATCATTTATGAACTCCACTTGCATTTCACAAACCATGATCCTTCATTGCTCAGTGGATGTTCAAAACGTGGGCGCGTTTATCGATGGACTGCAGAAGAGCTCCAGACATTCATTCTACCTGACATGCGTGTAGACTGTTCGCGTAAATACGAGTATCAAGGATACATCGTGAAAACTCCTTCAGATTGTTCTGAAGATGATAGTACTATCTACGCATATGTCTCATTATCTGTGTTGGCATCAAAGCTGTCCAAAGAGTCATTGATCTCTGTATGTTCCGCTCATTAGATCTATGTCTTACGAAGTAAATCATCGAGAAAACAAGTACGCGCTCTGCTCCTGGATCACAGCTGCGCGTCATGTCCCAAACTCTTTTCGATATTTACATCTAAGATCACATTAACAAGCACGGAACGGTCTCAAAAAACTCGACTCAAGACGAAGAAGACAAAGATGGTCAGTTTTCCTTCATCTCCTCCAGCAGAAGATCTGTTCGCTCAAACAATCAATGGCTTTTGTGAAGACATCAACAAGGACAAATTCTTGAAATCTGCTTGTGCGGTGTGCATCTCACTTCAACTCTCTCCAAACTGTCAGATTGTGACGTAGACCTTCGAATACTAATGCCCACTACATAAGCGATGACCAGAAAGGAGCGAGGAAGTATCCAAGATCCAATAGTGGAGCTGAAAAGACCAGTCATTCTATCAACTTGTGATCACATTTGTGCAAAATATCTACGTGATCTTGACTCACGACGGATGCGCTAGTTAATGGCCTTTGGATTGGAGAGATCCCTTCTCAATTGCGAGATCTAACCTGATGTGAGAAAATGCTTATATCAAGGGTCAAGCACAATTACTGCATAATTCAGATCAAGGTATGTGCCAATGTCATATGCCATTTTGTGCCAATGCTCAAGATTTAGTGAAGCTTGCCTTCTAGCCAGGAAGAGCTTGATGAAGTCCTCGCATTCATATATATCAGACTTGCAAACCTACGGGTAAAGAATTTGTCAGGACACCATTTTTAGTAAGGCATAACAAGGTTGCTGAAGCGTTGGAGTGGTTAAAGCTAAACCACGAAGATTACGCAGACTTGAACATCTCCTATGAGAATCTTGATGCCTACCCAGCGAATGTTCCTTCTGTGATCGTAGACTATCATGATGGATATATGAACAAGGCTCCAGAAGCTACTGCGGTAAACCATGTGGATCCGGATGAAGGTATCACGGAAGGTCTCTGTCCATTCACCATTCACGGTCTCACCAGGGATGCCTACGTCAACCTCTTAAATGATGATTATTAATCAATAAGGACAAAGGCTATTTGTCAGTTCGAAAAGAGCAAGGTTCTGGGTGTTGGTCAAGAACAAAATTCTCAAAGCTTATATCATAACCCTCAACTGTATCCTCATGTTTCCTGGCTATTTTCATATGGCTTGGGAGGCCTAAACAATGATCGTGGATCAAAATGGGTGTCCGAGTCCAAAAGAAAGCAACAGTTGCTTATGTATCATGATAAGTGTTTCCAACTGGAACCTTAATTTTCTCTCGTCACTTTAACCATAAACAGATTAAAAATGCGACCACCACTGGGTTTTTGCTCATCAAAAAACAAAATTTTCATGAGATTGCAAACAGAATCGTCAACTTGCCTTTGGCCACTTTGGAAAGTCTGATAACTCAACTCACAAATGGTCGCGTAAAGCCTGAAAGTGATGAAGAGAAGGAGTGTTTCAAAATGTTCAAAATTATCAATGACTTGCAGCCAAAGTGCAAGGATCTTTGACAAACTGAAAGTGAATGCGAAATGAAATATAGGCACTGACATCTTATCTGGGTGTGGAACAGTTGAACAGCAAGGATGCCTAATGTTGCATATGCATATGATGATATGAATTAAGAACTGTTTAAGTCCTCAGCAGATCTAAGAAAGAATTCTTCATCACAACTCCAGTTTTTAGAGAGAGATAGTAGAATACCTTGAGAGTGTACATGTAGGGGAATTTCAGAACAGAACAATGGAGGACATTCACCAGCACATCGATAAGTTGAATGCAAAGGAAGGACATGTTCCCCTGCCCAGACCCGTGCCTGTTCAATGTACAGAAAAAAACTGCCACCACTGTCAAAAGTGCACCACCTGGAAAAAGTGGTGGAACAAACAGTCTCTTGAGGTGGATAAGCTCATTTATCTTTCAAATCATCATCAATGTCTTCACAGATGCAAGGATAACAAGTATGGGACCTCAAGGCCCATTTCTCTTGAACAACTTATACAGAAACTACAGTCGATCCTGAAACAGGAGCTCTCGATATGAAGAAGGGTGAAGCGTGATTTAACACACTCACTCCAGTTGTTACGTATCTTCTTTGATGTAACACGGACGTTACAAGTCTCATGTTAGGAACTGCGATCAAATCAGTTATCGCTAATGTAACTGACTACATCATGAATACCCCTCTGAAATTGCATATAATGTTTGAGATGGTCCGCAAGGTATTCGATAGAAGTGAGACCCTTATAACTGGAAACACGGACAGAATACAGAAAGGCCACATGTTGTTGACAAAAATTGTTAATGCTTTGACGGCTGGTGAGGAGATCAGCGGACTGATGGCCTATTTGTATCTCTTGAAGCATGAAGATCACTATACGAACTACTCTTTTAATGTATGCATGTGAAAAAGTTTCATGAGAGAAGTACGTACAGCCTGGCAGGATGAGAATCTAACTGTTGAAGCAAAAATATTCACCGATCCAGAGGCTCCGAAAAAAGTTATATTGAGTCAAACTTAAGGCAAGTTTGTACCACTCTCTGCCGTAGATGATTACATATATAGATTTTCTATCTTTAATGGAATGTGCCTGTACGATTGAACACAGCGAGCAAAGAAAGAGTCACAGAAGTTTGCAAATGATGCTTCTGATCATGACTCGTCCCCAAAGTCTATGCGACTGTTCATCGATGATGAACAACGATGCCTAGAGCCTGAAAATGAAGAGGATGAACTTCTTCTCAGATCATCTTTGCACAGAACATCAGTTTGCAGTGTGAGAGATGAAGAAAGTGAAGATGAGCTTGTGCTTGAAAAGGAAGAGAATGAAGAAAGCTTTTCTGAGGTAATCTACTCCGATGAAGAAGAAGGTTGTAAAGAACAGAGTGACGGTGATGATGAGCTGCTGCTCACCTGTCATAATGCAAAAACATTTCAGGCAGATGAGAAGGCACATATTGCTGACCGTCAACTCGAACCTGCATGCTTTTTACATGCTCACCCTCAATATCCATCTAAGAAAGTAAGGTTGCTGCCTAAGGATGAGAGCATGATTCCCAATTTCATTGGTGGTGCACTGCCTCATAGAGATAGCAGCAATCGAGAGAGTACTGCATGACCATGCTAACCTTATTCAAGCCCTAGAGGTCAGGACAAGACCTTAAACCTGATCGTATGATGTTGTGGAATAAGGCATTTGAGCAGCATCATTTTATAGACAGACAGAGACAGGTCATGGACTATATGCACATCAGATATGAGTGTAACGATGACAGAGACAATTTTGCAAAGTTAAGAAAAGCGAGCGCAAAATTTGAAGGTATGCCATTTGGCATGAACAATGATGATATGGAGGCACTCGATGATGGTTACCGAATATATGATAATGCTGATGAGATTACGGCAGACCGGCAGACTATGATGTTCTAGGCAATGTTTCTGAGTCAGATAACTTGGGAACTAAAGCTCAATTGCACTTCACACATGATGCACACAGAAAATATCATGCACATTCTGAATGGATGGACCATCTTCCTGAAGGCTGTGATGCTGTGGAAGTGCATTTACCATCTACTGCATTTTTTGATGGAAAGGGACACATGGCTTCAGGGTGATAATCACTTCTTGCTGACCGAAAGCAAAAAATCATACAGTCTCTGACTGATCAAGCAGTTGCAAACAATGTTGTTGACAAGGCAACTGGAGCTGCAGTAGAAAAATATGTAGATGTGGTCAAAGTGATTGATATATATTATCTGGAGAAAGGTTCCAAGGCAAAAGAGCAAAAAGACCAAAAGCTCATCGACAATACTAGCAGCCTCTTCAATCTAAACAAAAAAACAGGAACATGCATTCAGAATTGTTGCCAATCATGCCACAGATCCCAGTGGAGAACAGTTAAAGATGTACCTCAGTGAGATGGCAGGAACAGGTAAATCACAGGTCATAAAGGCATTGATTCACTTCTTCAACGAACAAAAAGAGGGTTACCGATTTCTCTGTATGGCCCTGACTGAATCTGCTGCTGCTTTGATTGTCAGCTCAACATACCACTCTATACTAGGAATGAGCAAGTATACTTCAGAATTGTTGGTGTGTCAGTGCCGGTTCTAAATAACAGGTGGGTGTTCAAATGTTCCATTACACAGGAGGCAGTCATAGGTAAGTGAGAATCACAGGTGGATGTGTGTATGTCTAGCTAATCTGAATTACGTCATGGTATAAGACTGCCATCCTATCACAGGTGCCAGCAAAGACAACGGGCTCTTTGATCGTCACAGTACAGTCATTGCAACAGAGTGCATTACCCATATGCCAAGACACGGCAGTGTCATCTGATGAATGCATCGAGTGGTATCAAAAAAAAGGTTCAAACACCCACGATCGCAGAAGAATCGTTGCTGCCTGAGGCAGCTCCATCACCGACAAGGTGAATTGGTGACATCGTAAGAGGGCATGATTGATTAACTAAAGAGAATCATTCGAGCAGCCATTCAGATACAGACGATTCAGCAAAAGTCACACCAATGTGGTGAGGCCCATCGCAAGGAAAGTCGAAGACAGAAGTGTAGGAGGGCATGACAACGAACATCGATGAGCTTTCCACGCACTACACAGCCCATCCAATGAACGTTGTCCTCGTTCAACGTCGACGTTGTGTATACACGTTAACTCCTGAAATGTGCGAAAAGGAAGACGAGCGACGAGAAAAGGTAACGAAACATCGACAGCAACAGATCGAATTTGTTCATCCCAACCAGACGTGAAACTGGTCCTTTTCACCTCGCACCAATATAAAGCACCATAATGCAGAGCAAGCATCGAATGAGATCCTAGCACAACAACAAAAGCCTCCAGCTCCTCAGTTAATATAAGACTGACTGATAGGAAGCGTCGCTGATGGCTGAAATGAATGAAGTCGAGCAGTGCGAACACGCACCAACAATATCGATAGCCTCAGTGATTGCACCAAGGATAAATGTGATGAATGCATTCAAAAGCAATCCTCTGCAGCAACGTCGTCAACAACCCATCAGAGGAGATGCAAAAAATGATGCTCACCTCCACCGAGAAAATCGCCTAGCAATACAGCAAAAGCACAAGAAAAGCGCAGCAATTTGTATGAACATTATATGTTGCAGTGAACTTTCCAATGCTGCTTTGTTTATATTTTTAGCCTATGTTGATCCCAAGATATTTGATACTCTTTGAGGGCCACTCTTATCACCAGTTTTGTGGCACATATTCAGGTTCTACAAAACTCATACTTTCAGTACTTGGTATAGCCTCCCTTTGCCTTCACAACTGCATTCATCCTCCTTGGCATACTCTTAATCAGATTCTGACACACTTCCTTCCCAATAGCCTCCCATTCCTTCTCTACCCTTTTCCACAACTCAGTAATTCCCTTTGGTGGTTCCTGATACTCTGCAAGCTTCTTTTTAAGGTGACCGCACAAATTCTCTATGGGATTGAGATCTGGGGATTGAGAGGGCCATAGCATGGTGTTGAAATCATGGTCTTTGAACCAATTCTTGACCTTCTTGCTGGTGTGCTTGAGGTCATTGTCTTGCTGGAACACCACATCCTCCACATTTTGCCCCAATCCTCCAGGCTATTTTGCAGCTCATCCTCCAGAATGCTGACATAAAGGTCTGCATCCATCCTGCCCATACAGCCCCACATCATCAAGAATCCACCTCCAAACTTCTGAGTCCCTTCCACCAACCTATCACTGAGGCTCTCCCCTGGCTTCTTCCACACCCATTTCCTTCCATCTGACCCCATCCTGTTAATCTTTGTCTCATCTGACCATACCACCCTTCTCCAGTCCTCTACAGTTCAATACTGGTGAGCCAAAGCGAAGTCCATCCTCTCCTTCTGATGCCTTGCAGAGAGTAAAGGCCTTTTTTGCTTCACTACAGCCTTCATTCCTGCCTTCTTCAACCCTCTTCACACTGTATCTGCATTGACAACCCTCTCAGTAACATCTGCAAGAGCTCTGGCCACAGCAGGAGATGTGGTAGCCTTGCCAGTCCCAATGAGTCAAGTAGCATAGTGAAGATTGGCAGTAGTTAGAAGGGAAGGATGCCCTCCTTTGGCCTTAGGAATGGTGGGGCAGTGTGTGGAGCACAGTTTACTGATGATAGAAAAGTGTAGCCCAGTCAAAGCTTCAATTTCTCGAACAAATTTGCCATTCTGAAGCAAAGCGATGACATGGTTGACAGTTTCAGTAGCAACAGCTTTTGGCATGATGTTGGTTGAGTGTGAAGAGTTGTGTATGGCTGTTTGTACATTTTTCATGTTGAAACATGATCATCCAATCAATATTATCACAAGGAACCCTGTCAACACATCAAGAATCACAATATTCTGAGAACTTGTGCGTGCATCACAAAACTGTTGATAAGAGTGACCCTCAAAGAGTATCAAATATCTTGAGATCCACATATGCTAAAAATATAAACAAAATTGCATTGTAAAGCCATGCTAATAAGCTTTCAAATGAGCTTTTATGACATTTATTTGACCCAGTGGTTGAGGAGATATTTATCATACAAGTTGAAGTAAGCAATCTTATCAACAGTTTTGTGGGTCACTGTACCACTCTATACTAGGAATGAGCAAGTGTACTTCAGAATCAGCTACCAGCCTTCTTCAAGTGAGAGCATGTCTTCAGTGTGTCGAGTATATTTTTTTAGATGAGGTGTCAATGGTGGACTGTCACAACTTGTACAAAATATGTTCAAGGATGTGCTCAGTGGTAAAAAATGAGGAAAAACCATTCAGAGGAATAAACATGATTTTTTCAGGAGACTTTGCAGAGCTTCCCCCTGTGGGGTCAGGACATTCATTGTACTCTCATAAAGTAAGATCAGTACTGCACACCACCAGCAGTCATTATGAACAAGAATCATCCATAGACAAGGCACTTTGGCATCAGTTCACCACCATGGTAATTTTGAGAGAGAATATGAGGTAAAAGCAGCAAACTCCTGACAATGCGAAAGGCTTTGGAAAACCTCCTGCATCCAGGCAGACATACAGCATCTGAAAAGATGTATAGCAGATCATGCTGCAGATAAGCCAAAGTTGAATCAACTGAGATTCAGAAATGTCTCGATCATCACAGCCTGGAATGCTTACAGAGACAAAATAAATGAGCTCGGCTGTGCCTGCTTTGTCAGAGAGACAGAACAACAACTGATTACATTTTATTCTCAAGATAAGTGGAGATCAGATGCAGAGAAAAAGAGGAGAAAAACAAAACATGCCACTGTAAATCCACAGAGGTCAACTAACGTGATAGATTCTGAGACTCAATGGGTTTTGTGGAATCTCCTCCACGATTGCACTGATAACCATCCTGGTAAATTAACCCTATGCTCAGCATGCCAGTCATGATTAAGACCAATGAGGCTACAGAGTGTTGCATGACCAATGGTGCAGAGGGTGTAGTGGCTGGGTGGAAGGCAAGACCTCTGGAGGATAATAAGCTGGCCCTGGACACACTCTTTGTTCAGCTAACCTCTCCTTCTACACCTATCAAATTGGATGGGCTACCAGAAAATGTGGTCTCCATAAGTCATCAGCCCATGAAAATCACTTGCATCATGCCAAATGATCAGATGGTCACTATTGTAAGAGATCAGGTGGCAGTCATACCTAATTTTGCAATGACCGACTTCACCTCTCAGGGTCACACCAGGCCTGACAACGTGTATGATCTCCAAAACTGCAGGTCTCACCAGTCCATATACACATGCCTTTCTAGAGGATCGATATACGAAGGGACCATAATTGTTCAAGGCTTTGATGACCATAAACTGATGGGAGGCATCTCCAGTTTACTCAGGCAAGAATCTAGAGACCTTGAACTTCTGGACAAGATCACAAACCTTCGATATAATAAGAAGTTGCCAGACATAGTTCAAGGTGTAACTAGAAATCCTCTCATAGTATCCTATAGATCATGAAAAGGGACCCAGTACATCCCCAAAACAATGCACAGGTCTCTTAAGTGGTCTAACAAAGACCCATACCCACTGAATGACCCAGAGCCTGACAGTCCCTGGCAAATTGTCAGTAAACCAACTAGATGTAGTGATGATGCAAAACAAACCTCACTAGCACAGGATAAACTGAACAAAATTAAACCCATGTATAGGTATCTGCCTGCTAAAGGAACAAAAGCTTTGCTCACTGTTAGCAATAACCAGGGTGAAAAAAAAAGTGCATGCATGTCAGCGATGAAACAGGCCTCGATGACAAAAACATGAGGACTGCTTCACCCCTTTCATTATACTCAAGCCCTGTTAGTTTTATATGGGATGAGAACAACTACAGTTGTGCATATGATAGCTTTTTCTCCATACTGCTCAAGGTGTTCACAGATTGTTCACAGCAATGGAATAATATCATCAAGAACCAGAATGACTTTCTCCACAAGTTCACTAATGTCTTTACAAAGGTACTTACCGGTAAACATTCTATGGAACATGCAAGAGATGCTATCCATGCAAAATTGCAGATCGCACACTCCGTGACATTTCCCACCATGGAAAAAGAAGGCATGGACATCTACAGTTTGTGTTCTGCTATGTTTGAGTCTTCATTCTCTAATGTTACTGTCCATCTTTACTGCCTCCACTGCAATGTTGATGTGAATACAGAAGACACTTCCATTTATCTATAGGATTGCAGTTTGCCCATCTGGAGAGAATTCTCTGCTAAGTTAGGTTCCTAAAAATAAATAAAAAAAGCTATCAGAGTGGCTGCAAGCTCTTTTTCTCAGAAAGACTCAGTTGTCATGCCAAACCTGCCACACAAGACTGATGAGAACGTATGTCTTTGTCAATACCCCAAACTTCATGGCATTCATAATGAATGGTAAGCAACTTCAGCTAGATCCCACGGTGTACATCGGTGAAGAAGGCACAAGATTTTGCTTGTGTGGTATTATTTATTTTGGTGGCTTTCATTTCACTGCAAGGATTATTGATACAAATGGTCAGACATGGTACAATGATGGAATTGTCACCAGTAATACTTCAACATTAGAAGATCCTCTCAAGATGGCGCATCCTACTCTCCTCAGCAAAGCGTGTGGTAGAGTTAGCTCTGTGGCAATCTACACTTAACTTTTCTGAATGTCTCACCTTCATTGTGCTGGTCTGAAGTTTACTACTAAGACCTTCTCAACTAGTAATATAATTTCCATTTGCTCATCTTCATTGTCTGATCTGAATACCCATTTGACCTCATATCACTTTCTTGCACACATCTATGCACCATGAGTCAATCACTCCAGCAATGTGTATACTGCTCAAACTGTAGTTGTAAGTATCTTTGACAAACATTATTAAAAAAGCCCTTATAACTTTTTATGATCACTAATGTGACTGTGACAATCATCTTTGACAACATATAATTTTCAAAACACCTTACAACTTTTATCGTTACTGTCATGTAACTATGATTGTAATCATCTCCAATAAGGAAACATGCAAGTATGATTACAGTTCAACAAAAGCTAAAAGAAAAGCTTAAACCATTTTATTTTCACTTCATTTGAGAATCTATATAATTATGCATATATAATTGTATTATCTTTAAAAAAATACTTGCACCTTTCAAAATTTTTCATCTTAACTTTTTCAAAAGCAATTATTTACCATCACTCTCACACAACCATGACTATAATCATCATTGACAATATGAAACTTTTATTATCACTGCATTCAAAATTTTCTACAATCATGCATCCATCTTATATTATCATTGAATGAATAATCACAATGTTTCACTTTTACAATTCCTGAGATACGAAGGGGAGTTTGTGTGACACTAAGCACTAAGGGCATCTATGTGACAT